TAAAATTATATAAAAAAGTTGTAGCCTAGGCATAATTCAAATTTTAAATTTGATTAGACTTGTTTACAATTAAATCAATTAAACTTATGATTGATCTATACAGACATCTCAGATTTGTTATTATTATTATTATTATTATTATTATTAGCTGATGATTGTTTATATTCCTTATCTAATTTTAAACTGAATACGCTGTCAAATACTCAGTGAGAGTTCTGTTAAAAATGTTAAACGTGGCCAGATTTTTTATCACGATTTTTTAACTCTAGTCCCGATAGAAATCGTTTATGATTAATTATTATGCAATATTTTATTGTTTTATTTTTTTTGATTAATCAATTCTCTGGACAAAGTCGAATTGTGAATAACACTTAATTAAGCAGTTCATTAACTGAAAAAACTAGAGCGTATTCTTCCATGTTAGTAAATAAAAATAGTAATAATAACAATAATTTCGAATAGTCCATGTACGTGCATTATAGAAACGATGTATCTAAAACAAATACCTCCCTAGCCAATCAATATAAACGACACAGGTGTATGAATTCTCAAGAAATTTGATATTGTGATTTAATCAAACTATATAATAAGATAGTACAGGTGCGCATAACATAACGCTTTGATAGTATAAGACTTATCATTCATGTCTCTAAATTACAACCGAGACTTAGCGTGAAATGATAAGTGTAAGAAACGTTTTGTTTTACTTCTTTTTTTTATAATACGAGAAAATCATACGGTATTTGAACTCAAGAAAAGTCATCAGCATACTATCATTTTGATGAGAAATGACAGCGAAACTAAAACTAGTTCAAGGAGAAGTACTTAGATGAGAGAGAGAAAGAGAGAGAGAGAGAGAGAGAGAGAGAGAGAGAGAGGATAGAGTTGCTGCATGCGTGGAAAAATGATTATCAACTCTTCTACATTTAATTATTTCCTTCACTATAGTGAAATTACCTCTACAGTCTCATTTGTGATTTAACAAGTAGTTTCTGAATAAAAGATTCTGAATCTCATCTTTATGTGGTTAATATTACTATGGTCATATGAAATGTATTTGGGTCGCAACGCTTTTTAATTAGTAATGTCTATTCAGAAACGTAACATAAATTTATAAATGTTGCGATATAAAATTATATAACTTCAAGGATTAACATCTTTAATGAGTTAATGATATCTTTTGCCGATTTACAGCACCAAATATTTATGAGGGAGTAAAAAAAACAATTGTCCATCTTTTCACTTTGTCAAGTCTTTAGCTATCAATGAGATCAAGATTTCTAGAAAATTTTGCTTTTCTTTTTGTCTTCTCGAAAAAATTTATTCAATCGAGCAGAAATTTGACAGCATTTCCGAGATGTTTTTTGTTTCCTTTTATCAACTTTTTTCCTTAAGGTAAGACTGTAATTTCCGATCCTGAAACCGCCAGAACACTCAAATTTACAACTAGCGACATTGGAACGATCGTGCTCTATAAAACAGCTTTTATCGACTGTTAAATGATAAAACGACATAGTATAAATCCGTTCATCTGTTTTACAAGTACGTTCATATTGCTTGTCAAAGGGTTTGTGTTTAACCGAACTATAATCGAATCTTTTTCATGAAATTATAGCATTCAAAATAAGGACATATCTTAGTATATTCTGACATTTATTTTGTTATCGTCATAACCATGAGAGAACAACCTCTGTAACAGACATTTAGCATATAATGCGCTTTTTTCCTATTTTGACGCAGAGCGAGAAATGTTTGTTATATAACTTATAATTTATGCATCGGGAAGGATATATATATATATATATATATATCCTTCCCGATGCATAAAAGCAATTACTTACATTTTTTTACATAAATGAGTCATCGATGTATAGTAAAGCAAGCAAAGAAAAATTACAGTTGATTCATATTTCGTCTTAATTACTAGAAGAAGTTCAGTTTTATTCTAGACATCGTAAAAAATAAATCTTATATAGAGTTCTAAATACAGAAAAGAAAAAGATACTATTAATATGTTAAATGATAATCGAAACACAGCTATCTATGTTGTTGTTGGGCAAGTCAGAATTCGACCCGACGTTTTTTTTTCAAGAACACTGAGTTAGACATAGATTTTGGCATTTTCAGTTCTATTACGAGTTAAAAATAGAACGAATCTTAGATTTAATTTCTGTAATGTTTGCTTACAGATCATGTGTATGCATATGCTCACCATGAACCGTACGTGTTTATTAAGCCGACCGAGTGAAACTCGAAGAGGCTTGTTCTGTTTCACTACAAAAAATTCTTTTCTTTCTTTCACATTGTACTTTCTGCTTCGAGTCAGCCACTCGTTCTCAGCTAGCACTAATCGTACAGATTTGGGAAAAAGATCATTCGAGAGTACAAGAGAAGTAGATGAAGCAGCTAAAGTTATTTTTTCGATATATATTTTAGGTATTAAGTAATGAGTCTCAAAAGTTGAACATATTTCAGTAACTTTCCCACGAGAGAAGTAAATGTCACGTGATACTTCATATACATTCAGTATGAATAGTACCGCGTGATTCATTAAAGTCACGTGCTACTTATCAGTCTATACTTCTGTATAGTCTGATGCATTTAAAGTCTGAAACATTATTACCGATAGAATGCATCATATGTTTACCACTAGAGCACTGCAGTGTTCTACTCGTATTTAATTGATTCAAACGGTGTCTAAAGTGTATCTAAGATACGTTTCACTCGGTCGGGTTTCAATCTGCCCGTAGGGTAGTTGGTATCTAGTTCTTTCTTTCTTTTCACACTGTTTTTTTCGTTCGGGTCAGAGGTCTCTAATTTCCTTAAAAGATGATTCGAAAGTGCAGAGGCCATCGATGACATATCTGAAATTAGTTTTCCGATGTTTGCTTTAATAGTACTATAATTAGTGCCGAGTATATTTTTTACAAAACTCTATCGGTTCTCCTATGAGATAATTAATCATCATGTGATATCGTCCATAGTGAATGTGTCCTATGCTTATGGTATGATAAAAGCTAGAGTAGAATATATCATACGATAATGAATCAGCTGATATGTCAATGTGAATAATATTCCGTAGACAGTTATGACTTTCTGGATGTTCTAATTTCGTCTCTTTAACGTGTCACTCAGTAAACTTTCCAATCTTCCCGAAGGATAGTTGGCATCTAATATATGTAAAGATCAAATCTTTTATCCATATTAAAGCAAACTAACTACAAAACTCCTTTCTGTTTTTGCAATTGATGATTGATTGAATGTCGTTTTCACAATCTGATTTTCTTAGTAGAGTTGAATGAGTAAATGATTCCAGAAATATATGAAAATGAGTTCACAGATTTAGAAAATAATCCGATCGAGTTCGTTAGCACTGAAGCTTCAATCAAAGATCTATATAATGTGATATATCGAGACCTTGATGCTGTGACATGGGATAACGCATTAAGTCCAACAATCGCATTCAGATAATGAATGTTAGTGTATCTATCGCTCAGATTTATTTTTTTCAGAAATTTCTCTGAATTTTCTGTTGATGTGTTTTCTCATACCATATCCTGAAAATACGCTCGCAAGTTAAAATAAGCTTTTAATCGTTTCGAAATTTCTAAAGAACCCTATTCAATTAACTTTTTAAAATCAGGATCAATTGCGTCATCAAACAAGAATAATATTTTTCAAGATCAAAAACTCTCATTTAAGCTCAATATTTAGAAATTGAGATTATTTGTCTTATTTTTATAAGAATTTTTATAATCGGGATTAATCTTCACATTTTTCAAGATTCATTAAATTGCTTTTTCCTAGTGGATAAGTTTTATTAAAAAAATTTCTCATAACTAACATTGTTAGAATGTAAAGTATTTGTTATTATTCTAAAATAAGGTAAAAATACTATCGATATACGATAAAGAAAATAAATTAGAAATAAAATATAGTAATAAAAAAAGAAAGACTAGAAAAATCATCGATCAGTTCATATTTCGAACAATCGTACTACCGACAATCTATCTTTTTATCAGGACCAGTTCTGACGTATGTCTCTATCTACCAAACTCAGGAAGGAGAAAAAACGAAGAAAAACAATAACGTTATTTTAACGAAAGCGAATTACTACTTATTATACGATAAAACTAAAAATCAAAAAATAACTTCATTTCATTCGATGCTTGAACATGAATCATTTAAACGGACTCGATATTTTTATTCTTAGACATCATCGTCATTACTAGTAATAATCTAATAAGAAATTCTATTTTGTTTTAACTATTTCTTAAACAAAAACAAAATGAATTGGAAATATACTAGCGCTAATTTATAATTCTTTATTATGTTTAAGTTTTGATGTAACTTACGTTTTCTTCTTATTTACTTTAACTATGTTGAAAAATCATTCCATATTTTACTTTTTATTATATATATTTTTTTCATTTACTATAGAGAAGTCAGACTCGAACGTCAAATGTTGTAAAATTTTATTATGAAAAACTGTCGGAAAAAAGCATATCTGTTCATCGAACATAGACTCACTATTTAAATACTTTACATTCATTTCCAATTTAACCTTTATTTTTGTTTCTCTTTTTTCCACCCGCTATATTGTTATTAGATAGATGAACAAAGAGCAAGATATATCTTTGTGAAAATAGAGTAATAGGTTGTTCTCTCATGGCTATGACGAAACAGAATGCGAAAAGATACAAAGCAAATGTCAATTGAGAATATATTGAGATACGTTCTTATTCTCATTCGAATGCTAGAGGTTTATTGAGAATTGTGATGCTATTTGAGAAAAACGCAAATGTATAGATATAAAGACGAAAAAAGAAAGAAAAAAAAAAGTGTAAAAGAAAAAAGAAAATATTTTTGTTGCAGTCCATGTCATTATTAATGTGTTTATATATATAATAATAGACAGTTTAAAATTAGATACATTAACGATGTTTTTACTTTTAGTTAACTTTACCTATGTAGCCGTATAATAATTGATTAAATTGGGCATGAATTGGAATAAAAGTTCAACTTTATTCGTGGATATTACGTCAAGTACCAATTTTTATACGACGACAAGTAATAATTATCATAGTACTGTTAAAATATCATTTGGCGAACAGTTAAAAAATGCAAGTAAATTATTTCGATTTTATGCTAGTGTATTTCTAATTATTATCGGTATGATTGGAAGTATTCTATCTATTAAAGTTTTTTCATCCACAAAAATTCGTCGTAACTCATCAAATGAATATTTAATAACAATGAGTTTTGTAGTGGCTCTATTATTATTTAATTTTTTCTGTGATGAAATATTAAGATCAATTGTAAATGATTTTGGCGTTGATTTACCATTAAATCTTGTTGATTTAAGCAAATTATTATGTAAATGTAAGTACAACAAAAATCTTTATTGAATATTAATATATCAAGAAAAAGTTAACATCTTTTCTCTATAAACGCCTTCTAATTGTCTCTTATTTTGTAGAAGACACGTAAGTGCATATACATCCTTTAAAAACGTTTTGACAATTAATACATGATTGACAACGTTAGAACGATCTGAAACCTATATTTCAGTGCGAAAACATATGAACGTGAAGAAAAAAACTAGAGTTTATATAGAGTGATGGAAAAGTGCTTCTTCGTATTCACTACACTCTATAACTCAGAAGATTTTCTAGTTTTGACGAGGAATACTGACAAAAGTTTAAGAAAAATTTTCGAATAAAATGTTGAAAAAAAAGAACTTTTATAGGAAAATGATATTTTAACCAAGATGACTCCTTACAGTTTAGTGATCAATAATTTAATAAAAGAGGTCATGCAATTTTAAAAGAGCTCTTCAATCATTACTTGATCCTTCATTCACTTTTTTTGATGAACTCTTGTTTGAGAAGAGAAGTAATCATTTTCTCTTACTGCAGATAGATGACCGGAATCGTTTTGTGAAGGTCTCTCTTCTATTCGAGAACAGACATTATACAGCGATGTCGAGTGATCGACAATTGATTTTTCCATTCATTCTCAAACTCCAAGAAAAACAATGCTAAGATGCTGGAAAAGGTGGTGTCGTTTACTAACAACGTTAGATGAAGATTTCAGATTTGAATATAATTTTAGAAGAAAGTTTTTGATAGTTCAAACCCACGTTTTTGACTTCAAAATTCATTTTTGTGCCATTTATAGGCTATCTTCTCTTTCCAAGAGTAGTAAGAAATATGATTTCTGAGCTTTCTTTCTCAATAGATTAACGTATCTCTCGCTTCTACTACCAGTCAATAGCATATCGAAAACAGGAATCAGTTTTCATCATTCTTTCATAAAACGAAATATGATAAAGTTTATTATATTTATTGGTTATTTTGAGCTTTTAATATTTTTAATTATTAAAAAAGTTTAAATTAGCAAACGAACTAATAACTTTTTGACTCAGTTCAAGATGTAATAAACATCTTTGTTAACAAAACTTTCACCTAAGTGTGATGAGTTTTTTCACAAGTTTTGGCTAGAATTTTTGATAAATAAGTTTTTTTCACAACAGACATTTTCTGTTAAAAAAAATTTATTATGTATGTCACTTGACAACTCTACAGAACATCTAAATGAAGGAGGTGGAGGATTGTAATTTATAATGTTAAAAGGAAAGTTTTAAACGATCGAAAGATGTCATATAGCTTCTATTTTTTTTAACAAAACAATTTCATTGTTAGTTTTATGATGTACATCAGAATAAATATAAAGATAAGAACAGAAATGTAGATAGAATATTCAAGAATAACAGTTAGTGTTCTCTGACACTACGATACTGTGCCGCTCAAAACAAAGATAGAGTTAAACCGATGCTCGTAAGAATAAGTTATTTGATAAGTGCAACGACAAGCTCCCAAAATAAGTATGCTGAAAGCATCGATCTGACTAAATGGATATTGTCTATTAAGCCAGCGTTTTATGTAGAAAAATTCTTCTCCTGATAGATATTATTAAGCGTCGTTCAAATTTAGTTCAAATTTATAGCTTGATCATTTTTTTGACATATATGAACAAACATGATCAATATATTAAAGGCTAAGACACGATAACTTGTACACCATATGAAACAACCATTTAATCGTCTTATTGATAAATCTTAGTCATAGATTCTATTTTAAGTTTATATTTTGTCATGTCACAATATATTCAAGTTATAAATTGCTTCATAGATACTTTTTTTAAATGGCAAAATGAGAAGAAATTGTATTTTTCTCTCTTTTTTAGCGTCGACCTATTTACGGCATGCTCTAAGGTTTGCTGCACATTGGATTGTTGTTGCATTTACACTAGAACGTTTGATCGTCGTTCATTTCCCATTACACACATCTATATTATGTACGCCTCGTTGTGCTAAACGTGTTTGTCTACTTATTTTAATTACGTCTTTTCTATTACCATTCTATTCGTTCATTATGTCGGATGTAATTCCTGGCGAACAAAATCATCAAAATTCAGAATGTGATATCATGAAAAAATATAATCTAATTTATTTTTATTTGACAATTATTTACGGTAATTTAACATTAACATTTCCAATATTGATCGTATGTATCGTCAATATTCTAATTGTTCGACAATTGTTAAAAGCAGCAAATATACGAAAACAAAATAAAAGATTACAATATGAAGAACCACAATTAACTAGTAATACACCAACAGCACTCGCTCGAACTAGTAAATTGGATAAAAGTAGTGTGGCAAAAAATGAATATTATCAAAGTATTGTCAAAAATCAATTGGAAAACGATAAAGTGACATGGATGCTCGTCGTTATATCAATTACATTTGCAATATTAAATTTTCCCTATTTTATTCTATGGTGTTATATTTGTGTCATACGGGTTAGTGGTAAAATTCCCACACCGTTTATTGAATCAGCTAAATTGGTATCCGAAGTACTCTATCTACTCAATTATAGTTTATATTTTTTTCTCTATGTTATTTCTCGACGAAGTTTTCGAAAAGTATTAGTGGAAAAAATGCGCTGTCGTTGCGATTGTTTTGAACAATGGAGATTGTATGAGATGAGATCGGATGCTCATCATCATAAAACACAAAAGAAAAATTCAATATCTCAACAACAGCATTATCAACAGCAATTTAGTGATACAAACACAACACATCTCATATCGTCAAATAATAACTATCAGCATTATCATCAATTACTAGCTAGGCGAAGTAACGAAGGTAATGAAGAAAAAGCAACAATGATGTTGCTAGCTGAACGTGACCCAAATATGGATAAAATTGGGAGTAATAACTATAGCTTAGGAAATATTGTTTGATGCTCTCACTGATAATGTTCAAACAAGAACACAAGCTTGTAGATTCATGACAACCGGTTTATTGTTTCATGTCTTTGTTTTTGTATTGTTTTATTCTTCCATGATTTTGTTTTCTCATATCTGCTACGTTTTATCTGACTTTTTTCGATAGATAGATTGATAAACAATCAATTTGTACAGTAACTTATACAATTATATCATATTTCATTTTATTTATAGCCAGATAACAAAATAATGTGGATATTTATCACTTACAGAAAGTAAAGTGACATTGAACAAACAAAACAATTTGTTGTTGCAAAATAGGAAAACTTTGTCGCTTCAATTCTCTGAATTGAATAGAAGGACAATATATTTGACGCCATCGACTGTACTCACTGGACTGATGTTCAAATTTTAGAAAAACTGCAGAGTTTCACGCTTTACTTTTGCATCTAATTTATCTTCATCCTTCTGCTCGAATTCAATACAGATATTAAAGAAAAAAAATTTTATTCTTTCATTATGAATAAATCTTCATCAGTATATGTTTCTCATAAATTATATTCTAAACTTTATCACCGGTTAGTTATTTATAAACATATTTCAATGCAAAAAAAAAAAAAATGTATGAACACTGTCATGTTCGTCAATATCACAGTTAACATGCTAATGCAACATCTCGTCGATAAAGAGCCGGGGTAGGGCTGGTTTGTGGACGATTTCTCAATGAAATTTTATGTACATTAAGATCTTCCGATATCCAATTGGGAGAAACTACATAACGTTGTGATTGTTTCGGTACTGTATTATAAAAATACGTTTCCGAGGCATTGTAATGCAACTCAGGTGGGGCAGTGGTTGGTTTAAATTTTTCAATTGGTATTGTTTGGTAATATTTCGGACGTTCATGAAGTCTAAAATGGCAAAAAAAATTCATTATTCTTATATTATGAGAAATTTTTATAATATAATCTTCTTATTCTCCACCGATATTAATGAGTTTGATCACAATTAAAGTGTGTAGTTTTTTAAGACGCTGCATAGGTATTATATACTGTCGGCAACATGAAACAAAATTAGTATGGGAGATATTTGGAGTATGACGCAAACCACAATGAAAACTATTAATTTAGATTTGAATCTGAAACTAGTAACTTACTTCAAGTTCTCATTATATTTTTCTAATTCTTTTGTATCTACATTGTCAATGAAATTATATCGTTGATTTTTAATAAGATATAATCTGCCGTTAACAAGGTATTTGGTTAGTTGAGGTGATGGATCTTCTAGACTTATATTTGGATCATATATCAGTTTGACGCCTCCTGCTTCTACTGAAAATGTATTGTTAGTATAATCAGCTTTTCTTGGTTCAATATTTGAATAATTTCCATCATACATCGGTGTTAGTGCCAATAATGGTTCATTTAGTAAATGTCGTTTGCTGTCATGTTTCTTTGATTTTCGCATTTTGAAACGTCGTTTGATATTTTTGTTATCATTTGAATTTGTTACGAATACGACTGGTTTTTTATCAGCATTCGGAATGGCTATGACACCTGGACGATGAATATAGTATGGATTTAATGGAATTTCACTAACTACACTTTTTCTTTCAATGTCTTTATCGTCTTCATTATCTTTTGGCAATTCACCACACCATGAATTTGCTTTTGTATAAGCATAAATTGGCTGTGGTGTAGGTGATGATGGTTCAATTTGTGTAATAATAACTTGGTCAGTACATGGTGGTGGTGTCGGCTGACTTGCTGGTTTACCATACACCTTTGTAAAAAGCATTTGTATTTCATTATCGGATAATTTTCCATTGTTACGATGTTTAAGCGATTGACTTCTGCTTACATGCGCCGATTGTGTTTGTCTCGGAATTGTCGTTTGTTCTTTATGTGTAGTATCTTGATTACTATTAGTAGAAGTATTTAGACGAGCTTTGGCTGAAGACGATCGCGGAGGTTTTATATCTTGATTCTGTTCGTGTAATTGTCGAAATACACCTAAATTTCTTGGTTGAGGAATATTTAGAATCGGCGTTGGTGGCATACCACGAAGTAATGGCGCACTCTTCAATCGCCGTGGTTGTTCAACTAAAGTACTCACTAAAATAAAAACATGATTCAAATTAGATATTGTTATACAACATCATACTATATTTACTTTCACTGTATTTCTCATTCGATGCAATGTTCGGTGATGCTGGTCTTCGTTTCACTTCGTAATGTAATGCCCAAGGCGTTGTCAATGCTTCATTTATTGTTTCCGCAGATCGATATATTTGTTCGCTAGGAGTGATACTCTGTTCATAGCGATTGATACATTCGTTGCCTAAGCAAGAAAAAACTTTATAAATTGAATAAAATAAAAAACAGAAGCTTTTTGTTTGTTCTTTTCGAAATTTTCAATTATGTGTACAAAAGTATTTCAATATAAGGAAGAGGGAGAGAGAGAGAAAGAAGCAAACAAAAAAGATTAACAAATGATGCTTACCATTTCTTATTAAATCTTTATTTATTCCATTATTTATATAAATTTCTCGTGCATCGGGTGCTGGTTGATTTCTATCAATAACTTCTGGATACCATGCATATAAACATTCACGACCCACTTGATTTCGATTAGAAAGTGTCTGTAGTTGAGTAAGCATTATTTAACAATGACACAATTCAACATCTCTAGTAACAAAAAGGAAAAGAGCCTCAAGTTTCTTAAAAATATTGTAACATAATTAAATCTTTTAAGCGTATTAGAAAAGATAATGACACTTATTTTCATTCATACCTATAAATCAATCATGTGCTTTTTTCAAATCTTATAAGCAAGAATTAACTTTCACAGTCTATTTTAGGGAAAAAAAATAAGATTTGATACAAAGAAAATTTTGCAACACATATTCTGATCAGTAACCAGTTGTATTAGACGTCAGTTGCTGTGGTTTTATATATCGGGTGTGTAATAAAGAATTACAGTCTCAGTGTTCTGCGTTTTTCTCAGTTCTGTTAGATGCGGAAGACCTATATTTTGTTATTATAAGATTCAACATTCTACACAAGAATCTATTAAAAGGTTTTCTTAGGCATGTAAGAGTGAGAAATTACAGTAAAAATAATGGAGAGTCTTAAAATGCAAAAAAAAATAAGTTGAAAACCAGATTTTTTTTAAATTATTTGGTAGCTTTGTGTGATGCGAAAAAAACTAACTAACGATCTTGTCGCCGTTGACAAGCTCTACCTTTGAGCTGCAGTTTAAATTTTTTAACATTAAAATTTACGACACAAGAAAACTTTTTATTTTTCAACTTTTCTGAAAAACCACCGTTTTCTTACTGCTGTTTCGGGACATTCTGTAAAATCCACAGAACTTTGCCAAAATTAACGTTCCGATTCGGATTGCTTTTAATTTGAAGATTAATGAATATAGTGCATTCCATCGAAGCGTCAAAAGTTGCAGAAAAATTTTTTTCTTTAGCAAACGGAACGAAAATAATCAGTTTCAGCTCTTTGATTTGAACGAACTGTACTCTACATGCCGAGAAAGAAGACATTCAAGAATATAAAGAACCTTCCTCGAACTCGTTGTAATGATGATTTCACAATTGTTAAAAAATGCTCAAATTGCCATGCAAAAAGTTTTGATCTTCTTTTTTTTCATTTTGGGGCTCTCCGTTATTTTTACTGTAACTTCTCACTCTTACATGCCTAAGAAAACCTTTTGATAGATTATTGTGTACAATTAAATGTTGAATCTCACAACAAAAAAATATAGGTCTTCCGCATCTAAGAGAACTGAGAAAAACGCAAAACACTGAGACTGCAATACTTTATGACACACCCGATATATTGAAAATGGACAAAACTTTTTTTATACACTTTTACTTACCAATTAATTAATTAAAGGCAAAAGGAGACTGTTTGAAAACGGATATTCTATTAGTCGGTAATGCAGTATTCACAATAGAAAAAGAATTATAATCTTTTCACAACACAGAACAGAACAGAAACTGAGCAATTCTGTACATAAACCAAATTTACCACTTTTTTGGACAACATCAGACTTCTATTCAAATATTATTTATAGAAGGTTCTTATCTTATTAAAAAATATATTTGTATAGGTACTTGTTAAAGTTTTAAGCAAGTGGGTATACTTACCGGCGTTAACAGATGGAATTCTTCCTTTTTCGACAAAAAGAATTAGACAACTTTTATTGATTCTTATGTTGTTAATATAGAGAGATCGTTGTTAGGAACAATTAACGTATACAAACATTAAGCGTTTAACAAGAGAAGAGACATTCTTTTTTTTTCTTGACAACGTCATTTTAAATTTGATATTTTTTCATTTTTTTTTGTTAACGTCAGAGCTATTTTTTTCATTCTATTGATGCTGGGTCTCAAAATGAGAAAAAGAGAAGAAACGGTGAAACGGAAAGAGTTTTTAATTTTGAGTGACTAAGTATGATTTATGTGAAATGAAATATGGACTGTACATGCGAAAAAATTAACAGCGAATAGTAAAAATCATTGAGTATTTGAATCAGTTTTGATTGCCTTTTACAAAAAAAAAGAAGTGGTCTACTTTAAAATCAAAAAAAATGCTACAAAACTGACAATCACATTTTTTATGCAACAGAAACATGAGTAAATGCTTTTACATTTGAGGTCGATGCACTCTAAATGGAAAAAAAAGAAAAAGATTTGAAAACAGCATCTAACATTAGACATGAGAGCGATAATTCACGAAGAAAAGGTCATTTCGACAAAAGAATTTTAGTAATCTGGATCAGTTAAATCACATAGAATTTAAGTATAACAATGTTATAACTAGAATAAATATTTTGTCTAGTACTAATAGTTCAATGAATGTGACTTATTTTATCATTTGCATCGTATAAAGTGTCCTATGTCACCATATATAACATTCCAATTACAGAATGATTCTTTGATTGTTTTTCTATTTTCTTGCGTCTGGTATTTAAACGTTGTATATAACGTATTGTGCTTCATTTCATAGTTCTAGTTAGTGGTTCACAACTCTAGCACTAATACTAAAAATAGCACCACCTTGTGACAGAAATTTTTTTTCAAAAAGTAGAACATCTGTGTAGGAGTTATATTGTCCAAAACGTTATTATTCTGTCTAAGAAGTGTCTAAATACAACTTCTAAACTAAACAAACCAACTGTTACTAAAGCTTTATTCGGGATGAAGAAGTGAGACAGAGAGTTATTTTTTACCGTTATTGACATTATCATCAGTTTTGAAATACAGATACTTGTTAGAAGTGTGCAAAATACACTTATTTTATTGACATCAGCGAACAATGGCCTTTTTTATGCAGTTCTTTTACGTATAGTGTATCGATGCATACTAACAAATAGAAAATCAATCACTAAGTTATCTAAAAAATTGTTTAGGGTCTAATGTTGACTTAACATAGAATTACTACTATGAATATAATTTGATACTTAGATTGATGAAAGTATTGTTGGACTTCTGTATTCAAACACAAAAATTTGATATAAGAAGAAAGATCCAAATGTCAAGTGATTCATATCTTGCTGAAAAAAGCACAGATATTTTTTCAACAAGAAGATGATAGACCAGTGAATACACAAGACAACAAAAGATTTCATATAGTGTTTTTATATCACGTACTGTATATTTGTGTTTGCCAAGTGATAAAATATTGCTAACGGTTTTGTAACGTTTTAAGGTATAAATCATCTCCTCACTATTTAAATAGTTTAATGGTAGCAAAATCTTATCATCCATGTTGTATTTTTCTAAAGCGCAGCTATGTTTAAAAGACAATAGCCTTTTATTGATGAGCGATCTTTGCCAAGAATGATGTATTCAAATTTTGTACAAAATAATCACACAGCAATTATGTAACTTTCAACTAGAATCTGCATCCATTGATCCTATTGCTCAATGTCAATATCAACTTCTAATGTTCATACACGTGAAATATATGATTCTATAACACGTGCACCATCGCCTGTTCGAGATATCGTTGTCAGATCAACTATAGGTCGACTAATCTCTATTTCATCGTGTAATATTCAATAAACATGGTCAAATATCGCCATCGCCTACTACCAGTATGTTAAATACCATCGTTCAGTTTCTTGTCCATTATTGATATGGCGATGTTTCCATTGTTTCTTCGTTATCTCTACAAATGCCACCTTTATCGTACGTAAGACAGTAATCTGTAAGCGCAAAAATTTTTAAAAAGATATGCTCATAAACATGCAGGCGGTAAGTTGATGCATTTTTGGTCATGACGTAGTAACAGATCCAACTACTTAGTTATTGTAACGTCATATTTCATTCAAAACGTCACATTTCCTTTTTTATTACGTACTAAAGAGTTTATTCGAGACAAGATGGTACCTCATCAAAATTTGGGGATAATGATAAACATTGAAAGAAGAAAAAACACTAATGAAACGACATATGGTGTTAATAGGACTATTCCTAAATAAAGATAGAACTATATTCTGCTGTATATAATGCGAGTACAGTCTATCAGAGAAGGTTTCAATACATGCATCCAGTCATTGTTTAGCTAACTATGCTCGATTAGGCAGACAAGCATCGGAAAAATGATAGTTATTCTCACACAAGCTCAGATCTCAATGTGAAGTATATTTTTTATACGACGAATCTTTGTGTATCTACAGCTGCTATTAAAAACAACCATGTCAAATTCGCGCAGCTAGTTTGTTCATTAAAGGCAAAACTGATAAAGTCGATTGTTCAACACTTATTCATTCTTATTATCAGATTATCAAATGTTTGACAAGAAAACGTTTTGTTAAATAGAACAGTCGATATGAGTTCTTGCCACTGATTACTGAATAACCATTTTACATAAGTCAAAAGTATATAATGGGAAAAGGCTGAGGGTAAATTTGGCTGCTTTATGTATTAAAAAAATTTCTGCTCATTTAACATAATTATAACCTCTAATTGATTCATATTCTGAGTGAAAGACTCTAGAATAACATATCAACGAGAATATGCATTAGATTTCTTGCACGAAGTGTTTGGAAAAAATTGTTTTTCTTTGTGGTATTAATCTAAAGTAAAGGAAACTCAATTAAATCAGTTTCCCACTTAAGAATGTGTGCTAAGTGATCCCTGGAAGAAAGATTTTTTCACAAAAAAAACTCTGATATTTCCGTCACAAGCCAAAAATGCACACTATGACTGGATAAGAATGATGTTGGTGTCACCAAAAACTTTTGAATATCTTGTCCAAATGATGATTGATTTCTTTTTATATAATTGAGTTCTTATTTGGGTTTGAAGTCTTATAATGTTAACAATTGTAGTTGTGTACACTATTCTGATGAAAGAAGAGAAGTTTTATATTTTCAGGTAATCATTTTTAGCATAAGAGTAGTAGAAAATCGGAATCAAAAAGCCATTATAGTTGCATAGTATTTTAATTCAATTGATTAATTAATACATACTTTACAACAGAAATATGAAAAAATGTTAATTGAATTTATAAAATATTATAGAATGACATTGGATAAGCATTAGGCTGAAATTAGACAGCGAATCGATACAATAATGCTTCCTTACAATTCGATTTATCATATTATCATCATTCTACATTAACTATTAGAAATCTTTGTATTTTGATTTATGTATAACATTCATAAAACATTTGCATGAAACAAAACCGTTATGTTAGAAACTCCATCTCCGTCTTTGCAGAGTGTTTTTAAAATAAAATGAGCGTAAAATAATAAAACTCGTTCTTTTTTCAATAAAATGTTTTTCACTTTTTATTCTTGTAACTATTTTTTTTTTCATGTGGAGAGATTAAAAATAAATCGATAAATTTTATCAGTTTTAGGAAGCATAAGCGACCACATATGATCTTATGAGGAACGCAGAAAAACACTCGTAAAAAGTCTGAATAAGATTATGCTTACAAATTCAATATCTTAGTTTTCAAAAAATAGATTGGCAGTAAGAACAGTCGAAGTGAGTCAGATTCAAGTAGACATCGAAAATGAGATACGAATCTCGACTCTATTTATCCGTTCATGGGTACGAATGAAAGGCGCTGTAGATGAACGATTCCCAGCTATGAAGGACACCTTGTTGAGAATAAAATATAAAGTTTTCTACGTTCAAAATTAACAATGAGTATGATTTCACCAAATAAATTTCTCATCTTTCAGAGCCGGGAGTCGTTTTACTTTGAAGGGGATTGTTTACACTATCTTTTCCAGTGCTTAAAGATAATTTACGTTCTTGTCATTTCCAGAAAATCTAAGAAATTATAAGATTTCTAGAAACCCCCTTTTGTAACAACCGCATGTCAACCGAACTTTATCTTATCAGAATTAATGGACTTTGACTGTTTTCTTAAATAAAAAAAGGATTTCAACTTCGATGCGGGCCATGAGAATGGATAAACGTAAGAGGAAAAATAATAATATAATAGCGATCTTAGCGTTATTGTGCTGTCCAAGTAAAATAAAGCTTTTTCAGTTAGTTTTAGAAAACAGCTAGAGATCTACGACATTTATCATAACTTGCAATAGATACGGTGGTAGAGATCTGCACGGATTAAGAAAACGTAACCCGAACCCGACCCGACCCGATAAATTCTTACTCTTTTGTTTGGTTTTTAAGTTTATGTCTTTTCATTTACCTATTTATTTAGCTGAGGTATCGCATCACAGGCGAGTGACCTTTTGCTAATAGTCTTTCAGAAAATTTGAGCGTTATATCTTTCTAAATTCTCAATATCACCCACCTCTGTTTTTTTTACCTCTAATAAAAGAGAAATGTTATCATTGAAAATTGTGCTGTTTAGAAAAACATTGTTTTCCTTCAAGAAGAAAAGTTCAATGGCAAGCGAATTTAGGAAAATATAACGCTCAAAGTTTCTGTAATATTAGCAGACTATTAGTGAAAGTACAAAAGAAAATTTCACTTCTTAATTCTTTGTTCTGACTGTGTTACAGAATTATTACTGTTACTACATACAGTGTTCCTTTAGAACAAAAAAATGCATAACTTTTGAAAGAACTGATATGAGTCCTCCTTTGAGGGTTTTTATCAGCTCACTTTCCTCTATTAACTGGCATAATATCATTAAAAATGGAGTTGGGCATCCGAAGACCTTACCTCGTTATCGAAAGCAGTTCTTCTGAAATAAGTATTTCAACTGAAAATTCCAGCAGAGTTAACTTTTCAACGATTAATACAAAATTGAAATTATTATCTATATTTTAAATTGCGCCGCACAATGTTCAACTCGATCGGGTTTGCACGTCTCTATACGGTGACTAGCGGCGATAGTTCTGTATATCGCACTGAGTTTTGCATCGATCCATGAATGAAAGAATAAGTAGAGTGGAGATTCGCATTTCATACAGATTTTTTCGATGTCTACGTGGATCTGACTCACTTCGACTGTTCTTACTGCCGATCTATTTTTTGAAAACTAAGATATGGAATTTGTAAGCATAATCTTATTCAGACTTTTTACGAGTGTTTTTCTGCATTCCTCGTAAGATCATATGTGGTCAGTTATGCTTCCTTAAACTGATAAAAAATCAATGAAACTGAATCAATTTATTTTTAATCTCTTCACATGAAAAAAAATAGGTACAAGAATAAAAAAGTGAAAAAAATAAACAGAAGAATTTTGATGTCTAATAAGATGAATTTCTCATATTTTATAAAAGATAGACTACGATAACATGGAATAAAACAAAAATAGAACATTCAAATGACACAAGAAATAATGTCTAAATAATTGGAAAACTTGTCAGAAAATCCATCGTATTATTTAGGGTGTGTTGAAAACAGTTTTTTTTCTAAACAATATTAAGACTTCAAAAGTGAGAAAAGTTTCTAGAGAATTTGTATCTAAAATAGTTTGTTATCAAACAACGAACGAAAAAGAAAATGTTGCACAGAACGAACCAAAACAAAAAAACTCTTGAATAAAATACTTAATTAATGTTTGTGACAAAATACAGGTCCAAACAAAGATCTTTTTGGTATTCCAAAATAGGTCAGCGTCGTTCTAATATTCATTTAGTGCATTCTATTTAGGTAGTAATAGGCGATATTAGAGATGATGATGAGAATGATGTTAAAATTGCCGGTTTTCCTGATGATGTTGAAGAACAAGTTGAAGAATTATTTTCAAATTTAAATTGTCTTTTATCATAGAAACGATGAATTAACGGTGAATATGGATGATATTCTCGTATATGATCATAATGTTTATTAGGATTCTCACTTGTTTCACCACAATCTTCGCAAACATATAATTTATTTCGTCGTGTTTTATAACCATAATCCAATGAAAAACCATGGACTTTTCGTTGATGAGATTCTAAACTGCAGCGTTGTGTAAACGCTTTTTCACATTGTTCACATTTAAATGGACGAACACCTAAATAAATATAATAACACGTTTGATAACGAAAATTTTTAATATTTTGATATTATTTACCTGTATGTGTTCTAGTATGTCGTTTTAAATCAAATGTATCATTAAATCCTTTAGAACAAAATGTGCACAAATATCGTTTCAATTGACTATGATTTTTTAAATGACGATTTAATAGACGTTGTAGTTTAAATGTTTTCAAACATAGACGACAAACGAAGTTGCCATCGTCAGTGGACGCTATCAAATAAAATTAAGGAGAAATTAGCATGGTTTTTTCATATCCAACAATAACTATTGTTTTTCTATTTTCATAATGGAGTCATTGTCAACAGAAATGATATTAAATATCTGATGATAATGGATCTTTTTCAAAAAGTAAACTGTACATACGATTCATCTGAAGCTTTTGAAAGCCAGACATCAAGCAATATTATAAAAACCAATACTATACGAATTTAAACTTAAAATAAGTACACGTTTTAATAATTATAGATGGCGTCAGGTAACATATGGGATTCTAATCAAGTCATTTGTTTTTTCGATTCGTGTAGGAAATCTATAGATCGAGTATCTTTCAGAATGTTCTACACGCTCATAGACAACGTTTGATATAATTGTTTTTTTAACTTTCATCTCTGTTAGTTTTTGGCAAGAATTTTAACATGAATATTTGGAAAATTGTGAGAATGGTATACAATATAACTTTCTCGACACTCCAATCACAACTTAAAGTTTTATTGTAATTTTTCAAAAAAAAATAGTTTATTGCAAGTTGTTCTTGAGAAAGAAGGTGTTTGAAGAATGCGGTAGTAAATAGTGAGAAGCAAAAACATGTTGTGTATTCAATCATTGGTGTGTTTTAGGACTTCTAAGAAAATATTGATAACTTTCTATTGTGAAGTTGCACGGAATAATGACTAGTCTAATTTTGAGGCTAGGAGTCGATTCTACAAATTTACATGTCTGACAAAGGATTAATATAGATTTATTCGCAAAGTTTCAACTAATCTAGTTTAAGAACTCCGAAAAAATTCTTCTAAGAGCACTTACCTACAGGATAGAAAATAATACAAATTCTATTTGAGTACGATGCTGTTGGACTTATCTTAAAAACGAATGTTGCCAAAAATAATGACTGAGAGATAGGATCCTCGACGAAGGTGTTTTAGTTTCTTCTTTTTTTTTAGTGATTTGGTATACATATCCAGTTATCTATTTCACGTCTTATTAATAATTAAATGTACATATAAAAAAACTAATATATCATTACTATTTTTTCAGTGATGAAATGTACACCTATGTAATCGATTTATGATATGACACGGTAAACGTATTTGAAAATATTATGTTATGATCATGATTCATATATTTTTAAAATCATACGCATATATTTCACTCTCTCAATCTCAATTAAAGAAAAAAATGAACAAGGCAAAATAGTCACAAATGTTCAAAATGATCCCATCATTTTTTTTTCTGAAATTTTTTTTATTCATTTATGGTATCTATGTTGTCTTTTCTCACAAGATATTCGTGAGACTAGTACTTTAAAAAGAAGTTCGTTATTTTCATAATATAATACTAATTGATGTTAGACGATATACTAAAGGTAGGAAATTGTCCTTGAATGTATGTTTTATCTTTAAATGCTTTTTATTCCGATTTAACATACCGTATTTTATTTGTATTTCTTCACTGGCACAATCGAAAAGCGGATTTTTGATACCATGGCCACCATTTACCACTTCTAATCCTATCTAAAGATAAAGACACACAAGGTTTTACCTATTGATCAATCATCACACGTCTAACTTACACCTGACGAAAATGATATTTGTGCACTGGGTACAACGTGTTCTTGTGTTTGTTTATGATCTTGCTGTTGTTTTATTAAAACAGACGGATTTTTAGGTGTAGATAGAGATAACTCTGGTAATCTAGCCAAAACTTTTTGTTCTCGTGGATTATCATCTTCTTCTACTTCTCTTGATCGTTTTAATGATCGTTGAACCGAAGACAAAGGAGTTGAATGATACGTTGTCGGCGGTAGATAAGAATGATAATGATATGATGTTGAATAAAAATTTTCGACGGGTGTTAATGGTGGTTTTACTACTGGACGAAATGGTGATGAATATTTAGCAAAATTTGTTATGTTAAAAACAGAATGATTTGATAACGGCTGAGTTAATAATGGCTGATATGATGGATAAAAATTGGAGATTAATGCATTAGAAGATGATTGCTGTTTGGTCTTTTTACTATCCAATGATAAATATTCAATTGTAAATGATTTTTTGCAACTTAGATCAAGTGGCTGTTCATCTAGTGATTTTTTCTTGGTTATTGTAACCATTTGATGGCTAAATGGAAGAGATTATGAATGTATAATTCAGATTCTAAACATCGTCAGTAGGAAGCAACAAGTGTTTGATAATTATCAACACATTTCGATGTAATATGTATTATTTATCAACTTCAACGACTATATATATTACTCAAACGATTGTGATAGAGGTGATGAATGAAATATTTTAGAATAAAAAGTGTGAAATGATCAATCAAAACCAACAATGTTCGTTTATTTTGGGAGTAAAAGAGAATAATTGATCAGCCATTTGCAGCTTAATTAGGATAATTTTATTCTGTCAATATAATAATAGACAATAGTTCTTCTTACGTTAGTGGAACATATGTAAAAGAAGTAATTATATCACTAGTGACATACTCGAAAATTTGAATTGAATGAAGAAACGTCGCAGTTTGAGACCGAAAATCAAACGAATAAGTAGAATGAGATGGTCAGCAAATCAGGCAGAGGATGGAAAAGTAAAAATATGATAGAAGAAATCCTATCGTTAAACCATTTTGAAAAGCTATTTGATTTTTCTAGATTTTATATAGTAACAACTACATTTAATCATTAGTTTTTGATAGGACTCACCTAACATCATACTGAATCACATCATACAGAAAACATTAGAACATAACAAAAGGCTGCTGCCTTTGTAGATCTAACTTTGAAATAGTGCTTATTACTTTTTGTGATACCGTTGCTTAAATGGATAATGCTATTAAAATTTTAAAAATTTTCTTCGTATTCAATCTTACGTATGCACGGATTAGTAAACTGTTTGTTCCCGGAAACAGCCTGATCCACTTTACAAGGTTAGTATAACTCATAAACAGAGATACCAGTTTCTCAATGAGTGACAAAATAAAAAATGCTTATTTTCACAAAATAACTCTACAAATCCGTAATAAAATACACAACTAGAAAAAGATTCACAAAATTCTAATATTTTCATTCGCTTTTTAACTGTTCGAGAACGGTTTCGATTGATCTTTATTAACAAAAATAAATGTTCAGCATAAAATATATTAATTTATTCTCAACAATAATTTTTACTAAAATGAATTTTTTAAAACGTTACTTTCTGGTAAAAATGTGCACATGATGCTTAACTGCTAAATTGAACTTTAAGTTGAACAAGTGACATCAAATGTCCACTGTCTGCTCATCCGCATTTCATATACAAAGATCTTACTTTAACGTCATTTTAAAAAAAAAAAGAGAGACAGATTTCATATTTCCCATAAATGGTTTGTTTTAGTCAATAAATAGTCTCAAAACTTCTTTTCTACTTCCTTGCTGTAATGTAACTAATTCAAAATTCTCAATGATGAATATCGGATATTTTTGCTTATAAAGTATACTTGGCGTTTTCATCTTTAATACTTGACAATGGAATAATATAGTTAGTTTTACTAAAATGAGATAGATATCAAAGACTCTATATTGTAAAATAATGTTTTAATTTAGTATTCAAGAACGTTGTTGTTTTTCCGAACAAGAGACAAAGAGTTCTACATTTGTATCACGAATTGACATTTTACATCAAGATACGAGTTTATGGGAATAAGAACCATAAGTTAATCAATGTTGTATCACGATAATGAGAGTGTGGAAGAATTAATAAAATACGCTTACCTGAGAGAGTTATAATTTTCATCAGCTACCATATTTAACTTTATTAATCTATGTTGTTGGCAATTATGGATCGTTTCTGTTCATTTATTATTTTGATGAGAAATAATGATGACGATACATACGTAGAGATAAGTCTTCTTTTTTTTCTTTCTTTTTTTTCACAGTAGTACTACTATCGTTCAAGAAAGATTATTCGTTCTTTTTCTACGTATATGGCATGACCAATAAAAATATTAGAAAAAAAATTGTTGTTGATCAATGACTTTAAATGGTAAAGTAGAACTTTTCTCTCTTTTCTCAATTAAAGATGTTAATCAAATTTATCATCGGACAGTTTCGGATCCAAAAAGTGTGTCCAAAATTAAGAACATAACCTCTGTTGAAACACTCTCTAGATTGAAGATCATGAAACATCTTCTATAGTGTGAATTGAACATATTAAAATGTTTATTAGCTTTGAAATTATTTGGGGATATTTTTGAGATAAAATTTAATGATAAAACCAAAAATAAAGAGAGATAAACAAATAGGTTAGCTTCAGGACAAAGTTCAATTATCATCTCGCTTCAACATAGTTTTCAATATAATTTCTTTTCAATCTCAAATTATAATTCTATGATTTGAAAATTATTTAAGTTGAAAATATGATGATATTTCAAAAAAATTTCTAATTTATTTTGCAATAGTGTTTTTTAACTGTCAATCGCTGCAAATTGACTTTAATGGTAAGTGATCAAGATGCGTAAGAAATCCGATCTAGTTATGGAAAACATCTAAATGTTCAATTCAATTGTCTACTTTCAAGTTAGAATGATGACTGTTCTTCCATCGAGATATATACTTTATCAGATACATAACTTGTCCTAGTAGTTAAAACCATTTCTGTTTCATCTCATATAAATATATATATATACCATTGTCGGTAGTTTGATGCTATACAATACAAGAGATTTTACTCTCAAGTATCAGTTTTCATAAATATCTTCTAAAATAATTATCATTAGTCTCACTTGATTTCAAATAATAGCTTAATTAAATTAAATATAGAATGATTTTACTTTATTTTCACGCTCTAATCATCAAACGTATCTCTATTCAATATTTCAAAATATATAGATGATAAATTTTACTTATTGAAGATGAGTAAGCCATCGGCCTTTATCCAAGAATAATAACAACACAAAAGAAGAAAAAAAAAAATCATTTTCAAAGACGAACAAACACAAACGCTTTGAACAGAATAAATGGAACTTTAACATTTAGCACTCAAATTTATTAATGACTATGTCGGTATACACTCAAAAATAGTTAATTCAATCGGATATTTTTTATTATAGAGGACATCTCATTTTTCAGTAGAAGTTCGATAATTTTCACTGATGAATTCTTAAAAAAATAGATATTTTTTATCTAATCACCGATTTTTAACTATCGTTCTTTTTTTTTTTGACTTACCGTTACAGTTTATTATTATGTCCGTAGACTGTCACAAATGTGAAAAGGAAAAAAAAGGGAGCTGGGTATACAAGTAAGGAACAGTATGATAAAAAAGAGAAGAAAGTTACATAAGATTCCATACAATTTAAGTGATGCAGATTAGACAAAAAGGAAAAAACAGCAGTGGTTACGAGAAGAAAAACATCAAAATCTTAAGTATTCATCTTTCTTAACATTACTGGACCAAATACATAAAAAACGTAATTCTACAGGATTTTAACTTAAGCAGTTTCCTTTTTCAACTACAAATTTAATCCATACAGTTAACACACTTTCGTGAGTATTTAGGTGTTTCTTTACTCTTTTCATGTAGAAGTATTGATCCATATTTAGTGTTTTATTGAGTTGTACGTTATCCCAATAAAAGATGTCATCGAGTAGAGAAAAATTTGCAATATCTGAATCGTTTATCGTATCAATATCTGAACCTTTTATTCAAATACTTTAAGACGTAAAATTCTAAGTCTATTATACTCTTTTCTCTAGACTTTGATTCAGATATAAAATTCACAGTTGGGATTGATCGTTCAATCTAATCTTCTAAATCCGAAACTGCTCAAAACTGGTGAGCGACAGTCTGTTTCTGAAACATCATTCGCAACAGTTACTTTATCGTTCAAAAAATACATTGTGTTTCAACGTATTCAGAAGAGATAAATAATAACATATTCATGTCTTTTTCGAAGAGCACTTTAAGTCTAAATAACTGATGGTCAAATTGAAACTATTTTCTTCTCACACTTGCTACTGTTATCCAAATTCTTGTTCTTGACGTTCTTTTCTGCTATGGGTCATATAGCATAAATTTTAATCAAAATAAAAAATAAAAAAAATTTTTAAACTAAGTGTAAATCACACATAAATCTTTTTATATATATATTTATATTCAATATCGATTTACTTATTGTTATTGTGCTCATCTCATATAAATGTTTAGATTTCAAAGATGCGTGCAAACATTATGAGAAGATGATTGTCACTTATTTGACTGGAATCATATTTTTCTAATAGTTATAACATACGAGTGTCTCATTTTACGGTCACAAATATATAGTACAAGTGTTTTTTATTCAGTTGTTGTTCTTTCTTTTTTTTTTTTTTTTTCAAAAAAATAAAAACACAAATATTTTTATCTTATCATCATTATCAATATCCATTGTCCAATTAAGCATGCATTGCACGAAAAAAAATCTATAGAATACAGATTGATCTACAAACAAATTACCATGACAAGAAAAACAACTATACTAATCGACTGATTCCATACATGCAAATAAACACGTTTTCACACATTATAGTTGTACATATATTAGTGATATATTAAGCGAATCTTCTTTTATTTTTATTTTGAGATTAATAATAAACAGTTTCTGTAATCTACTTACGGGTTTGTACAATATAATAAAATATCAACACATTTATAAGTGAAACTTGTTTGTAACTTATTTAATGATATGTAGATGTGTCGATCGGTATATATGTGTATAACGGCTGTACTCACTAAACGTTTTCTATATTATTTCTCTTTATATATACATATACCTATATATTTATTGGAAAACGTTAATCATGTCCCATCATCACCTGTGTAGATATGATAATATAATGATGATTTATAGACTCATCAATATTGATTTTGTTATGTTTAATACAAATCATTATTTAAATATTTTACTTATAATCAGTAACTTGCAACAATAATTAGATTTTAAATAAATAATAGAGACTTAGTTAGTACTATCGATATTGAAGTTATTTTAAACTTGAGATATTTATCTTAAATATATTGTCATTCAAAGTTTTTATGATGTAAATCTATAAAATTCTCGATAGTCTAAATTCATACGAGACTTTTTAATTATTATTTCGAAAAAATTGTTTAGACAAAAGACTAAACGAGAAACATAGCTGCGACTTGTAATAAAAATTCTAATGACTTTTCCAGTATTTAGATCTAATGAATTCAGATCTTTCACTATTGCATTGACCAACATGAGCACAAATATATGTCAAAAATACTTTTAGTATAGAAGATAGTTAAACACATCGTTAGATGTGAAAAAACAGTTAAAGTATTGAAAAAAAATTTTATATAAAAATATTTCCATAGTCTTGTGATAAAATGTCAGGAAACATTTTATTTTTTTATATAAGCATTAATCAAACGACAATGAATTTTTTACACCAAATACTTGTGATAAATAGCTAATAGAAATGATATTAACTAATCATATAAGTCAAGTATAAAAATAAGAGTATAACTTGTTTCTTCTATCGTAGTTACATTTCTTACCTGGCCTTCTTTTGTACTCTTTTTTTTTTTCTCAATAATAATCAAGTCTTATGTGAATATAGAATATAGAGAGTCCTATTTTCTCAATGTAGAATTGAGTCTTCAAACTTTCTTTTATTAAACTGAAAGACAGAAATTCTCATTATTGTCATCCGTTCGATTAAAAGAGTCAAAGTTATATAATTTCTCAAAGACAAATGGCAAACGTTTGTATTTTGCCTGATCAATTGTACGTGTGATTTATCTTGTGTGAACGACTAAATAAATGTGATTAAAGATCATATCGGGAAGAATCAGAGATAAAAATTTATCCAATTAAATGAAGGAAATATTCAAAAATAAAATAAAAATTGATCATTTAAAGACGAAAAACAATTATTATTTTCTTTTTCTTCGTTTACTAAATGATTGTTTTCATTACTAATTATTTTCTATGTACAGTATAATTGATAAATAATTGATGTTTATATCACTTAACATATACGTATCAACAGTTAGAGTTATATTTATTTATAAAAATATGTAGAACAATGAATGACTAACCGCAACTGCGGTCCTTATTTTATAAAAAATATAATATATATTTGTCATTAATCTTGTTACTGTCAAATTTTATTACTCATTAGAAAAATTTGACTATAACATTTTAGTCATCCTCTATGTTCGAAAATCTTATTTAACGAACTGGAACCGTCAATATTTTTATACGTCCATTCTAAATAGATTTAATTCAAGAATAAAAATTGTTAGTTAATGATGAAATTATTTTATTATACGTCGGTTTACTATTTCCGATTATTGCTGTGTATAAATAAATGCATAGTATAACTATTGTCATGTCTTTCGAAAATGAATATATTCTTAGATATAGAAAAAGTCCGTTTAATTAACAGGTATCTTTTTCTAATAACGAGATATTTGGTGCTCGTTATTACGTACAGACGCCTAAGGGAGTTGACTATATATGTGAAAAAGAAAAATGAAATGAGAAATGACATCTTAGAGCTGTTATATTCTATTCTATAAGTATATAGTTGACATGATTTTGATTTTTTGATGACGAAAAGGATGGTCACACGATTATTTAACATGATCGTCTTTTTTTTTTTTTTTCTTCTTTGACTTGTTAACTTACGATCATCATATTCATAAAAAAAAAATTAAACGATGATTAAGACTTCCAACTGCGACAATGTTTTGTCAACAAGTTGAAGATGTACACTTGGATAGACTTGATAACGGACATTATGTATTCTCCCAAAAGGCCTATTCTACATTTAAAAAATGAATAAATGAAAAATTCAAATTATTTTCAACGAAATTTTTAGTAGCACACAAGGTAAGATCGCGATAATCCGATAGTTCATAAAATATAATTTTGTCTAATCTCTCTTCATTCTAGCTAAAAAAAAGATTAAATAAAAACTGCATCTCACAGTTTTACGACTGCTCTTCTTTTAAATAAAGAAAAAATAAACAGGTTGTACAAAGTTCTTAATAATAAAAAAATGATCTGTTCATATCAAAAATGTTAACGGGAAGGAATATCGTCAAAACTGCAAAATCAAACAATCAAAAAAGAGAAATAAAAACAAAACTTTTTCAACTATCTGACAAACTACTGAGTAGTAAATATCAACAAAATCAGAATTTCTTATTAGAATTCCTAAATGGTGACACATGCACCATTGATAAAAAAAGCAAAGTAAACAGAGAAAAATTTTATATCAAACAATTTGAATGAAATAGCAATAGTTCAGAATGAACACAATCAATGATTTAAGAAACTTGATATATAATTCTTTGTATTAATTAGCCAGCCTTGCATCCACGACATTAAATAGTTGGATCCTGTTGAATTTAATGATCTTGCATTTTTTATCTTATCTTGTCGTTGTGCTTCTGAATAATTTTCCAAAAACGAAAAAGTTTTCCTTTTAACTGGGCAGGATGTGGTAATACTACTGCACGTAACTATTGCACTGAAAAAGTAGTAAACATGTTCCAAAACTTAACTATAAAAGCGTCGTACAATTAGTGGTTACCCGGATGATCGACTATAACTTGTTCTTGACAATAAATGTCTGTTAAATTCACATTGTAACTTGGCACGTGCTTCAGAAGATGAGCTGCCTTGAGCATAAACAATATGATTCATTTTTGGTATATGAGTAGCAACTTTTTGAGAAGATGTGTCTCCTCTTAAAACAGCATAGTTGAATTGTTAGTTTTAAGCGCTCTGAAAGAAAGAATTCAACTTACCGGTGTGCTTCTGGAATACTCTTTAGATTTGCCTGCACTGAATTCATTTCTGTAGTCAACTTTTGTGTTTTTACTGTGTCTTCTGCCGATGTAGATAAAATTGAGGCTGTACCAGATGTGCTAGAAAAAAGTTCTTTAAATAAGGTTCATATATGACGAATTAAATAGTTTTTATCTGTTCACTGACCGTTTAAATTTTTTTTTATCAGGCTTTCTTTTTGGAGATAGAGATCTAAACAAAAGCTTAAATTGATAAAAAGCGACAAATACATAATAATTTCATACTACTACACCTTGAAAGTTTTCGTTTTTCACCTTTTGTCGATGGTCTTTTGAGTGGTTTTGGTAAAACGTTATGTTCACAGATTTGTTCAAGAAAAAACAATTTGCTAAAAGAAATTAAGATACCCGATTCGAAGCTTTTGCTCAATTAGACAATGAAAAAAATAAAAGTTTCATTTTGTCCCTTCTGTCTATTGTTTTAGAGAATACAGAAGCAAATTATAAACATAATGTCATACCGTAATTGGAGATAATAACGGATGCGCTCATGTGCCAAATAAATATGATGTTTGTGTGATAATTCTTCATACATCTTCTTTTCACTAGTCAATTCGCCAAATTTTCGAATATTACAAACATCAATTGACATCATCATTTGAACTTCTTCTTTATTGGTTAATATTCTCGATGGGTCGCCTAAACAAATTCTTGTAGTACATATTACAGTAAGAAAAATCAGATGTTTTAATACTTATTCGAGATTTCTTCATTAATTTAAACCGATTTATTTCGTTTACACACTTTTCATTTTCTTCAATAAAGTATGTTGTCGTAGTCGTGTTGTATTTTGTATTAATTGATTTCTTTTCCACAGATTGTAAAAACCATGTTTGTATTTGATCATGAAGATCTTGATGAATACCCGGATATGTACGCCTGTATTCACGACAATAATAATATTTTATGTAGTTTTCAAAATTCTCTAAATAAAATATCATTTGAATAATTGTTCAAAAATCTATTTACTCAAGAAACCAACCTTTTGGTTTATATTCACCTTCCTCAGACATACTTAAACTCTAAAATAGTAAATTATTTATCTGAAAAAAATGAAAACGTTGAAATTAGGGTTGCCTACCAGGAAGAACAAAAAATTGGCTATATTGGCAAAAATGTTGTTGCAATCAATGCTCTCTCTATTGAACTTGAACTTTAAAGTTTAGTTTATGCCCAAGAAAACATCTCGTAACAAAGGAAAGCACACAAAAACTAAACGCTTGTAAAATACAGTGCCATCACGTGGAAAAACAACAACCGCGAGAAGAGAGTATATTGGCAACCCTGATTGAAAGATATATGATATATCACAAAAGATTACGTAATTTTACTTTTAAAAGCAAGAATATTAGCATGAAATACTAAAAAAAAGCGTTGGATTCATCTTCACTCAATATTATTTGTTTTATTGCTAATCTTAAGTCTCGTATTTTCGCTAAATTAGTTTTGAGCATTTCCAAATCTTGTTTCGAATACTCATGCTGTCAATACACTTTCTAACTAAGGTTGTCATACTCTATCATTTAGAAGTATTTGTCCAAAAATATGTATCAAGTTGCCTATTCGAAACACGTGGACAAGAACGTTTGTGTTTACCGCTATCATTTGAAAAACATTTCAGAGAACAAGAGCGCCATCTATATGAATTTTATCGTTTGGATTCTAACTTTTGTCACATTTTCTAAAATATTAGAATCAGTTTGGTGGTGACAATAGGATTCGCGAGAAGATTTTTCGCTAGACGTTCACAGTAGAAGAGCACATCTAACGGGAAAAATGACGGCTATACAGCCAATTATACGCTTTATCTGTGACATAGTGATTACAAGGTTAAGATGCATATAACTTGACATGAAGACTCATCATCAGCGGCATGAGTGCTGTCGAGCGATCTTCAAGTTTTGATTGATGTGATTTTTTTTGTACTTTATTTTTCGAAACAAATGGGATATCTCAAAGAAATGGCGGATCAAAAAATAGTAATCCGCCGTCACTAACTTTTGTTGCTACAGTATCTCAGTCATACTTGGTTGATTATTCAATTATTTTACATAAATATCAAAAATAAATTCGACGCTGCTGTTTTTGTTCTTAGGAATAGAATAAAAATAATAGGTACACCAGCTTTTTCTTATGGAAATAATGCACTTTTGACATAAATTTAGATTTTAACTGCAGTTAAAATGTAGTTGTAGGAAGAAGAAATGGGGAGTCATGTGTTAACGTAATCTATGAGTATATTTTTCTATCTTGATTAGTTATGTACAGTCAATTTTCTATGAAAGATTGTACTTTCTAATCCGTCTAATCTACTGGTATCAGGAAGCAGATCATATTTTTCAGGATTGAATATGAATAGACCCTTAATTTAAGTCTCATTTTAGATTAGCTTTACTTTTGCTTTTTGCTGTTTTTTTGGTGTTTGTCTGAAACGAGGAAACAATCCTCAATAGCCAAGATACACGTCAAATATACGTTTTCATTTTACTAATAAGTTTAGAAAGATGTCGTCAAAAATAAAATCTGGGCATAAAATTAAAACAAAATCAAAATTCAAAGTTCAACATCAAAAACACAAAGTATTTCGAGCCAATGATCCACTCCTTTCCGTCTTAATGTGGGGAGTGAATTTTACGGTTAGTTACCCATTTTCTTCTGGTTGTTTCTCTTGTTTATGTTTCCATTGTTAATCTTTTTGTATTTTTCAGAATCGTCAGTTAGATAATGTAAATATTCCTGTAATGCTACTTCCCGAACACTTCAGAGCGTACATTAAAATTCGTACTGACAATCAAAATTTTAATAAGTATGAGTCATAGCCTTAATAACGAGTCAAAATTTGACTATCTTTTTCTTCTCTTTTTAGGGAAGTTATGCCAAGTCATTTTAAAGTAAAAGAATATTGTCCTCTAGTATTTCGTGCTTTTCGAGAATATTGGAAAATTCACGATAGTAGTTTTCGAGATTCATTATCCGACTCACCTATTCCATTAGATCAACTAACAAAGTCAACTTTACCTATTTATTTATCATCAGACAGACGTTTTATCCTCAAATGTATTACGAAAGAAGACGTTGGACAAATACATCAAGTACTTCCAGAATATCATAGAGTATGTATTGAAAAGCATAATCTGTCGTTTAGTAGTGTTTAAAAGTTGATATAAGTTATACTTCGACGTTCATATTTACTGTTGATATTATTGTTTTTTATTCGTAGTACCTATGTAACGATACTTCTTTTCATTTGTTGTTCAGTATATAGTTGAAACACAGGGTGATACATTATTACCTCATTTCTATGCGATGTATCGTTTAACGGTGGATGATAAAGAAAATTATATTCTTGTAACGAAAAATGTTATATCCAGTAGACTGAGAATACACGCGAAATATGATGTTAAAGTATGTCGAAAATGACTGGTCAACATTTATCATTCTTTGTCAATTAAAATTTATGTCATTATAGGGTTCAACAGTGGACCGTAGTGCATCAGATAAAGAAAAATCAAAAGGCAGCCCAACATTAAAAGATAACGATTTTATTAATGATAAACGAATCATTGAAATCGGCGATCAAAAAAGAACATTTATGGATAAATTGAAGCGAGATGTTAATGTATGTTCATCGAAAAATCTGGCAATGTGGTGAATAATTTTGTTATTTTTAGTTTTTAGTTACTCAATATTTAATGGATTATTCATTATTAATTGGCATTCACGATATAGAGAAAGGTGGGGTACAGGAAAAAGAGTATACATTGACAAGTGGGAGCGAAATGGCGACATCGGACTTGTCTGGTAACGAAAGTGACAACAATAATCCGTCCGGTTCTGGTAAGTGTTTTGTGTACAATTACCTTAATATAGTGTAAAAAAGGTGATATGTTTCTCCTGTTCAGAAAGTCCTACGCCTGGTAATGAAGAAGCATTATGGGATGATGAAACATTCATGATCAGAAGTTCTGAAAGTAAGTAAAGGTTAATGGCTGACGTTTAAGCGTTTTGCAATGGATAAATGATGAGAATACTTGTTTGTATAGCCGATATAAAAACGATTAATTTCTATAAAGCTTTTTTACATATCTATCTTTTTTTTACGAGTTTTTATGTTTAGATTCTGCGCGTCGTGAATTATATTGGATGGCTCTTATTGATTTTACCTATTATGGTATGAAGAAAAAAGGAGCAAATGTCGCTAAAACAATGAAATATGGAGGTGACGAAATATCGACCGTTAATCCAGAACATTATGCAAGAAGATTTTTAGACTTTATTGAAAAAGTTATTGTTTGAATGATATTTCTAGAAGAAAATTCAGACCACTGTTCATTATCTTCCCAATTTTTCGTTTTAGTACTAACGGCAATTTGCCAATAGACATGTTTTTATTTTCTTATCTCTTTTTTTCTTTAAAACTAAGTTTTTATGTTTATACTCACATCTGGGCAAGTTTTGTTTTATGTGTGTATTTGGTTCTTTTGCAGTATCAGTGTGTTCCTTACTTTTTGTGAGAGAAAAATGCCTCAACAGAATTAGAATCTGCTACAGCTTCGTGTTAGAAATGATGACGTGTACATTGTTATTTTATTGTTTTATTAAATATGTGTGTTACTTGTTTGCTAACTGTCATACAGTCTCTACTTTTTTTTGTTTGTATATGATGCACATAAACTGGTGTCTGCCATTATTTGATCCTATTTCTTTTGGGGGATTAGTTATCCTGCAAAATCAGACTCGGTTTTTTTCTGTCCTAATTAGCAGTTAAGAGGAACATCTAGTCAAGGAAGACCATGAGCAAGTTGTTATATTTTATGCATTCATCTGAACTTGATTCTTTAACAGAACACACTAGACAAATTTATTGAACTCTAAAATTTATTTAGTAGTCTTTTTCTTCTAAAAGCTAGTTTATCTCTTACAGTGTAATTTTTTGTGCAATGAATGTACTAATGTTTTAGTATTACTCTTAATTTAACTCTTTATTTGTACATGCGTAGTCTAGTCAAATATCATATATATTTCTGTTGTATGTGTGTGCGAATGTACTTTTAAAAGGTGACGATAGGATGTATACAAATTTCTTTCAATGAAATAATTTCTTTGATGTTTCTTGTGTAAAATGAATGGTGCATCAGTTCGCCTTTGTGTGCATGAAATACTTTTATCTATTTTATCTATTCGTCTTTCAAAGAAAAGAAATTCAGTATCAGGATTTGTTATCTATGTCATCGGGGAAAGTTTTTGAATCGTTTGGAAGAATTTAATGGTGTTAGTTGTTTTTCCCTTTTTCGTAGCTACTTGTTGTTGATGTTTTCGTATTATGTCTTCTACCTACTTGTTTTTATTGTTCTCAATTTAACAATATCTTATAATACAACTCTATTTCTGAAAAAAGATTTTTGCATGAATTATGTTAAAAGAGAAGTAACGAAGGAAATGAACAAAATAACACTTCAATAAATGATTTTGTTCATTCAAGTGCCAGAATTTGAAATACCTAATAACAGCAGCGAACAATCTCCAATTGTTTATTTATAATATAATTGTTTTATTGTCAACGTTTCCGACTTTCTAAGTCCATTTTCAAGATAAAAGGATGGTACAAATGACTTTAATTACAATAAAAAGAGTGAAAGAATATAATTCACATTTTTATCCTGTGAAAAGGAAGAAGTAAAATACCACTGATGCACATGTTACGAATAAGAATATGTGCATATCTTCGTCATTTCATCTTGGTGTATTGAGCGATTAGGATTTGTTCATCTTTTGAATTATTACACAAGAAGTTTCAATATATTGAAAAAGTATCGCTTGAAAATGGTTATTCATCAAATTTTATAAAAAGTCAAATTCGAAACACACTAAATGGATATGTTGGCAAACGAAATGGAAATAAAACCATTGCCAACACTTAAATAACAATCAAAAGTTCCTTCAAAAAAGCAACAAGTATTTATAGATCTTCCTTTTGCCAGAAAACCAACCGAAATACTGGAGAAGAAAATTATCAACTTACCAAAATAGATACGGTCCTAAATACAGGTTCAACCTATACCTCGTCCACCACCAGCCATCTCAACGTATTTTCCTATAAAAGACCCAATTCCTGAAGAACTTCGATATCATACTGTATATCAAGTAGATTGTAAAAATTGTGATACATCTTATATTGGCAAAACAAGACGACAGCCTATTCAAAGATTTAAGGAGCATAGTGTCCCTCAAGTAAAGAAGCGACCTTCCCAGTCTATAGTCACAGCAAAAGACACATTGGGCTTGAGACGTTCTGACAGTGGAAGGAAAAGTAATAAAATAGAAAGAACAAAAAATCGAAACAGATTCAGAAACAGACAGCAATGAATTTGAAAAGGAACAAAATTAATTGGAATGAATTAAGACTATTGTCTAAAGGTCCCATAAATTACCAATCATTGTTCCGTGAATCACTATGGATTATAGCTCGACAATCATCATTGAACAGAATAGTGTGTTCCGTACCATTACTTGTTTATCCAGAAAGACTACCCAAAGTGAAATTAAAACAATGGTGCATTCATAAAAAACCTAGGAGGGATAGGGGAAAACAACGAAGAATATGAGCATATTCTTCTCATAACATGTATATCAGCAGTATTTTCTTCGTTTTCACAGGATAAAAATGTGAATTGTATTCTTTCACTCTTGTTATTATAACTAAAGCCATTTGTATGAGATATTACGTAGGAAGATACAAGTGAATTAGAATGAATAAGAAAATTTATATCAATTTCTTGCTGCAGGTGATAGTATTTGCTACAATCATCAAGCATGACAATATGTTGATATAACATTTATTGTTGCAAAACACAATTATTAATTGTCTGTCATTCTGATTCAACTCTGGGAAGAGTCTAATCGTCGTTGTTCATAGTATATACTCAATGAGAGAAAAAGAACGTAATATACATAAGCACATATTTTATGCTAACAGAGAACAAATAATATGACTCACCGTTGTCTTTTCTCTTGATACATATATTTTTCTCAGTTTGTAATCTATATAGTCGTGAAAACAAGTAAACAAAGTCTAATAGTTTCCTATTAAATCAGATTTAATTGAATTTCATTCTTTTTGTCTTGAATCATTATCCGAATAAGATTATGGTAACATATTCATCTGACGTATTATTAATCTTATGTTGTTTTATCATCTTCAATTTTGTTGTAGATTTTTGCCAATCTTAATAATCCATGTGCTGTTTTGAACTCATATTTCTTCTAAAATTTTGTTTTGTTTTTTATTATGAATTTTATAATGTCTACATTGTTTCGCACATGTATTGCCCGTTTCGATAATTTTTCAATATCTTTGATATTAATACATTAGGATCATGTTGTCATGTCACTACAGCATTGTTTAAAATCCATTTAATTTTAAATAATAAAACACAATAAGACATAATAAGACAACAAGGAAAAGAACAACGTTAAGTCAATCATAACTTAGCAGTGTTTCAAATAAGATGATGCATTTTGGTTTAATTCTGTAAGGAAATGGACAATTACATGTGCGAAACAATATAGCCCATGGCGAAATTTTGTCGAAGTTTTACGAAGTTGGGGTCGTGCAGTTGCAACATCAAATACGCGATCACGTGTGAAAAGTTTCCGTGAGCAGTTCACGCGTTGTCACAAGTGGAATATATTTTTTACGTGTGTTCGCGCACCTTTTTACGATGTTCGCGTCCGACCACACAGTTCATTTCACGATATTTACGGGTGTGGGTTTATATACTAAAATTTCCCATGGGAGACATTACAAAATTCATAATCAAAAAACATTGTCACTTGATATTTGAATGAAAGAACAATAAGCATTTTCGAAATAACGTTTTATGTATACATGTTTTGAACTCATATATCTTCATAAAGAGACGCGAAATCAAATTTTTTTCATTGTTTTAATAAACTATGTATACAGTATACTGTACACTATAGTGTAAAAGTATATAATCAGTTTGGTGACAAAAAAATTGAATTTTTTGAGCGTATTCTTTGCTGGTTATTTTTCGTTCAGCGCTTTCTGGGAAACTTCATAACTCGGTCAAAAAAGGACGCAGAAATCTGCGGAACGTCTCCTTTCGATATACACAAAGCCAATGGATTTTGTTAAATGATCAACAAATTATTCAAATGGAATGGAACGATGTATGACAACGTCTAAAATCGATGTGTATACGATTAAATATAATGGCATATGCTCGAGGTGAAACAGACAGCAAATCTCCGTTCTGGACGAATAACTGAAAAACCAAAACTCTCGAACATTTTTTATTTTTAATTCTAAGATTTTATAACTACAAATCGAAAACATGTTTGATATGATTATTGTCGATGAAACCAGAAGAATGAGGAGACTATTGGTTTTCAAATATCTATTTCAGTTATTGTTTTATTGGCATTAGGCATATTTCTCAATCAACAAATACCATTAACTGTTATAGCATTATCTCTACAATAAAGTATTTCCAATTTTATATTCGTTTTAATAAATCACATAAATTGGCAATATCAATCTCTAATTTGTTTAAATTTAACCTTTCCAGTTTATGATCGTTAAATATTGATTTTATTTTCGTTTGTTCAAAACCTTGATCACAACAATCTGCAATAATCAATATTTCTACTCAGGAGAATAAAGACGGGCAACTACTCATTAACTGTCGGTTTACAGTCTGACTGTCACTTGACAACGTGTTAACTGTTTAAAAACCACCTAAAAACTGTCTAACTTATTGGTCGTTTTTAGGTCTACAAAAATACCGTCTAATAACTGCCGGGAAACGGAGAAGCCAAAAAACAGCCAATTAACTGTGTCACAAAAGTATACGGTAAGATTAATATTTGAAATATGAAAAATCAGCTCTATCATCCGTAACTTTCGCAATTTTCAAATATATCTTAGAAAAAAACATTATAATCTGCAAACAATATTCATTTGATCGAGAGTGACCATCGGAATGCCTTTTGTGAACATGTTGATCTTCAGTCAGTTTTTCAATAATTTTCAGCTATCTACCGACTATATTTGTAAGAGGAGAGAAAGAGGAAATAAATCGTTATATTTATTAAAATTCATTATACATGATAAGCAGGGCAATCCGAGAAGACGTATGATCTTTCGAATATTATGGCTCGGTGTTTTACGTTAAAACTACGTTTTTGTCCAGAAATATCGCTTTCCTATAATTGCTTACTTGAATGAAGGCTATTCTAAGATGTCAGGAAGTCTGTCTCCACGGAATTCCTTGAACAGATAGATATAAGTGCACAAAGATAAAAAACTGATATCTCCATCAAAATCATCAATTTTCATATGAGAGTTCAAGTCAAGATATTTGTCTCAAAATTCACTATATTTTCTGCCACTTTCCTGATGACAAAGATTACCATGAGATTGAAAGTAATCGATAACATGCGCATTCTAGATCGCTCTCAGGCATCCGGCAAAAACCGGTACCCTATGGAACTGATGGTATATGGAAGAAAACGGGTTTGGCTGACCATGTAGAAAATACTTCGGATCATCTTTCTTGCTTCGATCATCTATAAATAATTACTAAAAGATATAACTACGACCATCTTTGTGCCAAATTGTTGTTCCATTTTTCTTCAAATCGTCTCTTTTCGGGTTTTTTTCTTGACTCTCGATAATTTTTCTAATCTGATTGATTGTAGAACAATAACTTTTTTTGTTTATCGGATAAACTAATTGTATTAGCTTCTGATAGAGCTCGATTTTTGACATAAGCCTTTCCTTCGCGTATACAGAAAGATGTGTAAGAATTCTCAAAACGGTTTTCGAAAAGTCCTAACTTCGAAAGTACTTTTAAGTTCAAGAAATTTGAAAAAGTAATTTCAGTTCCCTGAAAATCAGTACATATTAGAAATATAAAGGTGAAATTCTAACTACAGTCTACTATCTCATGACTAACACTTTCTGAAAACTGTGTCAATATAATACAGTGAAAGTATTTCTAGAAGAAACAGGAACGTCGTGATGTGTTCTATTAGACACTTACTTATTCTACTGAACTTTTGAACTACGAAAATTCGCAATTATTTGATGATCGGATGTTGATTTTGCTTTCGATGAAGTTCGGCTTCATGTCAATTAACTTTAATATTTATTTTATATAACGGATAACTTGTTCTCAGAAAGGGTAAAAGTAAACGTTAGACATATTTTGTACGGTAAATACCTTTTATGCTTCCTGTTTGAAACATACATTTTTTCATAAAATGTCGAGGTTGAGGTAAAGCACATAGTTAGATAGATGTCTACTCTTAGCATCCACAGTGTTTCTACCAATATCAGAGGATTTTAGGGTTTTAGAAGAAGTTTTCTAAAAAGCCTGAAAACACTGATTTTTCAGATATTCTGATATTTCAGTAAATTACCGGAATTAAAATGGATTTCAATGATGCTAATTTGCAGACCAAAAATTCCTGATTGAAGATCGACGTTCTTCAACTTTAAGCGATGGTTTGATCAAACGTTATGACTATTTTACTGAGAGTCGTAAAACTTGTACCATACACTCATTTCGAAACCAATCCGAGTACTCCAGCATCTGCTCGAATGAAAAACTTAGAGAAATACGAACAGCTCCATTTTGACCATTATTATGGCGTGTAAAAAAAAATTGAATTTTTTGAACGTATTCTTTGCTAGTTTTCTCCGTTCGGCGCTTTCCGGGAAACTTCATAACTCGATCAAAAAAGGACGCAGAAATCTGCGGAGCGTCTCATTTTTATGAGAAAACTCTTTTTTTAATTTGTTAAATGGTCAAAAATGGCTTTTAACTAATAGACTTTAAAATTTTAGGCTTTTTAAAATTTTAAACGTTCATATTTTTAAGTCGGTTAAATTTAGATTAAAACTTTGTTATTATGGGTCTAATTACTGCAGAGTGTTCTCTATACAAATCTGTCATCGAATATCTTCTAGTTATTTTCGTTTACAAGAAAATCCAGAAATAAAAGTGGTCTTAAACTTTTGTCCAGCTTTCCCGCTCAGTTGTTTTACAAGTTCCCATATGTCATTCATCTACAGAGTTTGTTTATTCAGAATATTGTAGAGTATTTTTCTATAGGATTTATCGTTAATTAGCAGAGGTTTGTTTCAGAAAACTCCATGTATTTGAATGGACCGGCCGGAATTACCCCACGCAAAATAGCTTATCGGCCGGAATTACCCCACATGGGGTAATTCCGGCCGGTTTGGAAGTCCCTGTCTCCTTTTGAACACTGGTGGAAAATGGAGAGGGATTTTTAGGAAATTTTTACATCAGTGGATAGAGAACTGTTAGTTCCATCTTCATATTCAATAGCACGCTTATCTGATTAAAAACGCCTTAGAAATACGCAAAATACTAAGAAACTTTGTGCAAGTGGCCGGAATTACCCCATCTGACTCTACATATGCACTTCAAAATGTGTAAAAGTCTTTTCTCTACAAAATGTGTTCATAACCAAATTGAAAAAGCAGTGGAGAAAAGCCAATGAAAAGCGGATCCCTTCTTTAAAGGAGTTATGTCAAAACTTGCATATTTTTAGACAAATCATATATTTACTCTCATTTTTAAAATTTTTCGATTTACTCTGAAATCGAAGGTCCCTCTTCCTACTTCTTGTACTTCGCGGCATCTCAGATGACAAGCGGTTTTTATTTGTCTATTTACGGGAACCCGAAGAAAAGTTTCTAATCAAAGCAAACTATTTCTCTCTCTCTACTAATTCTACCTCAATTACAAAAACACATTGCTTTTATTGTTATTGTCATTTTCAGACGTATTATATTAATACAAACAGTGAAACTGGTATCTAGTTATATACAACCAGGGATATCAGATCTAAAACATGAAACTCAGAAAATAAAAGATCAAAATGAGAAAAAACTTAGAAAAAGAAATTTAACATCAGAAAATCAGAACATTTCAGTAGAAAAAGGAGCAGAAACAACAAGGCAGAAAAAACTGCAAAAATCAGAATTTTTCTGCTAAAATCAGACGATCTGAGACCCCTGCATACAACTAAAAAACAGAAACTGTAAGAAAAATACACAGTAGCCTAGCAGAAAAAAGGTATATAAGAAACGTGAGATCGATTTAGCTCAAAAGAACTTTCCAGATAAAAATTTCATTCGAAGAGGTTGTATACAAATAATTTTGTGTTTTCGAAAATTTAATATGATTGATACAATCACTGTTACTAATAAAATCTTGAAATGTACCTAAATTATAATCTTTTATTTGTACTAAACGCTCTTTGGTACCGAATGCTATTAAACGATGATTGTTGTCGTCTCCATCGTCATTAGTTAAGCTTGATACATCAAAACAGTTGCACCATTGACTCAGTGCCATTGTACGAATAATTTGCTTTGTTTCAATATTATAAAATTGAACGAGTTTTTCAATACCATATCCAACATAAATAAGAATATTCTGTTCTGTGGATGAAAAATAAGCCAGACTGGGAGGATAAAATTTCCAATTCTACAATTAGAAAAAAAAAAGTACAAATGAACATACGTCTGAAGCGCTAATTATTTTTAATAAATAAGAATTATTCGCTATACCAGGTACGTATGTGAATGAGTTGAACTGATAATAGAGCTTGAGTCAAAGTTGCGGTTGGATATATATATATATATATATAATATTCCTACATATTGATCGTACCTTTGTGCTTTCGTACACTGTTCCATCTGGAGCAAATGGTGGCGCTACGAATGTTAACCAATCGTTCAACTGACATTGCTCAAAATGCTTATTTGATTTCCATATGCTGACACGTCGATCATGACTTGTTGCTAAAACGATATATTTTTATTATTGAGTATTAAAGTTATTCGATATATTTTCACAGTATGAAAAAATTGTACAAACAAAATAAGTTTGTTAAACATTATGTTTATCACTGCTTTACAAACAATTGTAAATAAGTTACCTGCCCATACATATGGTAAATCTTCATTACCAACAGATTTTAAATATTTCGAATCTATAGAACATATCGGTGCATTTCGCTGTTCATTCAATACACGCAAAACAATTCCTTGTGTTAAACTCGATATGATTAATGTGCCATCTTGAGCACCTGACACTACAATTGTACCTAGAATAAAAATATGTAGAGAGCACCGGTATGCTGTACAGTAAGTATTTTCTAATAGCAGACGGACAACAGAGTTTTTTTGCTCGTGAATTGTTTTTCATGAAAAATTATCATTCTTTAGTCATCGTCTCTGACGTTTTTAAACAAAAAATAAATATTTTCCGAAAAAAGGATTTTTTTCGAAAAATCGATCTTGCAGCTTCATTGCAAAAAATGTCTGTCGATACTTTTTCGATCCGAAGCATATGGTTCGATGGAGTTTGACGAGCAAATTCCGAATATCAACTTACTTTTCAATAGAAATGCTCCCATATCAAAACAATTAGATTTTATCTTAGAAACCCGTAGCACGGTCTAGAAAAAGTTGCGCAACGGTAAACATTTTGGTATATTTTTAGATCAAATCAATCGATGAGAAAAAGTGAGAAATTGTTTTTTCTAAGCACAGCTTTTCGGAAAATCACTTAGTTCAGGAAGAATTTTTTTATCCTACAACAGGGGTCAAAATCTAAAACTATTTTTTAACAATCCATGGCTGAGAAGATTAGAATTCAGAGTATGCATCATTTTTCTTTTTATAAAAGTTTGTTTCGTGTAATATAAAAGCAACTTTTTCTGAAACAGGTGTTTTTAGGCTAAATTTTGACTTAGTATTTTCCGACGATTAGAAACACCTATAACAAAAAAATTTTGTCATTAAATATATCATTATTCAATGTATTCGAAGCACTATTCAGATCTAAAAAAGTTCACTTATAATTTTTAGCCAAATGGTCGCACTGTGTGTAGATATCTAGGTTTTACTTACTATTGAGTGGAACATGGACAACTGTTACTGATGTTGTATGCGGATGTAATTTTACAACCATTTGTGCATATAGGAGATTAAACAATCGAATCGTTCCATCATCATAACCAGCAACGATAGAACGAATTTTTGTTATTATATTTTTCACTGGACTCGCATGACAATCATTTGTTGGTGTTATTGCATTTTCCCATGGTGCTATACATGTCACTTTCTAAAATAAAAAGAATAGAAATATTTATTCTTAGTTAATTCTTTTTTCAATTACTGCCAACTTACAAGTCCATTAGCATCAAACTTCAGTAGTTCATCTCTATCATCTAATTGCCATAGTCTAATTGTACCATCTTCACTAGATGTTATTAGATGTGTATCTTCAATGGGCACAATACCAGTAATCGTATGCACGTGGGACGCTAACAAACGTGTTTTTGAACGATCTGACCAACAAATACAAAACAATGAACCATTCGTTGTTCCAACGATACCCATGTCAAATGTAGAATCAAATCCACCACTAATTATTGCACCATCTAACTGAAGTTCATTTTGAATTATTAGACCAAAGTTACTAAATTGAAGAAAACAATATTTATAGAAGAATATCACGAAAACCAATACTACATACGTTTCATTATAAACGATGCTGTTATTATAGCTATTTGACATAGTGATATTTGATTCTAAATGCTCAATATTCCATAATTTTAATAAACCCTCTGATGATCCGGTGATTAATTTGTGTTTGATTGATATCATATAGCATATTTCAGTTTGATCGGCTTTCCAGTGCAACATGCAAACATTTGTTCTTGTGTTCCAGCATGTGATAAAACCAAGATTTGTCGAGCATAAAACAAGATTTCCATTCGTAATATAGACACACGATGTTATTTCACAATGATTTAAATGTTCAACTAATGTAAGTGGCATTGTCTGGCTAATTACATGCAAGCGAATATCATTTGGATTACTTCCAATAATTTTACAAAAATTGATTGTTCCATTTGAACCACCTGTCACAAATTCATTAGTACTTGATGGATCCCATGACAAACAATGGATGGATATTTGCTTTTCTGACTCATCTTCCCAGTTCAAAATGTTTGTATAATCACACATATTCCAGAGAGTGAACAAGGGTTTTACATAATCACCAACAGTAACCAGAAAACGATCATCTCTGTAAAGAATAAAAAGAGTTATTAGCAGCAACATAATATATTACAAATGCGACATGTTTTACCTCGAAAATGCCATACAAGTGATACCATGAACAGGTTGTTGTAGAAATACTTTCTGTTTTAAGCTTTTAACATCCCATATAATAATTCGAGATTGCATTTCACGATTAAATGAAGATGAACATTGTGCGCTAGCAAAAACACTGACATCGTTTGCTAATGCTAATGTTGATATTTCGTCCGAGTGTCCTATTTTAAATACAAAATTAGAAATTTGATACTTTTTTTATTCGAAGTACCTACCAGATAAAACTGTTTGTTCGCTTTGATTCAAATTTTCAACGATAACATTGCATCCAACACTATATACAAATAGGCCAGTGTGAGGGTGCCAAATAACGTTTTCTCGTCCGTTGCCATTGTAACCGATAATTGATGACAACTTTAAACCTTCTTGATTCGGCGGTGCCAAATAACGTTTCTATTACAAAAACTGATATGAAGTCTAGTTCTAAAATACCTTTCACTATAAATATACTTTCGCTATTTGTGAATGATTTGCACGTTTCAGAAAATGACGCTTAATTTTAGGCAATATTCTTGATGATGATGTTAGTGAGTGTAAATCTGTTTGATAGAAACCTTTTTTGGTATGTTGGAACTTTATGGTTGTTTTTCTGAATAAAGAAAGTGATCGAGATAAACAACTTAACGTGATTGATTAAAAGAATACTTTTCTTTTGAAGAATTATTAATCTCTGTGTTAGAATAAGACTTTGTTATTGCCTGCGCACTCTAAAAACGTAGTCAAACAATTATCGCACTACTTATTTCATTTATTGGTTTTAGTTATTAAAGGATTACTTGAAATTGTCGAACACTTTCCCCGTTGGGTTTATGTTTTGTATTCTTTGAGTGTTCGATACTAGCTGATGTCGCTCGTTGTCGATCTACAAAAAAAAGAAGCGCATCGTATTTTCGAGGTTACATTTTTATAAAGACATTTTATTCACCAGCATCATGATAACTGAATGGTTGATGAGGATATCGTGGCATTCCGTTAACCGTATCATCTTGTTCGAGTACTAAATGTGTCAATATGTGATTACATCATATTTTCAGTAAACACTTATATTCTCTTACTTTTTGTCATTACAGACTGTGGCGATATAATGCACTGTGCATTGCTGGAACAACAATAAAAACGGTTATTTTTTGTACTACTGAGATAGAAAACATACTTTGGCATCAACGGTAGTGGTGTTGACCAAGCTAACACATCCCATATGAATATTGAATCTCCAACACTAATTACATTCATATTGTCCGGTGTGAAAAATAATTTTCGAACGGATTCTGAATGTCCTACAAAACTCTAAACAACGAAATCTATGACAGACAAAGTAAATTTGTTCATCAACTCACTTGAAAATTGATATCGAGTCTCATATCATAATCCCAAAACTTAATCAAGTTATCGCCAGATGTTAATAAATATTGATTATCGGATGACAATGCTAGACTGTCAAATGAACGTTTATGCGTACAACTAATCTGAAATGAAAGAATTATTAGAATTAGACATAAGCCATGATCAAAATGTTTCGATGACGATAGTGGAGTATGGCCTTCAAAATTTCTTACCGCCCTCGACCGCGCAGATTATACAATTTTTTGACAATGCAAGTTTAAAAATGTTTTTCAGCAACAATATGAGAGAAGTAGACTGTTTTCCGTATTTACCTCGGGATACATGAAGTTACTAAGCAGGATGGTACCTTTATCTAACCCGAAAAATTCAGAGAACGTACTATGGCACTTACAATATTCAACAACTTTCCCGTGTATGAATCGAATTTTAATAACTTTTGATCTGATGTAGCAACTAGTAAATGTCTACTGGGTGAATAATGAACGAGTAAAGCTGATTCGTCGACTGTTTGTATATCATTGAACGTACTACTACTGATATCGATACGAAGTGTCTAAATATTTAACAAAAAAATATCATCGTTTTCACATAAATATCGAATAAAACATACCTGGCTCAAATTATTTGTTTCAACAACAGTTACAACAAATTCAGTTGGACCAATATATGCTGTATGCTTTCCATCAGGACTTATTGTTAAACAATTTCCATGCAAAGATGATAATGATTCATTGTTGATTACTGGCAAGGCTCTGGCAATAGTACGCTGAAGTTTATATCCATCATTTACGTGCGATAGACATAAATTACCATCAGAGTCACTAGTTAGTAGTTTAGAAGCATTGTGAGAATACAGCAATCCAGTTATACAGCTTGTATGATGACTAGAGGCGAAAAATGGTAGAATGATTAAACACATGCGTACTTAGTTTATGAGAAAACCCTTACTTGACTTCAGCTGATATAATTGATGTATTTAGTTCGAATACTTTGATTTTACCATTACTAAATCCGACTGCGAATGCTTGTCTATTCGGATGATATGTCACCAACAATGGTGTGTCATTTAACGATGTAAATTCAAATGATTGTTCACCTGTTTCAAATGACCATATTCGAATCGTACCATCTATTGAAACACTAATCATTTGTTTTCTTATGTCATCATAATCAATGTCAGTAATCGAATTTACATGTGAATGTACTAATGTAGAGTAACTCTTATTAACTAAATTCAATACACCCAAAGAACCAGATACTGTTGATACAACTACACGTGTTTGATCATCCGAAATGGCCAATCCACATATAGAATTATCGTGTTGAGCTTCAATATACGTTTGTTGAAAATCGTTTGACCACACTCGGATATAACCGTCATTTGATCCGGTTATACAAAAATTACTTGTGACAGTTAATGCATTGACACCGATTGACGGTGCATTAGCTAATATTATTTTATCTGACGAAGCAGTTGGTCGTTTCAACGGTAATAAACGATGAATACGTAACACACGTTTTTCATTATAGGATAATTCTAATACATGACCACTTTTTGATGAAACATATAACAAAAGTTCATTGTTATGCTTAGAATTTGTCGCTGATGCATATTCAAATTGAATATCCGTATACTCTAAATGTTGAATATTGTCAACAGATATATCCATCGATCTTAATTCTACTGAATCTTTTAATTTCCAAAATTTGATGTTATCACACCCATATGTCACAAATTTTGAACTATCAGATGGCAAAAATCTGATACGTTCTATTGAGGAATCTGTTGACGCTTTTGATATTAAACTAATTGTACCCTTTAACCAATTCGACGCATCGTAAATACAAATAATTGTCCTTGAACTGTTATGTTTATCTTCTAAAATATCACTGTGTCCAACAACAAGAAGATAATTTGAATCATGTGCAAAATCTACAGCACATAACTTGATGGCTGGTACTTTTACAACAACTACGCAACGGCGATTTTCAAATTTCCATATACGTAGTACACCTGATAAAAAAGAAGAAAAAAGGATGATTCAGTTATACCCTTACAAAAAAAATCCAGACCTCAAGTGGATGTTAGTCTCTTTTTCTGAACTTCAAGATGGCAATGTAAAATGCAAAATGATATACCATTTGATCCTTTTTGAACGGTTGCTAATAATGCTGAATTTCTTTTCAATGCAATTGATGTAACTTTGTCGGTATGACCGATAAAAAAGTATTGTTGTCGTGTTTCAATATGCATTAGAATAACGAGAGCATTTGATGGATAGAGAATATAATCACCATCATGGGTCCATATGATATCTTTACATGTACCATTTATCGGTGTTGTTGCATTTTCTTCACCAGATATTCCTATACCAATAACTTTTTTTAAACGAAGAATTGGATCTGGTAATAAACGAGTCAACAAATGATTGTTGTTTTTATCTGTTGAATGTTGTAATGAACACTCATTGTAATCATTATCATTGGACATAGAATAACCGTTATTGTTTATCGTTTGTTGATTAACAAATAAATGAACGCCATCAGTATTTGAACGTGATGTATTCGTTTGAGATTGTTCATCGATTGTTGTGGGCAATGACTGATATGGGCCATGATTATCATTGTATATTGTCCAATGACGTGATTCTACGAACTAAACAGAAAATTCGAATAGAATAGTCAAAATAATTGAAAGAGAAAAAAAAATGCTTTTTTCTCACATCATGATCATGCTCTTACTTGATTATTGTTTGGCGATATTGTTCTTTGCGTTATTTGATGTAAATCAGATGATGAACGGGATAAATGCCCATTAACGGTTTTTGTTTGTGCTGTTAATGGTTCAAGAATATCGTCGATGAAAGCAATATCTCCATTTGAACTACCATTCTCGTTCACCTTATAACTGGTTGGTAAACGAATATTTCCCGCACATTCAAATTGATTAGAATCACAAGTAGTATTTGATGACAAAGAGGGAAACATTACAAAGTCGTAAATATCGTGCCATTGTTGGTTTTTCCCTAAAGGATATGCCAATTCTTTTGGTAATGATCTAATTCCTGTTTTTGTTAAACCACTTCGTTTAGCATCAACAATTGTGATACCTGGTTCGTACAAACTATCCGATGTAAAACAATTTTTAACAAAAATATTTCCACACAATTGAAATGATTTAAGATAATGATAATGTTGATTTGTCATATAACTGGTAAGAATTTTCTCTAAATCTAAACACAATATACACCAACGTGATTCAATTAATGTAAAATCAATTGTAGACGGTGTTGTTTGTGAATCAAGTGTAGACGATTTTGTTTTCAACATGGTCGATGTCGGATTCGATGTCATGTAGGGAAATTGAATGCAGGTTGTTGATACTTTGAATTCACGAAATAAGTTGGATAACGATATTCTGACTACGTGGTTTTCATGTGTCATTATATCAAGATGGATAGTGAAAAATTTATCAAATACAGGACGAAATAATATGTAAAAGAATCTGCCAGTTAAATTCAGAGATTGAGACAGTTGAGCTGGAAATTGTATGAAATTATTGGCCGGTACCAGTCCACGAATCCGAAACACAGTGGATTTCAAATCACGATCCTAAATATGAATACTAAGTAGTAAAGTAATCAGTTTTAATCGATTTCTTAGCAAGAAGTTAGTCGTTTCATACGATACGCTTCTTTCAACAATGCACCATTATTTAGGTAGCTATTCAACTAATAGTGCTTCTCAGCTCGAAATCCACAAATCAATAGTTCAGATATATAACTGATTGACTTACACGAGGAAAATAAACGTATGATTTAGAAGCAAATGTGAGTGTGGCATCTATAAAGGCCTAGAAGCCGCAGTATGAAACTTCAAAAAAGTTTCCCAAGGTAGTATGAAAATTAAAAAATTCCGCCTTTTGTTACTACATCGTTCGACCAATACCTTACCATAAAAGTTGCAACATCTCCTTGTTTGAACGCTTTTTTCCATGATTGAATTTCAAAATGCTTGAAGATATTCACAAATGGTGTTTGCCAAGAAATCTGATTCATTTTTGGTTGGTATTTTCTTTTAAGGTTACTTCTTTTTGAACATCATAAGCATATTGAAGGTACAAGCTTGAAACCACAAAATTTGACTCTCACGCCGTGATATATCATATTCTATCGTTCTCTTTTTGCTCACCGTTGTGTAGCAACCGACCATAAATTTCTTCTCATTGGTCATCGTTAATTCGCCACTTGTTAGCATAGCTCTTAGCGCCTCTATCATCCAGATTTCTGATAGCGACACTGTCGGTTCATTTTGTTCAGAAATGTTCGGTTCGCTTTTTGCAATGACGTTGTTTGCAAAGAGTTTCTAACCCAGAGACTTGGTTTTCTAGGATTGTGATTTTTCAGAAATCCGGGTTACAAACAATTTTGATAGAATCTTTATACGCATCATACCAGATCGGAAACTGCTTCAATTATTCAAATCTTTTTTCACATTTGCTCTAGTTATAATGATTGAGAAGAAAAATAGAAAACCAAGATGTATAATCAATCTTTCAGCTCACGATACTCTCTACCTTTGTGAGAAAACCAGTATTTATGAATTTTTATGCGAAAACAAACGGGCTATCATTTTTGATTCATCTTTTTGCCAGCAGTAGCTTTATGTGTATGGAATATTTCTTGTTCCAAGAACATACGATATTTTTGACTTTCGGGTAGCGTCCGCATCTTTTTCTCCAAAAAGTTTCTAAAAATGCCATGTATTTCAACGGAAGTGTCGAAATTAGGGTGATATAATTTCGACACACATATATGTTCATCCTTAACTGAAGAAGACTATGAAAACATGCGCTCTTTTCAGAAAAAAAATATATGGTTAAATTTGCCATGGTCTTCTGAGTATTCCTATATTAAAATAAAATTTTATTTAACTTGATAAGTAGAAAAAACTTTTAGAATGAGATTAGACATGGACGGGACCGGGGCCAAAAAAGTCTTTTACCGGGACCGGAACTATGAACTTTTTTTCCGGGACCAACACTAGGACTAAGATGTGTTTCGACAGTTGCATAAAATCAGTTGAAACTTGACCTGTTCTCTATACTAAAATAGAAACGTTGTGGAAAATCGTCAAGAAGTCTTACAGTTCTTTCCTAGGCATTGAACTTCACATCTATGTCATGCAAACTTTATTAATAAAGTGTTTTCTCCGGTACCAAAAAAAGTTTCCGGGGCCGGGACAGGATCAAAACAAATTTACGGAATCGGGACTGAAAAACGTTGGTCCCGCCCATGTCTAAATGAGATGTATGTAAAAAGCCATGTATTTGTATGGGAGTGTTGAATTTAGGAATGAAAAATACATGGAGTGTAGAGATTAATCATGCACAGAGCAACTGACTAAAGATTTTTATATTTTTTTGAAAAATCTGGCGTTTAGTAAATTGCTTCGTTTCTTTCTAACTCGGCAAGAACGTAGATTTCTCTACAAAATGAGAGCTCGGACAGCTCTGCATGATTTGTTTTGGCAGCAATACCTCAAGAACACATCCGAGTAGTAAATCAAGTACTCGATTAGTCCCGTTTGAGGCATCGCTACCAAAATCTCAAAACAAACCATGCACAGCTGTCCGACCTCTCATTTTGTAGGAAAATCTTTGCTCTACATTCTTGCCGAGTCAGAAAATTTTTAACAAAGCAATTCAGGAAACGTCAGATTTTTCAAAAAGTATAAAAATCTTTAGTCAATTACTCGATGCATGCCTAGTTGAGGCTAGGAAAGGACAGAATAGGAGAGGAAAAAATTTAAGATACATATCTATTCAAACCCTTTTATCTCAATTAGCATAAGTGGAAACTCAAATATTCTTACATCGATCGACAGGCCTGAATATCAGTGCTGCTGTCTAAAAAAGTTTTCCTTAATCTTAAAAATTAACTGAGAAAAACACAAAATACGAAACTTAAAAAGTCAAGTGTTAAAATTAGGGCATGTGGCTGTATTATGTACAAGAAGTGAAGTTTTATTTGTATGTAAATTTTTTCAATTTTATTTTATAACTTATCCACCAGTGGCAGATTTACAATAGATGTGGTGCCTCAGGTTAGCTTTCAATTAGTAGACAATAATCAAAATTGTTTGGTGTTGTGGGACATTAGATAGAATGAACAGATTTTTCGATAAGAGACACAGATTCATCAATCTCGTTCTCTACAAAGTTTGTGTTCTACCTAAAACTGATTGTTTTTGCTCTCTCTCTATAAGTCCAATTTCTCTTCTTATCTCCTTTTGAAATTTTATCCAATGTTTAGCTGCTAGTATCATCTACAGAAACTCTGATTATCCTAGAGATAATCGTACGCTTATTTACTATGTCTTCTAAATCCGGAAACTTGTCGTTTATGCTTTCTTTATATTCTTATATCGTATCTGCTATGCTCTAATTCTTCTTGATCTTCAATGGTATATATCTTTGCTCACTTCTAGGTTAGTTTATAACAATAACTACTCTAAAATACTTAAAATGCCCTTTAACTATTTCAATACTATAGAATCTTCCGTTTTTGGAAAACGTCGACTTAACTCGAGCAAGTGTTAAGAACTCGTTCCTGTCGGCGAATCTGCTAGTAAACAATACGTTATACTTATAAGAAAAAATGCGATTAATCTTACTACAAAATATAAAGATTGATGCTTCTTTGAAGATGAAATCAAATAATAACGTGTGAATAGTTTTTTTAATTTTATGTAAAACGGAAAACTGCCGTTACGACAGCAATACGCCATTACAACTTTGATCTAATTTCAATATATTCACTACTGTGACACAATATGTGATTGATTTTTGATGTTTTTTTTTGTTTAATACTGAAAACAGAACTGTCTAATACAATAAGAAAGTTTACTCCAAATAAACCAATTATTGAATTATATTTTATTCAAAATCCAATATCATATCTCAGTTATCTCAATGAAGGAATGTAATAATTAGCATAAGGAATAATTAATTAGGAATTTTGTAATTTTCTCTCTACTATTTCATGCATTACATCGATGAATTACATTATTGCTTTGTTTTATTTCCAGAACCACTGATACACCTCATCAATAAAAATAACCGTATGAAATAATAAAACACGAGAAGAAAAACAAACAAAACACTTCTTTTTGATAGAAAAAAATACAAAAAAATGAAGATGCTAACCAATCCAATTTTGTTCTCAATGGGTATCATAGACACAAAATTTTCAGCAGAAAAAAACCTGGAGAAAATTCATAATGGAATCTTTTATATATTTAAGGATGACAAAAAAAATGAAATTTTTGATGAGAAAAAACTATCTCGATATAAAGCAAAAATTGTCTCAATAGAAGAGCAAGAGAAAACCTCATTGAATGATTATCTCTAACGAAAAAAATGAAGTTTTTTTATTATATGCTTGTTTATCTTAATTCGTACATATATGCTCAGCTAATTTAAACAGCAGGAAAACAACAACAACAACAACAACAACAATACAAACAAACAAGTGAGCACTGGGCTCTGAAAAATATTAAACGAAACAAAGATAGTACGAAAGAAAAAAGGAGCAATGTTTACACACATATCAAATGAGAAGAAAATACTACTGATTAAATGTAGATGAGAAAAAGAGTGTGATGAAACATTGTGTCTATTGTATGTGTGTAAATGTTTGCTGTCATTCCCAACAAACAACAGTCATATATATATACAATTTATAATCATAGAAAAAGTGGTTCAAGTTTTTGTTGTTCGCTGACTAATTAATTTTTCAACTTCTTGCAATTTTTTTAAAATTTTTTGTTTTTGTTTTTTTTTACCTATAAAAGAAAATATGATTATGCAAAATCCGATATAAAAACTTAAAACACGAACCCGAATCGCCCTCCGTTGGTGTTGAATCGGTTGCTACCGTGTTGTTTGATGTTTTGTTATGATGATGTGTGTTTTGTTTGTGAGAATCGTCTGAGGGAATAAATACAAGAATTATATGGTGCACGTAGTTCAAACCTAAAAATATTGTAAATTAAAAAAAAGTTGTTGTCAACTTACTAGAAAGGGATGTTTGCAATGGTTGTGGCGATGATCGTTTTTTTTCCCCTGTTGTATGATTAATTGTTTTCAACTTTTTTGTTGTTGTTGTTGAACTAGAAGATGATGTATCACGTCGTTTTTTATCGTTCTAAAACAAGAAAATAATTGACACACATAGCTACACGAGAGTAATGAGTTGAAAAACATACGTGTGATATTGAAGATTTCGGATTACTAGCATCTTTATTATCGGTTCCTGAGCGATTGGATGTTGTTGATTTTGTATGGCTCAATGAAGTTGGCTCTTTCTGAGAGGTTTTAATTCGATTTGATGATGACACTTGTTTACTGATTGTGGGTTTTGTATGACTGTTAACTAATTTATTGCTATTTGTTGCATTTTCTTTTACTAGAAAGAATTTTATTTGAAAAAGAAAATAACATAAATGATGACTGTCTTTCACCTGGACGATTTTTACTCTTTCCATCACTTTCAGAGCTGGAACTACGCGATGAAGAAGTAGATGAAACTGCTTTCGGTCGAACACGTGATGAACTAGCAGAGGACGATGATGATGTTCCTGAACTACTGCTGTCCGATCGTCTAGAAAACAAAAAAAATTAGAATATTATAAATTTCGAGTTTAATTCAAAACAAAATACTTACTTTCCATCTTTTTTGATTGTTTTTTTCTCGTTATTATTATCTTTATTTAGTGATTGTTCCTTTTGTGATTGATGATGGGTTTGTGGATTTAATTGATGATGACTTGTTTTTAAACGATCGGCTTTTTCAGCTTTCTTTAATGTGTGACTAGAAATTGTTCGTCCCGGTAAAAATTTTATTGATCGATTTTCATTCGGTGACACTTTTTTTCCTAATTGTTGAGATGATGAATGATGATTTGTTGCTGTTTTATGACGTTCGTTTGAATTTACAGTTGATGAAGTTGGCTGCTTTTTACTTGTATTTTGATTCTCACCAGTAAGTGAAGCTGATGTAGATGGAACATTTGAAGTTAATGAATGCTTTTCACCATTTTTCACGCTTCTTATTTAAAAAAAAACGAAGAATCAGTCATAGCTGCCTGATACTCAGAATAATTCACAGAGTTTCTTCACCAAATCTTGATTTAAGACCCCTGTTCTGAAGCTTTAGGCTAAGAAGAAGTTAGAAGTCAATCTCAATAATCCAGACGTATAAAGGAGAAACCTACTCTTGTCTCGCAGGTTTCGAACGTGTTACCGAAGGTGAACGCCGTCTTGGTCGACTTGATCTAAAAGATAAAACAAAAACAAAACGAAAATAGCAAACAAAATAAAATTTTAAGCAGTAAAAATTGTATTCATGCGCTTACGACAAATAAAACAAAATACGTTTCAATTTATCAATATGACAAAAAAAATAGAATAAAACATATTAGTCGTACGGCTACACCCATGCTAACACAGACAAGGTATAGATAATCCTAAAGATTCTCAAATTTTGAGAAAAACTTCGATGTTTATGATGTGCTAATTAACTCTAAAAGCACACATAGTCACGTACATGCAAACATTCATTAACCGAGAGACAAACCTGCTTGAACTGAAAGTATAATTAAGTGCATAATTAGAGCAACTTTCAATTAAACAAGTGCATTTGGCATTCAAAACAAAAAATAAACCCGTTAGCAGAAAAAAACGAAAATAATCAAACATGCCTGCTACTGTACGATGATGATCGTGAACGATTTGATCGTGAAGATGAACTATATGAGACAGCAGACCTAAATTTTTATAAATTAAATGAAAAAAAAAGACTGGGAATAAATAAAAGACAAATGAACACCGAAGAATGAAGAATTTTCAGTGTAATCAATTGTGTTTATTCAAACAAATAATATAATCCTTAGCAGAGGGAGAAAAGCATTGAAAGAAAGAAATACCTTGACGACGATGCACTGGACGATGTATAGGAATTTTCTCTGCCACGAGAGGCATTTCGACGATTATTTTGAGATCTAAATGATGACAGCTATTGAAAAAATATAAATATAAGTAAAATTCTAATGTATACCTGTCCCACGGATCTACCCAATCATCCGCACGCCTAGCCATTGACGAAAGCTGTTGTTGTTGGTGCTGTTGATGTTCGTCATCTAGATGTTGCTGTTGTAAATGACGTTGAGGTAATGGAACAGGAAACTGAGATGAATGATGAGATTTTTTTGATGGATCCTTGCTCTTTACTAACGTTTTGCTAAGAGAAAAAATTTTACTGAATAAAAAATGGATTGACATGGTCATTTATCCTGTATTTTATATACCTGTCTTTCAATTTTTCTTTACGATTTCCTTTATTATCGACGTGATGGTCCAGATGACGTATTCGACGATCCTATGGACGAAAAACAAAATCATAAACTGTGTGAACAAAATGATGAAAGCTTTTTTGCACATAAGTAATGAAATAACAAATCCATGATTTAGATACTTGTGCTTACTTGTTTCATAGAAGGCACTTATGATGAAAAGCTTTTATTATAAAAGAACATAATGACAAAATGTGACTTTGGTTATTTCTAAAAACGTTTAGTACGAATTTAACAAGCTTCACAATCAAATGTTTGATATTGTCGTACGAAAGGAGCCCATAATTAACTCTATAGTAATACTTCCATAGAATAATTACCTGATTGTAAGGCATAAAACTAGGACCACCACCGCGATCCATTTGATCTGGATCAAAATGTCTCATTCTTTGTGGTATGTGACCGTGATTGTGATAATTATATGAATTTGGATGCTGATGCATTTGCCATCTCTCTTCATAATTATTATGATATATAACATCATCATAATCAGCTCGTGGTCTGCTCAAAGACAAGAAGTTTAATTAAGAAACATTGTTAAAGTTCCACTCAGACACATACCTTTCAACATTTACTAATTCTTCATCTAGATCTTTTTCTTCATTAGCGTCTTTCAATGTTAAATTAAATTTTTTATCGTTAAAATCTTTATCTTGTTGTTTTCGTCTCATTGATTGTTCGCGGAGCTTGAAACGACAGAATGAAAGTATTTAACATCTCAATATCGAAAGACTCTTTCTTTATTAAATTGATAAAGTACCGTTTTCGCGCTTCGAAGTCCCCGTTCCCATGCTGATTCAGTACTTGATGTCGTAGCAGCTGCTGCTGATGCTTGCTGTTGTGTTGCAACCGCGGCTGCTGCAGCAATAGCGGCAACATTTCGAACAATTGATGAATTGCCAAAGATTGCTGTCTAAAACAGATTTACAAAAAATAAATGGTCTAATTAAGAACAGTAAGGTTTTGCGAGAAAAAACTCACAGCTGCTGATTGTGGCGATATCCATACGTTAGCAGCAGATGATGGTGGAGAACTCGTATTGCGAGATGTAACAATTGATTGCTCAAATGGTGACTGGTCTGAAAAACATCCAGATGCTCTTTCTATTGCTCACAGGAAAGATTTGGTACATACTTTTTGTATCATTCATATTGGGATGCATATATTTACAATTTGCCCCCCAATGGCAACGGCCTTGTAGAAAAAATCGGCAATGAACTTTTTGTTGTTGAGATGATAATGGCATATGTGAAATACTATTTGATAAAGATTGTTGTTGTTCACGTTGATGAAGTAAAGAATGCTGAATAGATGGTGGACGGATTGGTGGAGCATGCCGTCTATGTTGTGTATGGGGTTGTGATTGTTTTTTCGTTAATGTCTCATGAATTTCACCATCTTCTAAATCGGCTTCATCCTACAAAGAAGTAAAATTATTACCAGCTGCTAGAGACCAATAAAAAACTCACCACTTCGCCTTCATCACTGCCAGTCGGTATATCCTGATTACTAGCTTCATGATTACTATTTAACTCACCCTCTTCATCCTACAAAATAATAATTCAAATGCATTAAGGAAGATGAGAGAACTACTGGATATTTGTTCCTATTTAAGATTTGAATTACTAATCATAAATTTGTCTAAATGGTAGAAAAAGTCGACTCACTTGTCCTGATTCATCATCACGCTCTATTTTCTCTTCACTGTTCTTATCAACCGATTTTGCTGTTTTGGAATCTTTCTTTGTCGTTGATTGTGTTTTTTCTCTAACTTTTTTCTTCGTTTTCATTGCATCCTTAGCCATATCCATATCTTTCTCTTCTTCTCCAACATATGGCATTTCCCCTTCCTCATGCGTGATCTCATCATTTGTTAATAACAAATTTTCTGTATCCATCCCAACATCTGATGAATTTTTATTCAATTCTTCATGATTTCTGTTGTTGTTGTACGTACCATTAAATTCTTCTTCTTCATAATCCAAATTTTCTGGATCATTGATATCTGTAGTATTTGAACGTGAACGCTCTTTTATGCGTAGCTTTGCTGGTAATAAAGTCTAAAATTGTCAAAAATCAATGACATCTTTATCGTACAATAAATCAACTTAAACATACTTTTGACGGTTTGCAATTATCATCAGTTTCTAATTCTGATTTTTCCATTATATCCACAGGCATTGTTCAACAAATTACAATGGCAAATTTCATTTGCTAAATGAAAAATCATTTATTAGTAACGAGAATTAATCCTAATGAAAAATGCTTGTTCTTACCGCGAATATGACAAAGACCAAAAACAATAAATTTGTGCCAGAAGTAGACGTCTGAAAAAATAAAATAAAACGATAAATGATAGTACAAATTTTTTAGATTCTTATCGACTTCATTTTTTGTTTAGATAAATAGAAAAATCGATAAAAAAAATAAAACAAACTGGTTAAAAACGGCTGACAGTTACTTTGTAATTTGATCTCTATTCATCAAAACATTAGCACGATAAATATACATAATATACGATTTTGATACTGATGTGCATTAGTCGAGGCAAATCACTGTTTTTTCCTGCAACAATGCTGATTTTAAACCATATTTAACTGTGGTATTTATTTTGACAACAGCAACAAATTGTTGCATGCGATTAAGACATTATTTATAGAGTATGAAAGAAACGTTTAGTAGAAATTAGGTTGAATGAAATTAAAATATTCACAAGATTATTTTATATATGAGTGAATTAGTCCCACAAATTCGTTGACTTTCTTTTATTTCTATTGATCGAAGAAAGAACTATATATGAATTATTTTCTTTGAAAAGACGCCATGTTCGGACAGATGAATATGTGCCTTCAGTGTACGAACGAATCAGAGTTCACCGATGATTCGTGGCGCTACCGATGTGAGGTACATCCTATACACTTTATATCATTAAATATTTTTGTGAGAAAATCTGAGATTTCCTCACAAAATTTAGTAAAAACAATACAAGAGAGTAGACTTCTATCTTGTGTTTTGAATTAAAGCAATCGCAGAGGCGATTATAGGTGATCGTAGCAGTTTCAACCGACATTTAAAATGAAAGATGAATTCTTGAATACCTGAAAATAGCTACATTATGATCAAAACTTATCAGTTCTGAACTCATAATTTAACTATTCTTTTATGCTTCTTGACCATATTTCTTTGAACGATAATACACATGGCTTACGAAAATTTTTACGTGTAGTTTCAGCAGTGTTCAATTTTCCAGCATATCTTGCTCACTAAATAAGCCATAAATACAGAGATTAGGTAACACTTCGACGACAAAATTGATCGTTTACGAAACTTAATTGAATAATAATAAAGTACGAGTAGAATGTAGTTCAGATTAAGTAATAATTTTCCCTCTATTTCTCTAGTTCTCTATTTTTAGAAAATGTATAGTAGTCGTGCATAGTTTATTTTTTCAAAAACGATCGTAATCCAAAGATTTATTAAATTGTATTTAGTTTTGGGTTGCCAGTTTTAGCTATTTTATTATTTTTTACGTATTCTGTTACTTTTGCGGTTCGTAAACATCTGTTTTGTATAAATTTAACCTATACATCGGTACTACTATATAAAAGAAGAATAGATCTTTAATTTAAAAAAAATTCAATTGTACAGCTAAAACAACAAATAAAACTATTTTAGTTTACTTTTGGAACACCGCTGTGCAATTCTCCATGACGATTTGCTCGATCAAAATATTTATGATTAAAAGCACGAAATCTGTCCATTTCTGTTCGAAATGTATTTATAGCTGGCTCGGCGCACTAAATACAAAAGGAATACATTAACTGTTGTTTTAATATAGAATTATGTATATATCTTTGAAAGTTTTACTGTTACCATACACTTCTGGGTTGAACCACAGATTCAATTTCGAAATATACAGATATTTAATAACTGCAGCTTAGATTTTCATCGTACCCAGAGAGATTTCACTAATTCACTAACGGAATTTGCAGAGAAAATAGAATGAAACCACTTGCTCGGCATCCGCCGCTTATTAACGTATTTTCTCCTGATTAGGTGCGAAAGGGTTTCACATACGACGAATCTTATTTTTTGGGATATATTACAAACTATTGTCGACCAAAAAGATTTCCAACTTTCTTTTTATCCATGAAATTTTTCTTTAACACTCTAGCCTCGACTAAAGTTTAGGAGAAATAATTTCAATCTTTGTACTCGTGTTTTTTTCCTTTTCTTTGTTACCTACAATATTCTACAAACAAAATGCCAAATTATTGTCAATATACCATTGATTTAGGTTATCTTAATCACATTTTAGTAACGTATATTCTCCTACGCAAGTATTTCTAAAGCCTGACAAAAATAGCCTCTGTCGTTTCATAAAGAATATTTTTCTTGTAGGAAGTTTTTTCCATTTTTTCTTCTTTCTTTTACGCTATATGCTATACAGATCGTATCAATAAGATGACAGTGTATAAAGGTGAGGATACCAGTTTGTTTACCTGTTATTTTATGGCTCCTTATAGGTATAAAGTACAATTATTCTATATTCTTCTTCAGAATATATATATATGTCAGTACGTATGAATTACTTTTTATAACACATTTTAAAAGCAACAGAATAATATCACTTGATGTCTTCTCCTATACAGTCAATTGATAAAAATTGGAAAAAATACGTTTTAAACGTAAGGTTATCTAGTCGAGAAACATGCTGTCAAAAATGTTTTTTGAACACTAATTACTTGAGAGGTTTTAGTCTACGTTGATAATATATGTATTTCTCATCGAGATTGTTTCATACATTTGATTACAATTTAAAAATGAGAATTTTTTGCTTTATTTTCCATTTCTGTACATCGTATGACACACGTTTTACTTCCATTCATTATTTAAACAATTGCCAATATTGACATTATGATACATCCACCCATACAGATCTGCCTACGTTATATACGCCTTAGATATATATATATATAATCAAATGTATGAAACAATCTCGATGAGCAATACATATACTATCAACGAAGAATAAAACCTCTCAAGTAATTAGTGTTCAAAAACATTTTTGACAGCATATGTTTCTCGACTAGATAATCTTACGTTTAAAACGTATTTTTTCCAATTTTTATCAGTTGACTGTATAGGAGAAGACATCAAGTGATATTATTCTGTTGCTTTTAAAATGTGTTATAAAAAGTAATTCATACGTACTGATATATTCCTTCTGGAGAAGAATATAGAATAGTTATACTTTATACCTATAAGGAGCCATACATGACAGGTAAGCAAACTGACATTCTCACTTTTATTGTCATCTTTTCAATACGATCTGTACAGCACATAGCGTAAAGGAAAGAAAAGAAAAAAATATTTTTGAGTCATATCATGAGATTTTTCAAACATATGATAGATTTTATTTTTCTTTGTTACTGAATCATCCGAGGATGTTTGCTCGTATATGTGTGTGACTATGTCTCTCTCTCTCTCTTTCTCTCTATGTTAAATTAATTGTTATAGTAAACTAACTCTACACACGCACACAATTATTGACACACTTTTTTTGTGTCTGTTCCTATCCTTCCGCACAAAAGCCGTCATTATATTATTTTCATTTATTGTTCAATAACGGATATAACGAGATAAGAGGGTCTTTCTTACACCTCTTCCTGTCAGAGACCATTGGTCTGTATTGGCTCTTTATCATGTCTATGATCGCACGAAATACAAGATTAAGATCGTTTACTTCTTTTCCAAATATTATAACGGACAGTAACCGCAATACAAATAATAATCGTCTGACATTTAAATTTAATGAACTATTAAAAACATTAGCATCATCAAATTCTGAAAAATTTTCAAATTATCTTGAAAAATCATTAAATTTGAACTATACACATTTTAATTTTGTCGGTGATATAATTAAAAATTGGTCAATTGAATTGCCAACAGCAACAGCATTATGGTCATGTGAAAAAGATTATGAATATAAATTGACATTTAAAGAATTGTTAGAATATAGTTCTCAATTTGCCAATGCATTAAACGGAAAATATTACAATTTAAGACCTGGAAATACAGTAGGTCACATTCATCTATTCTTCACTCGTTAGAATATAATTTTAGTTTATCTTTCTCTTTTCACTTAGGTTATTGTTTTATTGCCGCGTGTGAAAGAATGGTATTTTATTAAATTAGCATGTTTAATGAGCGGTTTGATATTTTGCCCATGTACTACACAGTTAACAGAAAAGGATATTCGATATCGAATATTAGTATCCGGTGCTGATTGTATAATTACTGACGAAGAAAATTTAGAAAAAGTAACATTAGCTGTAGAAAGTAGTATTCGACCAATTATACGTGGAATTGTTAATTCACAATGTAGTCGAACACCATATGGATGGTTAAACTTAAGTTTAGATGCTGCTTCTTCGTCCACTAATTTTAATATAATTGATTCACAGGCGTCATTGCCAGCTCTACGCTATTTCACAAGTGGAACCACAGGACATCCAAAAATTGTACAACATTCTCAGTTGAGTGTCGGTCTCGGACATTTGACAACTTCGTTTTGGCTAACTGGTGAACACGATACTAATAAACCACAATTGATATGGAATAATTCTGATACAGGATGGGCAAAATCGTCTTATAGTTCATTTTTTGGACCCTGGTTAATTGGCAATGGGATATTTCAAAAACAAATGACTCGATTTGATACCGAAACAATTTGTGAAACATTGGAACAATATCCAATAGAAACATTTTGTTCTGGAGCGACAAGTTATCGAATGATGTCAAAATATTTATTAGCAAATCGAACAAAACTGAAGAAATTTCATTCATTGAAACAATGTGTATCGGCTGGAGAAGCTTTGAATCCTGAAGTAATTAAGTTATGGAGTGAATTTACAAACATTATTATTCGAGAAGGATATGGACAGACAGAAACTACTCTCTTAGCAGGTACCACTAACACAAAAGACATTAAACAGAGTTCTATTGGAAAACCGATGCCAACGATTGATTTAAAAATCGTTAATAAAGAAACGTTAAATGTATGTGATGCAGACGTTGAAGGAGAAATAGCAATAAAAATGAAACCAAACAGACCGATAGGTTTATTCCATGGTTATGTTAACAATAAAAAGCGAGATGGAGAAGTTTTTATTGGAGATTATTATTTTACGGGAGATCGAGCGATAATGTAAGTATAAAGCATTATGATTCCAAAAAAAGATAACTGACTTTTTTCAATTTATATAGGGATAAAGATGGTTACATTTTTTACATTGGCCGCAGTGATGACATAATCAATTCGAGTGGTTATCGAATTGGACCATATGAAGTGGAAAGTATCCTTTTAGAACATCCTATTGTGGTTGATTGTGCTGTTATCAGCAGTCCAGATGTTGAACGAAGTGAAATTGTCAAAGCGTTTGTTGTTTTAAATGAAAATTATCTTAATAAAGATAAAACGGATTTAATACATCAATTACAAACGTATGTTAAACAACAAACAGCACCCTATAAATATCCACGTCAAATTGAATTTGTTAATGAATTACCAAAAACAACGAATGGTAAATTGAAACGACATGTTTTAAAATCAAACGAATGGATAGGAGTGCAAAGAAAAATATCAGCAATTGTATAATATTTCAGATAAAAATGTCTCAATTTTCCTTCATATGAAGGAAATTTACTGTGATCTTGTATCTTACTGGCGAAATTTGATCTTCACAATAAACAATATGTTTTTGCTCATTTATTTGTACAATAAATACCACTAACCTTCTCAAAATACGGAATTTTCCAGGAAAGTTTGGAATCAATTTTTGGACGATGTTGTCTTAGTAAAGACGCTTTGGTCAAATAAACGGTTCTTGAAACATTTTTCTAAAAGATAAGAATGTTTTATTATCTCTTTTTCCTAAGTATACTCGATAACTTACTGCATTCTCACATTTTAGTAGTTCTTTACATCGGCGTATAGAATTCTGATGTAACCAATTGTGAAGATATTTGTTCTGAATTAAATCACGAATCGGTGGCGCTGTTCTTCATGAAGAAGAAACAGAAATGTTCAATAATCCATTGCAGTGAGAGAGGACTATTCATCATCTTACCTAGTCGCTATACCATGTACAATTTCCGATGGAATTGATTTCTTCTTTGTACGTGTACAATTATAGAAACAAATCTCTTTTTTGATATCATGTAATGCTCTGAAATATTGATTGGTTAATTAATTAATTTTAGAAAAAAAAAGTATTTACATAATACCTAAAATGATCAACATCCTTTGTTTTTGTTAGACCAAGTTTGGCGGTTGCTTTATTCATTGCGATAAAATCTCGAACAATAAGTTTTTTGGGTATAAATTCATTGCATTGTTCAAACGTACAATATTGTTTGAGAGCTAAAATTATATATATAACGTTCGCCGTTGATTAATCTCAATATAGTTACCAGCTGCTACGCCATCCACTTCAACTGAAGCAGGAAAAGATTTAATTCCATACACATAATCGTCGGGTGGTAAATTAAAACCACGTTTTCGTTGTTTTGCCACATCGTCATTCTAAAATATCAGGATTGCATTCAAATTGAGAGAAGCTTGTTCATTACCCAATATGGATCTAGAGAGGTGGGCACTGGAATATTATTCAATATCGCATAACAATAGTCTTTTTCTCTATATTTTTTCTTTTTATAGTGATCTGATAGAGCCATGTGATTATCTGAAACAAAAAATGCATAATTAATCGCTGATGATTAATAAAAACGGTGAAAGAAGCACGCATAAAATAGTTTATTCGCGCCAACCATATATTTTATTACTAAAAAGATACATATTGTTTTTCTAAAATGAAAAAATAAAAAAGTTTTGTCGCTTTCAAATTAAACATGATACGATACTAAAATTATGTCCACGGACAATATTGTAGAAAGTTTACTTATCTTATTATTAGAAGCATGAGGAAATAATAATCCACTTGCTCCATGTCTAATTCGTGTGACAGAATCAGAAGTACGCAATGTTATTGTACGAACAAGAGAAATATTCATGTCACAATCTATGCTATTAGAAATCGAAGGCAATATTAGAGTTGTTGGAGGTAGATGTTTTGAAAATTGTTTAATCATCTAATTAAACTAACCCATACTCTTCTAATTATAGATATACATGAAAGAAGATAATTATCTAACAGAACTTAACATACCCAATTATTTTTCATATGAAAATCGGATGTAATTTCTTTTTATTGCCGTTATATTGGCAAATTTGTAATTGTACGTGTGAAAGTTTATCTTAGTTTCTTATCGTCGAAAACGATCTTAATTTACATCATATTAATCACTTATCGTGTTTATCTAAATTAAATTATACTTCTCTATTAACAACAAAGCTACTCATAATTAATTTTCTGTTGAAAAAACGTTTGAAACTAACTTTTATCTCGATGATAGTTAAAATCTAATTCAAACAGCTTTTTCTTTGACTGAAACTAAAACACTGTGAAATTTTCACAAATGATATTATTCAAATTTGTCTTCTTTTAGATTTAGTATTAAGTTATGGAAGTCATTTACAGATTGTTTTAATTGTTTACCAGTGGCGGTTATCATCGAAGATCGTATATTCTGTTGTCATGGAGGATTGTCACCGTCTATTTTGAGAATAGATGGTATGTAATCTATAAGAAATTTGAAACGACCGTGTGATAGACCAGATCACGGATTATTGTGTGATTTACTATGGTCAGATCCTGAAGTTAAAACAACGGGTTGGAATAATAATGATTGTAGAGTATGTCATTATCTCTCTTACATTTCTGTAAACATTATATACCAATATGTTTCGGTTTCTTACGTATTTGGATCGGATGTTGTTTCCAAATTTCTCAATTTGAATGATTTCGATTTAGTTTGGCGAATATGGTAGTTCTTTCCAAATTAAATACATTAGTATTCTATTCGTTTTGCATACATTTGATTTTAGGCACATCAAGTACGTTATTTTAGAACATAAACTATTATAGAATCTAATTATATGTACAAACGTTTGCCTACGTGGTCGAAGATGGTTATGAATTTTTTGCTAACCGTCAATGGGTAGCGATATTTTCGGCTTCAAATTATTGTGGCGAGTTCGACAATGCTGGCTGTATTATGAATGTTAGTAAAACATTAATGTATTCATTTTCAATTCTAAAGTCAGTCAGTTTACGGATCAACACGTCTACAATGAATGTGACACCAATTGTCATTCCGGAAATCCCAAGAGATTCAATAGAAAAAACTATAATTGCCAGAGGCGACAAGTGACTAATTTATTCAGATATTCACTGACGTGTATGTGGGTCTTGATTATGATATAATAAGATTTTATTGTACTTTGTTGAAGAATACGATAATAAAGTAACTCATTTGTGATATACTGTTTTCTCTAAAACATGAAACACGTCGTCTATTTAATTAAGCCTTTAGAATCAAAATGTGTCAAGTGCTCTCTTGACTACTCGAGATGTTACCTGAGTCTGATCCGCAAATTTTTTGATTATGAACGTCCCATTTAGTATGATATATTCTCTGATGTTAAGACTCATTTGTTTTCTTTTTATTACTAATTCAATAATACTTTTACGTTGAATATTTCTTGAAAGAAAGAATGAAAGTTGTGACGTCATTCAATACTTAAATCTTTTAATGAATTAAATGCTTCTTTAATACAAAAAAAAACGTTCTTAACATTCCAGTCATTTTTATTTAACAAACAAGTATTCTAAAATTATAAAATCTGTCGTAAGTATTCAAATAAATCAGGATCAATCGTTTGTTATCCGTTCATCGCCCGCCTGTTGCTCATTTTGTCACTATTATGAACCGTTGCTGAGGTCATTATATTCAATATATACAAACATTGGTTACAAATTAGCGAGAATAACGAATAAAATAAAAAAATAATAAATTTGAAATAAATATAGAAATTTATATTAAAAATACTTTCAATATATGAAACATAGACAAAAATAAACGCTCAATTGAACTATCTTACACCTCCAATTAACTTTTATTCACATCATTACCGTAGCCATCATCATCATCATCATGACGCGTGAAACATTGTTAATAGGCGAACATGAACAATGACAATGGATTTTAATTTGATACATTTTATCAATTACTGGTTTGTGAATATCAACGATAAAAAATTATCATAACAACAGGTACAATTTGTCGATATGTTTTTACAAAAATATAACTAAAAACTAACTTTAAATACATGTATAACTGTTATTGTTAAAAAGAAGACTTTTATTACCTTCTTTTTTTTAATAATGACTAATCACTTCTTAAAAACAAATTTGCACATCATTTTTCTAAATGTTATTGCAGTAATATTAGTAACTTTTTTCTATTAAGCATTTTCAAACCACCACTACATGAAGAGTTGTCTTTGAAACATATGAGAAACTATACTAATAGCAAACTATGTATTTCAACATTACTTAATCAGAAAGAATATGAAGTATTCAGTACTGATATTGTATTTCACATTAAAGCTTGAAACGATACGACAATGTTGCATTTTTTAGTATTGAGTTTGAAATCTGCATAAAATGAAAGATATAATACATAAATACATATGTTGCTTTAATAAATTAATTTAAATTTGATGTACTCTCTTTTAGAAGAAGGAATCCATTTCTACAATGAACATTTACGACAATAAAAAACAACAAATTCAAAAGTCGACCTATACGAATATTGATGTCGAGAATACAACTAACTATAATTATAGTACACATAACATTGATCAATATGATCCAGTTTGTTTCTGGCAAATGACAACTACCAACACAGTAACAGATTTCGATGGACATCGATGGACAGATGCTCCAACTCAGATCGCAGATAAACCTGTCAAAATACCCTTAATTAATTCAGTTGATATTGATAAAAGTAAAAAAAGGACTCTCACTACTACATTAGAACGGATGAAAATGGTAGAAGATAGACAATCGTTCATAACTGAGTCTCATTTACCATTCAGTCATGAATACAGAAATTATTCAACTAAATCTGCACTAAATCTCTCGAGAAAAGACGAACAATGTGTTTTGCGATCAGTTGAGCGTAGCAAAAGTGCAATAGCACTTCAATATTATTTTTGTGATAAAGATAAGGTCAGATTGGCGTCAGTTAATGATAAAAATACTGCTATCAATCAGTCAACAACATCCGTCGTATCAACAATACAAACGTCTATTTTATGTGACGATAATAAGCAACAATCATTAACAATTGGCGAACTAATAGCACAAGAAGGTGGTGAAGTGATATGTAACCAAGAGGAAACTTATTTTAGAAATAATCAGTCATATTCAAAATATTCTTATAATCGTAGTGATTTGAGAAAACCGTGGCAAAAAGATTATGGGAATAGAAAATCTACCTATCATTATTACAATCATAGTAATAGAAATCATCATCAACCGTTCTCAGCAAACGACAAATATGTACGAGATAATCGAAAAATTCATACAAAAAGAGAAACAATGACTGAAAACAATGATGTTGACATTGAAAAAAAATTGAACACGATTAATAATACATCGATTCAAGTACAACAAGGACACCGTCCACCAAAACGGATTCCATTTCCAACATCATCAATTCACCTACAACAACAGCAGGAAAACAGTTCATCACTTATTCAATCAAAACACAACGACAATAAATCGTCAGTTACACCAACAGCACTTATTAGTGAACCGAAAGATGAACAACAATTAATGACTCATCAGCAAGATTCCTATGCATTTCGAGATTATTCTTCAAAATTATTAATTAATCCTTATTATCAGACAACTTATGACGTTGCTCAATTAGCTTATTCAACATTAGCATCGCTACAACAATGTATGGTACAAATGGCTTCTGCCGCCGCTACCACAAACTTTCCTTTGATGATATCATCTACTAGTGATTATTTCTACCCATCATCACCACTGATGGATTACGCATCACTATATTATCATACTGAAAATACTGCCACACCAATTATCTCAAAGTCAAAGCATCAAAAACGACAAAATCACCATCGTGAACATGAACGATCATCAACGCACAATTATAAACACTTTCATTCGAACCATCAGCATAAATGTGAACAACGAAAAGAGACGTTAACTAATTCAAGGTATAATGATTTACAATACAAAAAAGCAAAACGAACAAAATACAACAGTGATGATTATCACTATAAAGGATCGAGTAGCAACGATTATTCTTTTCATAAAGATTTTTTTGTTAAATCCAAAGGTCGTTTTACATCCAATAATAGAAATTATCATTCGTGAGAAAGATATTTTAAAATATATATATTTAGCTTCAAACTTCATCTCTCTCACCACTAAGGTTTTTATGAGGAAAAAAATGGTTAACTAATATCAAATACTCTATTTTCGTGTTATTTCTTCACTTTCTAACATGATCAATGCACATAAATGTGGAGTATATGGAATATAATAACAAAATGGTTTTTGTTTCATATCAATTGGATGTTGCGATTTTAATAATTTGTATATGGTAAGAAAAGCTGTGATACCCAATTGTTGTTCGACATACGTACGTATAGATTCAATTTTTGATAAACGATCAGTATTTTTTGTACGAGCAATATCGAATAATACTTGCAGAGGTGAAGACAGTAGAGAAGAAAAAGATGATTCATTTATTGGTTGTAGAATATTAAGAGTATCATCTATGATGTCTGTTTTCAAAGAATTCAATGAAATGTGATTAGCAGTTGATATTTTACTTAAACTTTGAGATTGATCTGACGAATGTACTGTCGGTTTCTTTATAGACGCTTCCTGTGGCTTTGGAATAAAACATGACTGCAACTTTTTTATCGCTGACGTATCCACAATATCTTCTTTCACAGAACTAAAGAAAACATGTCATTATTTCATGATAAAGTAAAAAATGAAGCATAACGCTAAGTGATCAATCCAAAATATTAAGGCTTATCAGTATAGATAATACCAGTCAGTCTCTAACATAAACCTGTCAAATTTTGTCAGATATCTTATTACCTTTTGAATGTGTGATCTCGACTAATAGAGGGATGCTGTTGATCATTTTCTCGTTGATTATTCGACTTTTTCGTTTGATCATTTATGGGCAACAATTGTCCTTGTTTTATTGGTGTTACAGAACATTCTTGTTTTCTACTATTATCATCAATACTTGATAAAGAGTCAGTATCACTAAAATTGTTTTGCGGAATACCAAATGACTTTTTTATATCATCACTATGATATTTTTGCATAAATTCATCCAGACGCAGTTCTGGTAAACGTTGTTTATTTTTACGTCCTTTATTTTGACCATAACTTTCATCATCGCTGGTTGATCGTGAATGATTACGCATTTTTGAATTCAATTTATTTTGTCTATCAGACTTTGTTGTGTATCGTTTATGAGATTTTGTATCTCCGTATATATTGTTTGTTTCAATCAGATTATCGTCAGATGACAATGATGAATCAAAATATAATTTTTTTCCAGTTTGACTATTAACAGTTGGATAAGAACGATTGACATGCGATAATAACTTGTCGCCATTTTGTTGTTGTTGATATTCAACAGTATTTTTTGAAATCAAACGATAATGATCATCGTCAATATTATATGATGATATTTTTCGATTCATGTTACTACCATGTAATTTAGCTAATGATGTTTCGACAAAATATGATGGCCTATTTATTATTATATTGTCAGATATAAACATCATTTTCTTTTCTGAATTTTTCTTTTCTATGTCATCATCAACAGACGAGAGTAGATAAAATGTTTCTTCTGTAGATTCTGGCAAACAAATATTGTTATCATAATCATAATGATTTTTTACATTTAGCTCATTATCATCATCATATAACTTGTCATCAATGAAATTAATTCGATTAGATGACGATATATCCTTGTTGTTGTCATTATCTTCTTCATTTTCTTGATCAGGTGTAAAGTAGGGAGAGGTTGTCATAGTCTGATGATGGTCTTTATTCAAACTAAAATTCTAAAAGTAGAAAAAATTTAGTAATGAACTATTTGTGAGAGAAATAATCTCAATTTTGAAGTTAATAATTTATTTTAATGTTCACTTACACAAACAACTGAGAAAGCAAAATAATATCAATATAATGATCTGTACCTTAAATTCATTTAAACAATGCCTTTCTGTAAGAAGTAATTCCTTCTCTTCTTCAGGAAGTAAATTTGATGTATTGTTTAAATTTCCATGTGATTCATCTCTCGGTGATGGTGACTTTTTTAATATACTTTTTGGCTTGCGAAGGAGATTATTTTGGTCGATTAAGTCATGGTCCATTCATAGTATTTTCAATATCAGAAATGTGTGAGATTCAAACTGTAAAGAAAGAAAAAAGTGCAGATTTTAAATGATGATATGAACTTGATATAACTTACATCTATTTCACGTTTAAGGAAAAAGAACTGTTGACTCATCTTTCACATATTTATACTTTATAAGAACTAATACTTTTTTTGTTTGTTATGGACTAAAGCATGTGTTTAAAAGCAGATACTATCTTCTCGACCTGGCGTTTACTTTTTATGTTCATAATACAATTAGATAACCTTGATAAAGATCAAACTAATCAGTTATGAAATGGACCCGCATGGATAATATTTATGAGTGTTTGTTGTAGAAAGAACGTTACACATATATATTTCATAAAGTTTTACTTAATTTCATTCTAGAAATATATATCAACGTTAGAAAATATAATTAAACTGCACTACAATCAAAATAATTTAAGAAAAAAAGAATAAATAGCGAATGTGGATACAGAAAATGAAACAAATGTTATAGAACAAGACAACAGAGACAGTTTCATTCCAGTTAACGAAAGTTTAGTATCAGCCAAATAGGCAAAATTACTAAAAAGTTTCATTAATTTTTTATTTAATCTTTCAATTAATCTAGGAAAAGTTATAACACGGAAAAAAGTAGTTGTGTGACTAATTTACGATCCAAGTCAAGATCAGTTTAAAGGTTAATTACCTAATTGTTTGTATTCTGACTTGGTTGAAATTTCGATTATCTTATTGTTGTATAACCGGAAGAGACATCAGCACTGTAAGAAATTAACATTAAATGAGTTATTCTACTGTCTGGCTTTGCACCTCTAATACAATTTTAGCCTGTTCTTCTGTATTCTCTTCTACAGTGTATATGATGTTTTATATTTGACAACAAGTTCGGTTTCCGCTTATCATTCCGTCTAAGCATAAAAGCAAAAAAATAGTAAGAAATCTGAATAGAATATACATACGTTTTTTCTCTTTAGATAATATAATTATTCGTTCTTCTACTACATGTTACCCTTTGGAAAATAACAATGATATAATATACATTCTTTCCTTGGTTAGAAAATATTTCTATTCGACCTTATATCATTAATGCTATCCACTGTTTATTAGACAATCTGTCCTGCAGATTATCAATAGAAAGGAGCTAACGTTCCCTTATGTTAAAGCTGGCTGGTAGAATTCTTGAATTTGTGTATCATCCTTTATCAAAATTCTCCATAAAACAGAAGATCTAACCGACGAAGTGCCGAGAGATCTTTAACGACAACCTTTATCTAAATTCGGAGTTGTTGGTTTATAATCAATTATATTGTTCAGAAAAAGCATTAATCCTATATTATCATAATACATTTACTTAGGAAAATATATACATAAAACTAAAATAAATAATTATAAACATTTTGTAGTAGTTCCATGATCTCGTTCGATTAGCGCTGGTGGTTGTAATCATCTTCGTTGTCCTCCATTTCAGATGATTTTAATTTTTAATGGATTTTCAATACTTTTATCGTCTTATCATGATGATGATGATTTATTGTTAATAACGTAATCGGATCTATTACCTACTTTCACGACAAAATAAAAAATGTATAAAAGCGTAAATAAATGAACCGAAAGCGTGTCACAAGTTTAGAAGTCTACTTATAACAGTTTTAATCGATTTTAAATAGGCATGCACCGGTTATAACCGATTGAATTTGTGCACTTTTTTCGCGAGAAGTTTTTCTCAACGAAAGTTGATTCTTTAAAATTTTTCTAACAACTAGGCTTTGTGGAGTAAATCTTCTACACGATGAGCTATGAGAGTGTTCGTCTTCTTGGATCTAGCCCTTACAAAAAAAAGATTTCTTAAAAGTCCCATGATCGGGTATAATTGGTGGCTATTAGGGTCGTCGTCGAGAAGCGATTGTGGCAGAAATAGTAAACATGAAGGCTTCCACTATAGCTCATCTTGTAGAAAAATGTTTGCTCTAGAAAATCTAATCGTTAGAAAAATTTTAATATGCGTACTTTTCGTGCAATCCATTGCAGAAAAAAGGTGAAATGAAAGGTTATAATTGGTGCATGCCTATTTAGTTATGAGTGCAAGAGCGTCGAGTATCGAGTATCTCAAAAGTGCACTCAAGTACGAATATCTAACTCATATTCGCTCAGCTCTGAACTGAATACTATTACGCTTTGTTCAGTCTTTTACGCTCTATCAATACATATTTAAAATTAAAATTAAAAATTTATTAAAGATTTATGAGAACAAAACAAAACGAAATAATAAAAGAGTCAGTTTTTCTAAAACCCTCTACATTCGTCTTGGTTCGTAGATCTAAAACTGTTGGATTTGTAGGTAACTTTGATTGTTTTATCTGACAGAAACATGAAAAATTTAGATTAATTTTTTGACGATGTGACGCATTCTTCGCTCGGCTGATAAATCGTATCCTCGATGAACTGAGATCAAAGGCATTTGTTCCAAAGTCATGTAATTTCTAAGGGTATTTGTAAAAGACGCCATCACCCACCAACACCTCGTTTCTAATCATAACTAATTGAAAGTTATTATTATTATGGAAAGTTCATGTTTATATTTTTTTCTGCGGGATATCTGGTCAGCGGTGGTGTTACTAACATCTTTATTCACAAAATCTACAGACTAATTCCATTTGTCAGACATAGTTGTATTACTTACTTGAAAGTGAATTTCTTTCAAAACCAATTAGACTAACGCTCTAACACAACAGTTCTATTTGATTTCTTGCAGATTTTTCCTGTATAAATGAACGTTCAATGTCATATTATTCAAATTATTTTGGGACAATAAAGTATGTTTAACAAATAATTGAACACAACTTTATCTTGAGATGAAATATATTTGAAAAGTAAAATGTGGCCTCTACTGACTTAGTAATCAGTCCAACTGTCTCTCAATCGGTAGTTTATGATAGGTTCAAATAAAATATCACTTCTCCTCTGAATATTTAAACCTAGCCATGTGTTTCAATCATGTCTCGGAGAGATATTTTAACCTAGAAAAACAATAAACTTTAACGATGACGAGAATAAACCAAACAAATCTGCAAAAATGTACTCGATATAATCAATTCATCCCTAATTTTGATACATATTTATAACACAGTAATGTACACATTTCAAAATCTACAAGTTGTAAAAAAACGCACACGACCGCTCGTAGTTCTTATTCAGCAGAACTCGACAAATTAGAAAAACTGATCGACGAAATTAATGAATATATTTGTCGTTCATCATTACTGTACATTGTGTATGATCATTGTTAATCTAATGATTGTTCTATATCTTTCAACAATTATCTGTTCTTCAAATATCGATCAACTGTCTTTTCTTTTGAATTTTTAATGTTTTGCTACGACGGAAGGTGGTTGTATAACAAATTTTTTACAAGAACTGTAAAATAATTTCTTGTCCTTTTTTAAATGCAAAAGTGTTTATTTACTTTTTGCATTGTAACAGTTCTTATAGTTGTCAAACTACGAAAACAAACTCTATTTACAAAGTTTATATCTAAAGCTTTGTAAAATTGAAAAAAATAACTGAATCTGACACTTAGACAAATGAGTGCAGATCTCATAGAAGATAATTGCTCTGTTAGTTACATAAATAAGTAATAACAACAACAAAAATTACCGAGCACAGAAATGAAATAAACAAATTGATAAATGTATGTCAGTAAGATAAACAAGATTTTTCTTACACATATACATAAATAGAAATGAGAAACAAGAACACTAATGAAAGACAGATAACATGAAGTAAAGTTGCTGATATTTTTGATTAGACTGTTTGTCTATTATACAAAATGATACTAAAAAAAAATTAAATAGAACGTATTGACAGATAGACAAAAATAAATAATTAAATAAAGTGTTAGTATCAAATCAAAATCGAGGATCAAGTCCTACGAAGCCTCTACATGCTTGAGAAAATGTATTCATATGATCTTTAAAATTGGCTCGACTTGACCGTTCACTAAAATAAAACAATAAAAAATAAGAAATAAACAACAGACTATAGATTAAACCTACCGTGTTAATGCTTTAATTAATGCTTCACGATGTTCTTTAGTGGCAGCTGGAGTGGGAAAGTTTGGATCACTTAGACATTGTTGAACCCATTTTATTGCCCAATCTAAAGATTAAAAGAAGATATGATAATTGAAATTAATGAACGTATTAAGTCAAACGTATAGCTTACCAATATAAAGTTTTGATAGTGTAAATAATGGCAATGATAGTATATCAACTAAATGTCTTGGACTAGCACCGCCAATAGCCTATAAGTAAAAAGTAGTATAAAAACAGTAAGTCATCATTTTAACTAGAATAAATAAATGCGAAATATTTTTGATGGCTGTTGCTTATACCTTTAGTAAAATTCTAACAATTTCAAGACCATTTTTTTGTAATAATTCAGCGGCACGATTATTCAATTTACAATATTCAAAGTAATTTGCCTAGAGTAAAAATAAAAAGCATGCAAATTAGATAAATAATAGCACAGCAGACATTTCCTATCTTACCATAAACATCGTCACACTTCTCAATGTGCTTTGTTCATGTAACTGGATACCGTTTTTCACTAAAATATCCATGGATAAAGACAAAATGTTAAAAGATCAAGTATAACAAAGAACTCTGTACGAAGTCACTTACCAAACTCGAATAAAAGAACAAGTGCCTCATTTGGACAACGGTTAACAACATGTGGTAGCTTTTTAATAACCTAGTAGAAAATCAATAACTTTCTATTAAAAGTGAGATAAATATCATAAGGAAATTACTTGTATAAGGAAATTAGCAAAATCTTCAACGATATCAACATGATTTTTTAACCACATCAGATCTAAACACCTGTAAAATATATAATGTCAAAACGACGAGGCACTTTCGAAACTTACCACCGTTAAATAGACAACCAAAACGTTGCAAAACAGCAAGAAATAAATTAAATGTGGTTTTATCCGTATCTTGAGAAAATAATAAAAGACTCTAAAGTAAAAGAGTTGGTACAAGTTGGGTGTTGAGTAACACAAACTTGTTGTGCAGTTTAAGCATATTCTCAGCAGTATCATCCTCAATCAGGGCTACAACATCGAATAATGTACACTCTACAGAACTTAATAACTTTATTCTTTCCACTGAATTATTAGGCCATCAATCGTCATACTAGCTTTTATAAATTCGATTAAAAGCTACTTTGGTAACGTACGTTTCTAACAAAATTTAAAAATTGTAAATGTAAAATATTTGGTCCGATACATTGTAACAATTGTAATAATGTTATCAATATTGGACTACTCGCTTCTTTTAATGTTGTCACTGTTCGAGAAAGAATTTCACATATTTTCTAAATTAACATTTTCATTTTGAGATTTTAAAATTGGTGGAAACAATGATAAACTAACCTCTGTTACTTCGTTATCATCAGAATATTGTTTTAATACAAGATGTAAAATCGGATCAAGATCACGCATAAAACTTGTAAGCTAAATAGATAAAAATAAATGACGTATTTATAATTCAAGATAAGTTAATACATACAACTTCTGGTGCTGCCGATGTATCTATCAGTGCCGATGAGCCATTATGTTGTTGTTGGTCATTTTCATCATTATCACTTTGATCACCGCAATATCCAATGGCCGTAATTAATACAGACATAAAACTTAATGTTGTGCAAATATTTTGTTTACATACAGCTAATGACTAAAATTTCGAAAGACTATTTTACATTAATGAATAAAATTATCGAACGAGAAAATGATGTATGATAAAAAAGGAGAACAGTATGAATATTCGAGAATATATTATTATCACATATACGACACATACACTATTATCTGTATTTTGTAAATATCCTAATAATTTATTCACTTCCGGAGCTAATAGAATATTCAAATGATCAATAACAACTTTTGATGGATAAGCGGATAAGATATAACCAATAATGGCTACACAACGAATACGATCGTTTGCATTCAAATTTCCATTTTCGAGAACAGTCTAAAAATAATTATAAAATACTTGCGTGAGTACTATTTATCTATTTTTATCTTTATATTTACTTTGATTATTGGAAACACATCATTCAAATATTTGGACATATGTATTCGATTTTCCATTGTTAATTCTTTCAAAGCAATTGAAGCTGACTGTATTAGTTCTGGATTTGATAATGCATTTACACATAAGTGAACACAATTTTGGAGTGTTTCTTGATGGTGTCCTAGCCAACTACTATACTGTCCTAAACGTCAATAATAGTCAACAAACCATACATAAACATTATATAATTTTAGACTCTTGATACGTAGAAAAGTGAAGTTATATCCTTGTTAGTATTCTGCTGTAGTATCCGTTGTCGCAAACTTTTGAAGAAGTTATCATATACAGAAAGAAAAACATTCCTTTCAGCACTATTTCTCGATACTTCAGACAAAAATATAGTTTCTACGACATTTTTTTCTCGCTGAAATTAATAACCAATAACTGATACATACCCAAAACCATTAATGTAGTATTTATAATTGAACTATTGCAAAAATTCATTTTCCGCAAAAGTGAAAATATTCTAGGTAAATAAATATTTTCATCTAATGGAACATATTCACTTCCAGCACCAATCAATTGCATTATCGATTCTTGTCGCTAAAAGAATATGTCAGTTTTAAGAAATTATTGTCTTTTATACTAAACAGTCTCATACAACCTGCCACGATAAATTTTGATCAACAGCTAAAGCCAAATGTTGAGCTAATACTTCTAACGCTCCATTGCCAAGAGCATTATGCATACACATCTGAAAATAAACGAAATATTCTTGATTGTATCTGTCATTACTATCTTTTTTGTACCATTGTATCGCCAATATCAACACGATAACATCGAAATGTTTCTTTATCTTCGCTTGTATATTGTTGTTCATTTTCTGGCAATTGTCCTTTTATGATCAGCACTTCAATTAGACGTATAAAATAAGGACGAAATATTCCCATTAAAATTATTTGTTTGTTATCATCCTCAGTCGAAGTTACTTCCTCCTAAACAAGAAAAAAAGTCATAAAATATTATAAATAAAAAATACTATACAAACGTACCTGCAACGCGTACCAAAAACTGAATGTCAATTCTGAACATGTTTCTTCGATTGGATATTGTCCTTTCATATCAGTACAACGCTAAAACATTACAGTAAACGTAAATAATATAGAATAATAAAATTCCGTTTATATACATACCATAACAAGTCTACAAAAATTGTTTGATAATTGTTGAGGCTGTGGATACATTGTTAATGCTAATTGTAGTAATAATTGAGCATGATTTTCACCAAACGTTGTAATCAATTTTGTTAAACTTTCACATTTTTCCTTCAAATTAAATACAATACATTAGATAAATGGGAGTAGAATAAAAGTGATATACTTACTTTATCACCAGACGACAATGCATGATCTAACAACGTTTCAAGACTCAGAACGTAAGGTAGGAGACCAGTAAATGTAGCTGGATATCTACAATAATACTATAACCTTTTAGAATACATTTAAGCAGAAAACTTTTTATTTACTTTAGTGCGTCTGGTGAAGTGAATAGTACAATAATACATTCGCAAGCATCATCAAATAATTGCACACTATTTAATGCATTGAATAAATAATCAAACATTGTTTCAAATTTTAATATGGGTATGCCGAATTCAAGCCATTTTGAGAGACAATCAAACATCTTACATAAAACATCCACATGGTTAAAATTTGAGATAATGTATTGAATATAAGATAAAACTAAATAAGAAAAAAATGAGTCAAAATTTGGTACGCAACAAAAATCATTACCTGTAACAAATTGTCGTTCAAGCTCGAGACGTATAGATGCACGTTGACTTTTTGGAACAACTATCCGAGAGAACTATTAAGAAACGGGGGAAAAAAAAATAAGCGTAAAATGATCAATGCAATTTGCTTACCTCTTCTGGTAGAATGGTTAAAATATCTAGTACTATCATATGGGTCTTTTCTGGCTAAAAAAGAGCATATGAATTAAAATGTAAAATGGAGAAAAAAATGTTATACACATACATATTTACAAAGAAAATCATTTGATGATTGTGTAAAAATGTTAATGATATTTGTCATTATATTTGGCCATTTGTCCGGCATCATATTAAGAATAAGATGTCCAAGCTGAACACAACAGACAGAAACAATTTCGTATAAAATTAGAAAATAGTTACTTACTGCAACAATCAATTTAACGACTATTTGCTTTGAATTAATTGACACATAAGATATAATTTTTTGTATAAGTTGTTCGAACACTAACTGCAATTGTTTATCATCTAGTTCGGCTCTAAACAAACCAACTATTAATAAAGCTTTATTGAAGATGTTATTTGATACTTACAAATGTTTTGATATTTTATTACAAAGAGCAACAGCTCCAAAAAATTGTATACTTTGTGTTTTAGTAGTTTGTAATAATTTCCATGAAAAATCCCATGCTAATGGTGAATATTGTAAACGTTCAAGAAATGAGTTCAATTGTTGTCGATTAACAATAGATGAGTTTGTAGCCGAGTAAAAATCATTAATTGCTCGTTCTATTTCATCTAGTGAACAACCAGCAGTATGAGATGACTGCAGCTTGGATTCGGGAGTGTTAGATAAGGAACTAGAGGTTGCCATTAACATTGTTTAAATTTTATATATAAAAACACAAATCATAACCGACGTATAAAAACAATCTAAAACTCACACAAATCAAGCAGGTCAAAAATGGACAAAGTTTTGGCTAGAGAATGAGGAGAATAAAAAAGGATTAGGAGAAAAACTATACATAAAAAATTAGTCATAGATAAGATCTCTAAGTATCCAACTTTATTGGTAAAATTATATTATTACGAGAATTTCTGTAGTACATCTTACTATAAAGGAATTTATAGTTAAAAAAGTTTAGGGTTGATACTAGAAATTGTTTCATCATAATTCTTAAGCTTGCGAACTTAAGCACAAACTAGAGTGACCATTTAGTATGTCGTTTTAGAGCATTAACTTACGACAACTCCGGAGAAGATGAAGCCAAATTTTTAGTACCTTGTGTAACTGAAAAATAATAAAAATTTCAATTCAAAATATTGAGTCGCCCCAAGTAATCAGGGCTGCGTTTCTAAAAAAAACTTAAATTTTCACCTTCAGTCCGACCGTAAGCCAAACTTAAGTTTTGACTTAAGTGTGCTTCTTAAAAAAACTTAAGTCAAGCAGAGGTCATGCAGTAAAAACCATTCGTATTTTAGACAACTTAGATTGTTTTATAGCAGTTTTCTGAACAAAATGTCTGAAAAATTATGTTCAGTCTAATGATGGTGGGTTGGATGGGTTACGTATTTCAAATAAAGAAGTTACAAAATTTAAACAATTTCCTACTCAAAAGCTTAAGTGAGAACTTAAGTGAGATCAAGAGGTAATTTAAGTTAAGTAATGTTTGAGAAACATACTTAGCTAAAAAATTTGACTTAAGCGAATTTTTCACTTAAGTTTTGTGTAAGTATTTTTAAAAAACTGGCCCCTGAAGCCTGTTTCTCAAAAAAACTTAAGTATTCCACTTAAGTGATTAAAGGAAAAATTGAGTAGTACTTAAGAGACACTTACGTTTCCCTTAAATGCGTTTCTAAAAAAACTTAAGTTAAATAGAAACCATACAGTAAAAACCACTCATATTAGGTTGGCAACAAAGTTTTTGCGTTTTTTCTAAAGATGGAGGAAAGAAAAAACGCAAAAACTTTGTTGCCAACCTAATATTTTAACAAATTTAGATTATTTTGATGAAATTTTTTGAACAAAATTCTTCTAAATTATTTCCCATCTAATTATTGTGGGTCTGACTACGAAAAACGTGAAATACAGAAGTTACAAATTACAAATAATTTTTCAATTAAAAAATAAGTGAAAACGTATGGCTGGTCGAGAGGTCCCTTAAGTTAAGATGCTTTTGGGAAACGCACTTAGCAAAAAAATCTACTTAAGTCAAATTTTTCATTTAAGCAAAACTTAAGTTTTTTTGCACTAGTGGAAATTGCGCTTATTTGCACCGTTGCGATCGCAAATGTGATTGCAACAACGGATCTGCGCTCACGGACACAGTTATGCGTATTTGTGCTAAGACCGCAGTTACACACAATTGTGCGTAGTTTGTCTGCATTGTGCGATACAATGCAATCACATTGCGGCGCAAATCTATCCCAATCGAAAACATGAGAAGATTCAAAATGATGATCCTCGTACGGTACATTTGTCTGCAGATTGTTTATTTTAAACTGGTCCAGATAATTTTCTCTCCGTTCTTTTATGCACGCTTTTGAACTCAAAAAACTAAAAATTCTTACGGCAGCCACAACTATGCACATTCTAAATATTTAGAGCAAATATCGAAAATTGCCTAGATCAATTTGTGAATCTTGTTGATATTTTGAGTACACTGTAAGCATCGGACCGAAAACGCCTTTGTTCACTTCCCTAAACACAATATCATTCTTACAATTTGCGAAGCTACTGCGCGAGGCAGGGTAAAAAACCGTCCAGAACTCAGTAAAAACTGAAACTTCATTTTACTAATCGTATATAATTAACTCTTCCTTTTTTATTGCTTCATAGAAGCCATGCTACTTATTTATTTAGTTTTTTTTGGTATTTATTTATTGTTCAGTTCCAATTGTCGGTATTATACAGAATCGAGAACATACATATTAATGGCCAGATTAAACACCACTCGCACGGTCATTCACCTAATAAACGAAATGTTTGCTTTGCTTCGTCTATTTATACTTCGAGGTTGTGCGAAAGAGTGATATATTTCCTTACCTGGCAACAGTTTATCAGCTTTTAGCATAAGACCATGTCACTGCAATCGACGTCAGAGGGAATAATAATCTTAGTAGTAACTGTAGCTGAAATGTTATTCGCGATAGATATGCAAACCAACTTTTTTTCTTTCCTTCTTTCTTTTTCTGAATGAAAAAACAGACTAATAAACAACAACATTATTATCCCTTTTTCCGTCTATATCTCTAGTTTCCTAACAATATTATATATTTTTTCTGTGTTGATAATTCGCATATGCACGCTTGTAATTTCGCGAAAATTTATAGTTTTATAGAATTAGAATTGATTTTTTAGACAAAAGCGATGACAACACCAGTGACGGGTTTTTTAGGACGTTTATTACACTCTTCGTTATGTCGTCCGATAGTTCAATATCATCGCACATTTGCAACAACTCCAAGTTTAAATCAAGCGAGCGATTCCAGTAGTCCTGCCACCGAAAATACAACTCGAACAGTAACCTTAATTCCTGGTAATCACCTATATTTATTTATGAGTACGTTTAAATATTTTTTGTATTCTTTTATAGGTGATGGAATTGGACCAGAAATAGCACATAGTGTGCAAAAAATATTCGAAGCGGCTGGAGTGCCATTAAACTGGGAATCGGTTGATGTTACTCCAGTAAAATCTGCCGATGGAAAATTTCGTATACCGCAAAAAGCAATCGAATCCGTCACACGAAATCGTATTGGATTGAAGGGGTATGATCATATACTTGTGTAAAAATGTTATAGTATTGTAAAATTTGCTATTTTTTTCGTTTTAGACCACTTGCAACACGTATGAATCAAAGAAATATTTTTCTAAACACGTATTAAATTGGTGTCTAATTTTATTGTTTTTTTTCTAATTTAGCCGTTGGTAAAGGTCATCAGTCGCTAAATCTCGCATTACGTAAACAATTCAATTTATTCGCCAATGTGAGACCATGCAAAACGTTAGAAGGGTACAAAACGCCGTATTCAAACGTTGATCTAGTGACAATTAGAGAAAACACAGAAGGGGAATATAGTGGAATTGAACACACAATCGTTCCAGTGAGTAAATCTAAACTAATCCTACTGTAAAGTATTTTAATCGAAAAAGCTCTATTTAAGGGCGTTGTACAATCAATTAAATTAATTACCGAACATGCATCATCAAGAGTTGCTGAATATGCATTTCTTTATGCTAAACAGCACAGACGTGAGAAAGTAACAGCAGTGCATAAGGCAAACATCATGTAAGCACTTCGTTCAAACACAATCCATGCTTCACATTTATACGTTTTAGGCGTTTATCTGATGGTTTATTTTTGCGCTGTTGTCGTGATACAGCTGAAAAATATCCAGAAGTACACTTCGAGGAGATGTATTTGGACACGGTGTGCCTCAAAGTAAGATTTGGAGTGTATATTATTATTTACATTATATAATTAAATTTGTGATTTTTATTTGTAAAGATGGTTCAAGATCCGACACAATTTGACGTCCTTGTTATGCCAAATTTGTACGGTGATATTTTGAGTGATTTATGTGCCGGTCTCATTGGAGGATTGGGTCTCACGCCAAGTGGAAATATTGGCGAAGGAGGTGCTGCCATATTTGAAGCAGTAAGTTTACGTACGAGTGTGTGAATAGTATTCACCAGTCAAGTATTTCCTACAATAGAGAAGTATCTTAGATTAAAAGCTTAGTCTGGATCACTTTTTTTAAACGCTTTGAAAACCGTTCTCTGTTAACAGTGAACAGATTAAACTAATCAATTTCTTATTTTTTCTTTTAGGTTCATGGCACCGCTCCAGATATTGCTGGACAAGATAAAGCAAATCCAACTGCCTTATTATTGAGTGCAGTTATGATGCTTCGACATCTGAATATAAGCGACAAAGCAGACAAAATAGAAAAAGCTTGTTTTGATACCATCAAGGACGGAAAGGTAAAAAGTTTGCCTTTTGTTTAAGTCGCGGGAAGAACTCTTGAGCTGTATTGTTTTTCCATCCGGTTGCTAAGCAGTATTCAACAAGTTTATTGTTAGTATTCTTTTTCTACTTTTTCTCCGGTAAACCTGTTGGTGCACGTTTCTCGTAAACATAAGAGACTGTGACTGCCTTAAATGAGTGCAGCCGATACTCTAGTACGGACCTCCCTTTTACGCAATTCTAGAATTTGTTTTTTTATAAGGAAAATACCAAAATCGGTCTAAATATTGTGCTTTTGGATAGTAGCATACTGGGGAACTGCTAGGTATGATTATTGTTAATGTGTCACATGAACTTTGTAAACTCGTCTATTTCGTCTTTCTTCTGCCATCTTCCAGAAAAAATCTCTGAATCAGCGGGCTGCACCACGATTGAAGAAGATGGGCGCTTCATTGCACGAAAGTGAGGACGAGACCAACAATTATCAACAAGATGACTCTGTTTTCTACCCTTAAAAGAGTAATCGCACGAGCTGTATTTCCAATATAGGACGATCACTGCCATACCCATCATCTCTATCATCACCAGATGTTGATTGTTGATTTTGTTGATGATCGAGCTACGTATGTTATCAGAACTAGCTGACTTTCATCCTTTATGATGTAAGCGTTCCGATGAAGTAGGACTAGTGTTCTTGTGTAATACTGAACCATTCCTTCTGCTCTCTTGCGTCATTGGCACAGCGACGTACACAGCACCAGGCCAGAGGTGGACCGTGGCCCACTCCTTAGAAATTTCTTTCTTCAATTCGCAGTAGAAAAAAATATTTTGATTGAAATCTAAAATAAAAACACCACACAAGAACTTTTTTTACTTTTTTCGTTGCCCATCCCCTACTGAAATCCCGAATACGTCGCTGCTTTGGCAATGTTCGCGCTAATGTACTTGCGTTCTAGTCTTCTAATTCCTTTTCATCAACAAATTATCTCTTATATTTCTTCGACAATCTACTAATTTTATACTTTTAACGTTATTGTTTTTTCAATCATTTCACAGGTCCTTACTGGTGATTTAGGCGGCAAATCTAAGTGTTCCGAATATACAGCTGAAATATGTGGACATATTAAAAACAGTTGAACACAATCCTATGAATTGAACTCATTTGGACTTTTATAATGTTAACTCTGCAATAAGATCTCTTTGGTTATTTTGTATCAATAATAACAACAGACGTAACGAACATATCCACTAGACGAACGTGTCACATTCTAGTCTACATACTTTTTGTTTTGTTTGTTTTTTCCTATGCCTTTTTCTACTTTTCTTAGTGTTAGCTTATTTTTACACTCCATTTTTCCTTCTGACAAACAACTGGAACTGCATGCTTATTTTCTTCGTGACCGTTCATTTTTTAGATAGAATGAAGAATCTTTCTCAAAGCAACAGTAAGTTCAATTTTTTTATAGACTATCGCTATCTTATTGAATTACTGTATTTATTTTATTTGTTTTTTTGTCTTCTCATTTATCAATAATAAATGTTCTTCTATTTTGACATTATGAATATGGGGGAAAACTCCATGATTATTTGTCGAGAAAAAATTGCATTACATCCGAATAAATATTTTCTGACTTTGTGTACGTTTGTTCATTTTTCTATCACAACCATCATCTGCTTATAATTCTTTGGTTTTGGTTAGCCTAGAAATAAGTAGTCAATAAAACAATATTATCTGCTACTATTAGTATTATAATTCACCAAATTCTATAGAAATTAACTATGTTTTTAAAAGTGATCAGTGCCTTCGTTGAAACATCCGCATTAATTACAGTGACACTATTACACGAATTTATGTTTTTCTAGTCCTTTGAGCAAATCAATACCTGTTCATTATATTTATTTTAGAATGAAATTAACGTAGTTTTCTAACTAACTTTCAAATCAATGTTTGCATTAAGACGTTTATACCACCCTCAGTTGACAGCTACATCCTCTCCTTACGTACCTGTTTTATTTAACATCAAATGTTACAAATCGAATAAAAGTTACAACGATAAGTCTTCATCTTCAGCAGAACAAAAAATACCCAATGATATCAATAATGAAATACTAAAATTTGAGAGAAAATCTGCAACACAATTTAAAAACACACAAAATGATGGAAGTGACGATGGTCAAAAAATCTTTAGTAAACCAGTAAGGAAAAATGTCAATAATAATCAAAAGCCATTAACATTAGATCGTAATGAGCTAGAACAACATAGTTCTGGAAACCGTAGAGATCAGAGAAACAATAGAAAAACATCAAGTAAGAACTTGAATTGTTAGTTGAGTGAATGTTCATGTTCAAGCGGATGTGTTTATTATACTCCCATTATTCTTTTTTTGTTAAGATGTGCAATCTAAATTTAAAGAAGCTCAATATGCAGATACGCAACAAAAATCAAAATCGTTACAACAACAGGAACAGAATTTGTCGTCATCATCATCATCAACCAGTTTATCGAGCATGCAAGATTTACTGATGAGTATGACTGTGAACAGAAAACAAAAAAAATCTTCGGATAATTTAGCATTAGCAAGACCAGTGGGGAATAAGAAAATAAATGAGCAACGACAACAACAAAATTTACCGAAGTAAAAAAAATGTTCTCTTTCAGAATGTGCATACTAAGAGCGTTTTACTCCGAGAATGAAAAGTGTATTTTGAAACTCGGAATAAATATTTCACTTGCGTAATGAAGCTGGTACTTGCATTTTTTCTCGAAGTAAATTTACTTCTAAGTACTTGATTTTTCATCTGTCAACTACTTTTACAAAGTAGTTCGTTGCAATAAAATCAAGTGTTGCAATCTTAGTATTTGTAAAAGTACAGGACAAGTGCGTCATTTTGAGAATAATTGCCAAGTTTTCCAAATATTTAACAAATGATTAAATACTTAGTTCAACTGCGTTCACTAAGACGATTAGACAACAAATATAATTACATTTACATGAGCTGAAAAAACTTGACGAAAAAGTATTTCAGAACTGATTATTTTGAAATTGGAGTACATCATTCCGGAATGTTTATACATTTACTATAGCATTTTTTACTCCTTGACTTTGCTGCTATTTATTTAACTTATTTGGATTCATCAGTTGGCTTTTTTCTAATCTACTTTATACAATCAACATTTTTGGTTATTTTTTAGAAAACCAATAGAGAATTTTGAATTAGTCGATACGGACTCTCATGATATTAAAAATTTAACAAAACAAGTAGCTCAGACTATAACAAAAGATCAATCAAAAAGTGACGATGTTGAAAAGGAACTATTGGATGCTCTTCGTGGTCATCGTATTTCTTCATCAGCAACAAAACAATCAATTCAACGATTAAAGTCTTCTCCAATTTCATCACCATCTCCTACACACAAACGTCCGGTAGCAACAGGAGTGGAGACCGATACACCGCAGCAGGATAATGATGGTGATAAACAAAAAGTTACTGATGCCTTTTCGTAAGTAGAATTCATGGTTTTCGCAAAAAGACTTTTAAATAGATTTTTTTTCATACTAGATCATTACTGAGAGATTTAAAACTAAATATGTCATCTCAAACGTCGTCCTCCAGAACAGAAGGTTTTGTCCGTGATGGTTCGTTCAATAAAAATTTTTTAATTATTTTCTTGTGATAAAAAAAAAATTTCTTTTTTCCAGTCGTTGAAGGATCGTACGTTAGTCCAAAATATTCAGGAGGTAGAGATGATTCGGATAGAAAAAGTGATTCTCAACGTGCCACAGATACAGTAGATGGTGGAAGACGAATAAAAGATTCACGAAAAAAACAAGAATATTACAGGTACATTATTGTCTATTCATTCTATTTAGTTTAACATGAATATTTTTATTTAGAGCACATCGTTTGTGGTCTGGAAAACCTTTAAACATATTCACAACAGACGATTTTAAAGAAGATGGTAAGGTCCATGTCAAAGTTCGTCTGTCCTACTTGAATAAATAAATCAAAACCGTCAAGTATATTTTCTTTCTTAGTATTGGCCTCAACTGTGCCCCCAATATGGCAAAAATGTGAGCAAGATGAAATAGATCGAATATCAATGATACCACCAAGAAATGCATTTGAAGAAATGATTCGGTGGACAAAAGACGGAATTTTATGGAAATTTCCTATCGATAATGAACAAGGTCAGTTAAAATTAGCGTGAACGTTTACGTGTAAAGTTTTTATGTTTTTACACTAGATATTGGTCCTGAGGCTGATATTCCATTTTATGAACATGTACTATTAGAACGACATTTACATGGATTTCCTGACAAGCCCTTAATTCGTCAATTTATGGAATTAGTTTGTACTGGATTAGGACGAAATCCATTTTGGACAGTTGAACAAAAAGTTGATCATATTAATTGGTTTCGAGATTATTTCAATGAAAAACTAAGTGTATTTAATGAAACTGTTCAATCAGGACAAATTATAGCAACAACTCCGACGAGTGGTAGTACAGCTGCAGTCACTGCAGCGAGTGCTCCACCGATTAAAACAACTGTTCCACCGGTTAAAACAATTGTTCCACCTCCGAAGACTACTCCATCGGCGACTGTTACTACGAAAAAATAGTCTATAGAAATAAATTTTGTGTATTTCCTGTTTGTTATTGCATTTTATAGTAAATTAAATAACTAATTTAATTTCTTGTTTTGTTTAGAAAAGAGAATGAAAAAATTTGATGAAAACAATTTCTCCTGTGTTTGAAACAACGAAGATGGAAAGTGAACCGAATTATGACCCGTTTTTTTATGATTATTGTAACAAGATCTGCTAATCTTTAGGAAATTTAGGAATCTTGTATAAAAGAGATGCTAGATCGACCTACTCCTAGTATCTGTAGTCGTGATAATTACACTTACTAGACTAGTCTGTTAGACTTCTTTATTCTACTATTTTACTTACTAAAGAAGGTTTATTTTTCCGTCATATTAAAAGACTTTATTAAATATCGTATTTTTTTCACTTGACACTCATTGCTATTTGGAAACAATAAGCAATGTATTAGTCTAATTCTCCATGGATCATCAGAAAAAACTAAGGGTAAAAATAGCGGTATTCGATCAGGATAACGAAATCCTAATGTTATTTGATTTGCTAAATTCATTATAAAATTTTCCTTGTTATCAAACAATGTTTTTTCTAAATGTGAATGAAATTGTTCGTTTTTAGTCAATGTAACATTTAAAAAATTATTGATTATAAAACCCAAATAAATATCATCAAAATAATTTTCTCGAATGCATCCACGAATGAAATGTCCTACATTTGTAGTATATGGTTTTAATAAATGTAGTAATTTAGATGATAGGCAAATTCCAGCACCGAGTGTAGCAAACCAGAATGGTATGGGAAATGGATTTTTATTGCGATATAATGTTGTATTCCATGAATTACGACCAATATAATAAGGTATCGATGAATCTAGTTTTGACAAATAATTTTTTAAATTCTTACTATTAACATAATTATCATCGTCAAAATGGCAAAACCATTCGTATTTATGTTTGAATCGATGATATAAGAGAAAATGATGTGCTGTTTTACAACATAATGAACTTAGTGAATGTGATTGAATCGAACAGTATTTTGTAAATTGAACATGATCAGCTTTTATCGTTGTTATATTTGATGGTAGAGAATCCGTAACAAAATAGACATGTTCCGAAACAAGTGGAATCCATGTTTCCGTTAGATAACGTAAACGTGTATGATAAAAGTGTAATACTGTTCGAACAGTATACATTATTCGCGGAGAAGATATTGTTCGATTAATCGATATTAACTCGCTAACTTTTTCTTTAATATAGTATTTATCAATAGGATGGTAGTAATGTAATAACACATACATTGTAGTTAATGTAACTAATAAATAAATGCTTAAACGAAGCCGAGGCATCGATCATTGGTGAAAATATATGAAAAAGATTGAACAACGTTGTAATTTAACTAAATAGAACTTCACAAGTATGGTACAACATTTCATCTTGAAACACTTCGGGCTGATTTATGGCCTTTAATTAAGAAATGAAGAGTAGTGAAGATGTCGTGTACTGGAAACAGTACAAAAATACAGTGAAAACAAAACTGACTGAGATTCAAACTTATGACTTCAAATATACGGACTTTTGATCTTCTCACTTTTCTATCGGTTAATCAGTCGTCACACATGCTATCGGGACTAATATCGAATTTCATGAGAGCTTTAGTATCTCTCATCTGTTCTAGATGATCTTATCAATAGCTATGTTTCTACCTACACTTAAATCGTTTATATGAAAAAAAAATAATCCAAATGTTCTATTATTGAGTATCATATGACGAGTTTCTTTTCAACATATTCTGGTAGAATTGTAGTATCCAAGTGTCAACGAATGTAGAAACATCATTTTCAAGCAGAAAATATCTACATTAGTTTTTAACAAAACAGCAACAGTATCGATTCTTTTATTCTCATATTTACATATACATTTTCTGCTTTGTATCTACATCTGGATATAATGATTGTGTTTATCCAATATCTCGTCTATATGTGTGATGTCATTATTGTAAAAGAAGAACAAAAAGATGATTTTTTTTGTGCATGCACATATTGATATTGTCTGCTAACTATTTCTTGTAAACAATTTCTTTTTCTAGTTCCCAAATATGAATAGTGAGCAAAACAAAAAGAAAACGTTTTTGTTTCCACCCAAAGATCATGTACAAATGCCATTTGGATTATCTCACACGTGTGAATTATAATATATACAATTTATCACTCTTGAATTTGAACATAAGTAAAGCTAAATTTTCAGTAGTAGATTAATTGATCTCTTATTGTAGTAAATATGACAAAATTCGAAGTTGAAGGTTTTGACCAAACGTGATGATATTTATTGAGTATAGCACAACATATTTCATTGTGAACTAACAACTGGTATTATAGTCAAGCAAGCAAATTCTACTATATATTTATTTTGCTTATAATCACTCCGTTATTAAACTGAGAAATAATTGATTATTCAGATAATACAACGATAATAGAAGACATCGTATTCTGTCCTATTTCTTTGATAAAGGGTTGTTGGCTTTTTTAAATGGTCAGACATTCTTACAAAATGTCACAATATTTCTTTTATTACAAAAAAAATTCTTTGATTAATCGCGTCTTGTAGTGTTATACCATTGTTTCAAAAAAAAAATAAAAATTTCGTTGATTCAGTCACATACATTATTTTATTCTGACAATTGTCGTTTTGTACATAAGTTTACACTGTATTGTCTATTTTTATAGCCACTTCGAACAATCTCGTGATAATACTTCTTAGTCAACTGTATTCCATGCTAATTTTAATTTTGTTACTAGACTAAACATTACTTCTTACTGTTCATCATTTCTGTCTTCTATTGTCTGAAAAATTATCCAAATTAACTTATGATAAAAACGTCTTTCTATTTTTAAGCTAAATATAATTATATAAATTAGGTGAAAAGATCTCTCACTTGACACATTTTCCTATATAGATATTTAACATATTCATTTTATTACAAATTTTAATATTTATACATACATCAAAGACAAAAAGAAAAATGGAAAGAAAAACGAAGAACAGTTCGGAAACAGCGAATGGAAGAATGATAGAAACAAAAAAAATAACCAGTATCTTTCTTATAAAAACGAGAAAAACAAATGGATCAGATACATAGTTATTTAGGTGCTAATCGTCAAAATCGAAATTAGAAACAATGTTTCAATTAAAACTACATAGACACACACACACACAAAAACTGACTTACAAAGATACTTGATCTAAGAATTTCGTTAAATGAAAAAATATTAACGACACAAAAGAGCACCAGTATCGATCATTTTATTATCTCATATATTCACAGAAGAGAAAAAAAAGAAAGAAATAAAACTCTAATTTGCAGATTTAAAAGAAAAACGAGTTAAACTAATAAAACAGGAAAAACTCGATTTTGATCGACTGTATTTGTATAAATTCACGAGTAAAAAAAGAAGAAAGAAGACAGTAAAATGCGCTCAGTACTTGGAACAAGTAGTAGACAACTTAAATGTATAAATAACTATCAAATAAAGTTGACTCAACAAATCAATATTTGTATATGCGCATGTAAAACAAAGTATCAATAAAAATTAATGATTGATGTACAACATAAATTATTTAAAGATAAATACTATAAAAATTGTAAATAAACTTTACAAAAATAAATATATTGAAATAACAATTAATTATACACACACACACACACAAAATTTTAATTTATTTAAAGATCATCAATATTATTCTGAAGATGATGATGATAATGATTATCTATTATTGCTGTTATTTTACTTTTTTGATTATTATGATGATGATTACGATTGCACTTAATACATAGTATATGATCATTTAATGGATAACAACCTTCATCGGTTGCAAATTGAATTTGACAACTCTAAAATAAAAATAAATAAATAACAAATTAAATGCGATAATTTACAATAGATAGTTCATACTTCACATCTGTAACAGTCAACATGATAACTTCTGTCTAATGCCACTATTCTAATTGTTTCTTCTTGACCTGGTGTTGGTAAAATAGGTTTATTACATGCATAACATCTCGGTGCAAATTTTCTGAAATATAAGAATAAAATGAATTATTATTATGTTGTTTTCTTTTAAAAATCAATTTCTATGATCTTTTTTTTTGTTGTTTTTATTTACCTATGAAAGCAATCAATACAATGAATTTGCATTGTGGCATCAATTGTGAACGGTATACCATCAAGACTTCTTGTACAAGCAACGCATCTGAAACAATGGGGATGATATGGTTTTCCAGTTGCTCGTAGAATCTTTAAAAAACAACATAATAATATACATATAAAATACATATACTGAAGAATAAAAATTAGATATACTCGATCAGTTATAGGTCTTGAACATGCGATACATTTTTCCAATGAATTCTAAATATTAAATAAAATACATAATGATTGAACATAATAACTGATTTTATTCTTAGATAACGTACTATATAACATGGTTCACAATATGGTTTATTTTCCATCGCATAAAAATGCATTCCTCGTAAACGACACGCACACATTGAACATGTAAAACAAGCAACATGATACATTCGATCCATTGCAACTAGTCCATTTTCTTGACCAATAATTTCATCATTACATCGTGCACACATACCTAATCAAATATATTAAATTAAATTGTAATAAAAATTTTAAATTTTTATTCAATTTTACTTACCGAAAAAATTTGGTTCATTCGATGTGTTCATACTTTTCATGAGCATCCTGGTTAGGTGATCTATGTCTGCTTCTTTTTCCGTTGATCCTCCTCGTACATTACGCATCAATGTTGATGATAATGGTTGTGAAGGACTCGATACTGATGATGGACTTGGAACTAAAAGTCGAAGTAAAATAAAAATAGAAATTCTTGACTTTTTTTTCATTATTTTACCAGGTGATGAGTGAGGAGGCAACGTTGATAATGAAAATGGAGGCGTAGCACCTCGTGAAATTGGACGTTGAGATGGCGCAGGAGATCGACGATCTAATGTCGATGGATTAATATTGTTTGTATTATTATTACTATAGGCAAATAATGGTTTGAAACGATTTGATATCAAGTTTGACATATACTGATTATCTCGAATATCATTGTTTTCTCTTTGAACTGGTACATCAATAAGTCGAAATGCCTAAAATAACGATTTTCTTTCTCAAATTGTTTTATGTTGAAAATAATTGTACTTACTGGCGAGGTTCTACCTCGTACATTAATAGGCGATGATGATGAAAAATTTTCTGATTGTTGTTGATAATGTTTGTGATTAGGTGCACCAACAGAAATGTGAAAAGCGCCACCAGTTCCACTGTTAATGCCCGGTGTTCCATTTCCAATTTGATTTCGGTTAAGAGTAATTGACGGTGAATCGGGTCTAGATATTCGAATTTCACGAACGGTTGTTGCTTTGGGTAATTTTGGTGATGCTGCTACACGAATTTCTGAACGAGTAGGAGATCCGGCTGCAATAGTAATAAGCGGTGTCTGTGATGAACTGACACTTATCATAGCTAAAAGGAAAATAAAGGTCAAATATAAGTCAAAAGGCTATGTCAATGAAAATGAAATATGCTGAATTGGATAGAGATCTACCATCCTGTATTTTCACATAGATCATGGAACATGTCATCATTAATCTATGTGTAATAAAACGAACTAAAGTATCTGACATAATATTTTATGATAAAAGTTGATCGCCTATTCCACGTGGCTTGACCGAAAACATGATTCTGACACTTTACTCCCTATTTTCTTGTCTTATATCTTTTGAATAGACGAATACCGGAAGCTTGCGGTTGCCTTATTTTATGCTGAAAAGGGTGATTAACAAGATAAGACGTGTCAGATCTCTCTACGTCTCTTAGTTATGAAGATATTTTGAAGAAATTGAACATTATTCTTAAAAAAAGTTTTTTTAACATTGTGTGTGCAACTCTGCTTTGTTGCCACATCTCCATAACCACGAGGCTTAGAGAGATCTGACACGTCTTATCTTGTTAATCACCCTTTTCAGCATAAAATAAGACAACCGCGAGCTTCCGGTGTTCGTCAATTTAAAAGATATAAGACAAGAAAATAGGAAGTAAAGTGTCAGAATCATGATTTCATCTGAGTAATATACTCGAAATACATATGGTTAACTTAATTATTAAACTTATCAGTGTTGCGCCCTATCGGATAAAAGTATGAAAAATACTTTTAATTTTTAAGAAATACTAATAAAAAATAGTAAAACAACTGATGACAATATATCACCAACGTGTCAACTTCATACCACAACAGTTAGAGAAAGACAAGTTATGAAAACAATTATCTCGACAGAAAAATAAACAGACGGTCCGTCCTGTCGCATTATTTGCTTTCCAGCTTAATATTATTCTACATGAACGATTATACAGCAACAGAAAATTTTCATTCATTAAACAACAGATGTAACGAGAGTTACAATTCTAATCTGCACATAGTTTAGTCTCTACAGAAAGATGTCCGTCCATCTGAGTGTTACAGGAAGTGAGGACGGGACGTAACAGAAAATGCAAAAACCGTACTAGCCTAGCAAAATCTTCCTTCAAACCTCCAACATCATTTTTCGTTGTTACGAAGAAAAAGGCTAAAAGCTTTTATAAAAAGATTGTTTCTTTCCGATATATTTCTTGATCAATCTAATAAACTGAAACACACAGGTGTTGTGCAGAAGGAAATAAAAAATATTACGTTCCGCACAAGAAATGTCAATAACGGTGTCTATATATATCTCAGCAGCAGTCATTGAGTCATTTATTACTTAACATTTCTTAAATGATATAACCCTGGAGAAAACTAGGTCGAATATTCTTAGTTTTTCACGCTTCTATAGCAGAAATAGACTGACACTGCTGATAATGGTTTCATACATTTTAAAAGAATATCATTGATTGAATAATGGTACTTTAAGACAAAGTTTCTTCCTTCCACGTTAAACCCGATAAAAACAAAAAAGTCTAAAAATATTTACCACGGCTTGTTGGCGTTTTTCTATCCGTTGCATGCTGTAGATTCATCGCTACTGGAGAGGATGATGATTCTAAATCTGAATGATATGAATTTGATAATGATGAACCTAAAAAAACAACAAAAAATTTTGTATAAAATGATTAAGCTAACAAGACGCAATTAAACGTCCAAATTTTATTCAATACAATAACAGCACAAATAGAAACCATTTTAGTTATACATTACGAATACTTAGAGAAGAGCATTACTTTTTTTTTCAAAAAATTAAACATTTATTTTTATTAGAAAAAAGGGCATATGCCGCTCATCAGAGTTACGTATTAAAATAGCAGAAAGAAGTGTATTAACATCAAAATGCTAATATACTATTAATTTGAAAATAATTTACTTCTATCCTTCTAGATAGCAAGAAACCATATTTATAAAAAAAACTAATACCCACTTAAGAGATCGTTAATTTAGAACTACTTCCCAATTATAGATAAGATTAAAGTTTTTTGATGACAATACTTTTACCCTGAACAGTTCTGTAAGTATCCAGAAACCACATAACTTTGACATAGATGAGGAAAAAAATGACCTCAACAATTATTTTGTTGATTGATTAGGTTAACAAGCCTGTCAGTTGAATAGACGATTGTATTACAGGAAAAGAAAAACGTGCGAACAATTTGCTTATCAAAATATAAAACATATGTACAGATATGCAGTAGAAATAAGAGAAGAAGAAACAAACAAAATGAGTTGATCTTGACAAAAAAGTTTTGCTGTCTATATCAACCAGAAAACTTTGTATCATCATATATTCAGAATAGAATCTAAATTGACTTTTTTTACATGTTTTCTCCAAGGGAATAAATTATGCTTCTAAAATAAAAGTTGTAGTTCTTTTGCCTATATAATTTTTTCTTTACCAAGTACTGTCTGACTTAGAATAAATTCATGAAGGTAACGTAGGAAATGTAAAACAACAGGATCACGGCAGACAAGGTTACAGACACGCAATACACACACACACACACACACGCACGCACGCACGCAGGGTCAACATTCTTCGCTAAACAGAAGGCACGACAATATACATGTTATAACACATGCACATGAGCAAGACAACATGCAAAAAAAGCGCATAGAGCATTCAATTACGGAAAATTCTAAAAAAAGATAAAATAAAAGTTGTGATATCCGAATTGTTTAATGAATTAAAATCTTACTTGAGTCTGATCGATAAACAACTGTGTGAACAAACGAATTTGTTGGAGTCATTCGAGTTGGTGAACAAGATTGTTTTGTTGTAAAATTATACGGTTCTTTTTTGTCATTTTTTATATGATCATCATAGTTTGGTGTTAAAAATTCTCGAGGTGGTGGTGGAAATTCAATTAAATTTGATTCATCTGATGATTCATCCGATGATTCATCGTCTTCATTAGAATCTAATTCATTTTTTGTTAATGAATAACATTGTTCGATTTCATCTTGGTCACAAATAGCTAAAAACGAATAAATTCATGCAAGAACAACATGCCATAAGGAATAAAAACACTTTATTTCATGCAATGTCATTAAATCTGAGAGAGAGTGCAATGTATGTATTAGGTTATTTATACAGACGAGAATAATCCATACTATTATATACGGACTCTTTTAATAAAGCAAAGGCAAAAAACTAAGTATAATAATCAATATACGGGCAGAGCAAATTTAGTTCAATAATATGCAATGATACAAACGTGGAAAGAATAGGTTATCGTAGCTACCATTCGTTGTTTCATACGAGTAAAACAGCAATAAACTAGTTTAAGATGAAAAAGAAGTCAAAATTCTTGAACTAAATTACATCACTTCTCCAGGTAAATACATGATCATTCGTCAAATGTAATTCTCTAAAAGTATTAATATTTCCTCATATCCTCACCTATTGAATTTTGGTACATATTCAAGTTGAAATCAGTAAATGTATTAGAATTCATTAAAATATCCTGAACAATCGTCTCGATTCGTAATGTTCAACAAGAACTAACAAATCAAAAATATACTCTCTTACCTCATTAACGAAACAAATATAGAAATAGTTTTTTTTTGTATCAAGGGAATACTTATCTTCAAACATACAAACATTTTGTGAAAATAGATGATAGTGTTGACAAGTATGATTTAGAACATGTGTGTGCGTGTGTAAATATTACCGTTTTGGTGTTGATTATTAGCTGAATATCGTCGTTGAGGATTATGATTTGTCTTTATGGATCGACCAAAATTTGGCGGTGGACTAAATGTTGTTTGACGATAAAATGGTCTAGTTAATAATAATGATGATGATGAAATTGGAGTTGATGATAACGATGATAAAGTATTAAATTGGTCATTTGTCGTTTGTGGCGATGTTGTTCGAGATCTTAATGTTGGAGTAGTAGTATGTGATGAAAAATTTTGAGAGGGTTGATAACGATTAAATTGTTGTGCTTGAGTTTGGACGAATCCTTTTGATGTCATATTAAAATATATATAAATAAAACATCACATCATTATAGAAGAACTAAATATACGTATACATCTTCGAGAAAGGGAAAACTGCAACAACTTTTTGTTTAGTTATGTTAGAATATATCTGTTTTGTCGTTTATCTATCCATAGTAATAATGGAAGAAAAATTGTTTATCATTATTCGGTTTTCTGAAAAGAAAAGAGAAAGAAAAAAAAACAAGAACAAAAATATAAGGGATTGTTGGCAAAATAAATGTGAATGAGAGGATATAATAAGAATGTTCAGTGGAATGAATAAAGGACAATAGTAGTAGCATTCATGCTAAATTGTCAGATTAATGTTATATTCTAGAAAAAATACTGAGAACAAACGTTTCATCAAGTTTAGGATGTGTATATGTGACTGTTAATGACAGTTCTTAGAAATCAGACTAGACAAACACGAGAGAAAGAAAGAGAGGAAAATACACCTGGTTGCATATAAAAAAAAATGTCAACATTGTTAGTATTCAAAGACTAGAATAAAGGCAATTAGCTTTTATTTATTGACAGGCATCGTACAGGATATACTGCACTGATAAAGAAAAAACAACACAATATTGATCTTCACGGTTAGTTCTAAAACGTGTTTAACCATCATTTTCAAGTCAAACAACAAATAACACGTGATAAAAGAAAATAACTGATTTATAAACATCACATAAGAGACTATCTCTTGTCGCGCTTTTTCAGACTCCTACAAGAATTCAATCAGATTATTATCTTTTCAATCATACTTTAAAAATATTTTGTATTTTTCTATCCGATTATATCAACTGGTATAAAAAGGACTTGAATTGAATGATGTATCGAGGACATAGTTCGTATATAAACACTCACTCGACGATTAAGTTTCATTAATCATCACTACAGATGATAAGAAAAAGATCATCATGGATAGAATTAATGATGCCATTCTTTGTACGAAAGAAAAGAGAATAATACAAAAATATTGGTGAAAACAATCAATATTTTTGATATTACTACACTGTGTAATAATACAAAAAAAAAATGACGCTTTGTCAATGAATATCTATAAATATCGATATATTGTTTCAGTCATATTAATGACGTAAACATACACATCCATACTAATAGATGAATAGCAGATGATATTAAAATATCTTAAACTTGACCTCTTTGTAAGAAAATAAGGTATAAAAATTGGAGATGCTTTATTAAGAAGTCTTCTCTAAGGACGTTCGATTCTTGTTCAAAGATAAATATTCATATAGAATGAAATTAGTGAAACATATCGACCACTCTAAAAAGATTATTGAACTATTTAAGAACTACGTCATACTACTCTTCGTCATAAATTTTCTGAGAAAAAAGGTGTCCAACTGAGATAACATTTAAATAGTCAAATAAAAGAGTTGTTGTACGTAAAGTTCTAGTACGAAGGTGTTTTATTTATTTTAACAAAATACATAAAAATAAAAGTATATACAAAAAACACGTAATTAAATTGCTTTATTGACTAATAAATTTAAAGATGTTGACATCTAAGGGCCATTCTCATATAGAAATAGAGCATTTTTATCAATATACAACATATTTGCTTTTCCAAAATGATACACTTGTTTTCCTTCATTGTAACAATTTTGTCAATGGTAAAAAATAAAAGATTATGTTCATTTCGCCATGTCTCAACCAAATTTTAAAAAAAAACTATGAACGATCGTCGACAACGATGAAATTACACTACGATTCAGTATTGTCTATAGAGAAAAACAGAATATAATCAGTTAGGAGAAAACAACTATTTAAATTCTAATTACTTACTCAAAATCAATATTACTAAAGGATTGTGATTGTTGAATAGGAAATGTAGCTTTAGATAAAGTCGATCAATCATTTCAAGTCTCATCGTTCCTTTTTGTTTCATTTTTAGATGATTGATTAGTGTTGATGATATTAACGATCTTCATTCAAGATACCAACGTTTAATTTCATTGTAATCTGATCTTGTATTTAACCAATCATATGATACCTATTTGAAAAAATGTATGAGATTACGAAAAAAACTGCAATCTAAAATAAACATACTTGTAATTATTTTGAAAAAAAGCTACGTTCTAGCAGAACTACCAATACCTGGTTGTCAATTTTAGTTTAAATCAGGTTTATTAAAGCAACAAATCGAGCTATACTCATTACATGTTGTGACAATTTGATTAAAAGAGAAATGTAATGCATGCGCTAATTTTGTTCGTTTTGCTAAATAAAATGGTTCAAGACATTCTTCCATTAATAATAATATCCAGGGTGAATGAGTATGGAATCTGTCAATGGATTCCATAACTCCACTTCTCGTTGATTAATTGACCTAATATGTTTTATCCAATATTCACAATAGAATGTACAGTAACCAATGTTCAAGAAACTCCACTGATTTACGTAGATTACGGTTGCTAAAAACGATAAAAACAGATAAGTAATCTAAAAATGAAGCATTTGTATTCATTACTAACGCAATAGATTGTCTTACTTTTGGTAAGCATATTTTCCATAGTAAACGATGATAAGTAAGAAGTTAATTAATCATTTTGTAGACCATGAAAAGTTCTATCTTTCAGCTATAATTAGAATTTTTTTGCGTTAAAGTCTGCCACATAGGAAAACTTTTTCTTTCTTCAAGTTTCGAAAAAAAATCCACAGTTTTAGTCTACCAGTTTGGGGTTTCCGGTAAATCATCTCTAGTTTGGCCAATATAAAGTATCCAGCTCGGACTTTTTTAATTTGAAGACAAATGATTACTCTATCGTATCCGCTCACAAAAAACAGATACACTCGACTTTTAATGCTTGAGACAGAGAAAAGTAAAACTTGACTATTTTTCGTCAAGCTTCGTAAAGATGCTTGTAGGGCAACGGTTTTGTTCTAAACGGTAGTTAACCGACTTGATGAGAAAGAGCACACTTGAAAATATACAAAAAATAATTTTGGGTTTATTTCTTCTGCATCACCCGTTAGTAATAGAAGCATCTGTCATTGTGCAAAACTATCTTTATAAATGTGTCTACTTCTAGCAATTGAGTATTCATTTTATGAAGGAATCTTTATTAGAAAAACTTAATCTGTGTGGCTTCGAATTAGTAACGATTCATCATCAGTACAGAAAGTTAACATATGACTAGAAATTCTATTTTCTTTTCTTTCTTATCTTATAGAATGGGAAAACATATGACTACTAATATTCGTAGTACAAAAAACATAGATTTTGATAAGATAACAGACGATAATGAAATAAAATGACCTGAACAATTTAAAGATAAGAAACTCTTTGTTTTTTCTTGTCTTTATAAATGATTTGGAAAAACCTTCTGGAAATACATATAATGATACAGAACGATCAGTACCATTAAATTGAGAAGAATTTTACCAAATTGTCAAAGACTCTCTAACTAGAAGCCGGTAATACTTATGGTATCGTGCTAGAATTCTAAAAAACAGCTCAATGCCCTGTTTTTAGAACGTGCTTATCTAAGACTGATTTTAGGTACTTTTGAATTACGACAAAAATGATCATTACTGCCTAACACAGAAAATAAAAAAACATCAGAAAACTTACTGATCTAGCTAAATCAACGACCCTTTCTTCTTCTTTATTTCGTCATCACCATAATCTTCAAATAAAATACTTATTTTCGTTGTACTTCGTGTTGTTGTTGCCCTCATGCTTGAAAGAAAAGTTAATGATTAAAACGAACGAATATTCAAATAATGAATCGAGTATTTACTATAATTTTTCGTTTGGCGATATCTTTTTGGTATTGGATTACAAGCTGTCTGTAGATCATAATCAAATATTCTAAATTCTTCGAATTGTCACTCATTATAAATTGATCTAAACAGTTCTCTGTCACGACGATGGAAAAAAGGAATATTTGGCTGGAATGCACGATACATTCATTATGTCTATCCGTTTCAGAGGAAAACAAAAGACGATAAGTCTTGATGGGTGGCAAATGATGATATGATAGTGGTATGAGGGGAATAAGACTCTCAATAGTCCAAATAATTCTAATTTTCTGGACGACGAAAACGGTTGAGACACGTTAGACGCAAAAGTTAAGTATAAAACGCTAAAATCAACGTAAAAAAATGAAAAAAAAATATTGATATTATCGGTGTTTAATAGCAGGACTTTTAGAAATATAGAACTTTGCATAATTTTAGCAACTTATTACGTTTTATCAATTAATTAGAATATTTATAAAAGTAAATTTCTCGACTTGTAGAGAACAAAAAACAGTGAATAATAGTATGAATAACATTGTATATTATATACACTGTAGTGAATAGTAGAAGTTCATATTTTCGTTTCACACTAATTTGTAGTTTGCTTATTTTATTCTGTACTGATGATGAATCGATAGATTCGAAACGTTTATTGTATTTTATAAATATTCTAATTAATTAATAAAACGTAATAAGCTGCTAAAATTATGCAAAGTTTTATATATGAATATATTGATTGTAGAGTTTTCCGATTAACTCTTGTAGTACGTGGTCAGACAGTTAAGTGTATCCGCTTTAGTATCACTAACGAACTCAAATATTAGAAAAGTGATCCTCAAATTCCTCGGAACACGTACCATTTCTGTGTTTAACTTATCTTGACAGCGAAATAAACTTCAATCTACTGATCTAATATGCTACTGGCTGAAGTTGACATTGCAGAAGAAGAATGGTCTTCACTTATTGCAATGAAAAAGGACTATAGAATGAATATAGTAAGAACATATACTTTAATATATTCGCATGTTTTGATTTTTTTGATAGTCCCATGTAGGTTCATTCATTACCCAAATCAGGTGGCTGTTCTATGCTGAATGAATGGATATCAAAATAACTGTAAAACAAGTGACATCTAGCTGGTTATTGTTGGCTGGATCGTAAGTGAACACACGCTTCAGTGAGTCTGAACGTACGGTAATTAATTAATTTTTGAATTTTGTCGTTGTATTGACCTCTTATACTACTTCCTATTAAGAAAAATCTTTTACTCAAATATGAATTGTCTATTACGCCTGAAGCCGCTACTTAACTTTGTCGATTACACTGAACCAATTAGTAAAGTTGAAAATATTTAGCAACAAGCCTTTAGATGAGGCTTACTGGTCTCTTGAATCTTTTGGCTTATTGTCCTGCTACGAATTATAGCAGCACATGCTTTTATTTCAGATTTTCGTATCAATACTTATTTCCTGTTGTTCGGTTTTTTCTCCATGGTAAGTTAGAAAGATCCATTGATTTTTCTTGAAAGGTGAAACAAATCTGATTATTTCCTCTGGTTTAGGCTAAAAATCGTGAAAATCAAAGTACAACAGGGCATACGGAAAAAAAGAAAAAAACACAAACTATCGACCAGAATCGCGAACAGACAGTAACAATACCACGAGAGAAAAAAAGTTCATTTTCATGTGTGATGTTGATATATTCACTTGTGTTTGTATCAGGCGTCGTCGTGGCTACAGTGTTGCCAGAATTAGCTGGTTACCACTTTAAACAGAGTTACGGACAAAAATATGGTATGCCTTTGAAAGTTTACAGAGTTACTACCTCAAATCAGTTATATGAGAACTGTTTCTTCGGAATCTTTTGATTAATTATGTATTACAATAAAAATGTCCGATGAAGTATTTTGTTATGGTACATTATATCGTAAAACTACTAAACGATTTTTTTAGCGTCTGCTGAACATATAGCATTTTTTTCTACTCTTGTTTTTTCCCTCATAGGTGTACTGGTAGAAGAAAGATTCAGAAAATCTGTTGATCATCTTGTTGAATTTGCATCAGTTCTTGGTCCCTACGTTCGAGAAACAATCGGTAATATATTGCCCACAAAATCCGAAGATGTTGATCAAAATAAACAGTCAAAAAAGACAACGACTACAACAACTTCACGTCCACAGACAGTAACCAGTAAAAAAACTACAAGTGCAACGGTAGAGTCTACAACACCAGCAACAACTACTATCAAACCAATAAGCAACCAGAGTAAGTTCTTATTAATGAAACTATTTTTCTTGATTAAAGTCTGTAACACCACAAAGTAGCTCTACACGGACTACTACCCATACTACTCAAAGAACAGCAACTATAACCGCGTGTAGGAATAAAAATGATGGCAAAAACAGTACATGCTAGTAAAATCATTACAAGTTTTGATTTGACGAAAAATTTTGCAGAGCGGTGTACAGTGCGCTGCCGCACATATCAAACTAAAAATCAGTTGTTAGTTGCCGAAAAACATGAATTCTTTCAACATTTTGGTAGTTAGTTGAAATGCTGTTGTGATTGATCAAGTAGTACTATCTATTTCAAAATAGAATACCATGTTGTTTTTTGAATAATTCGAGAACGGGAAGTGATAGAGACCTGTGGTTTTCACCGTTTTGTAGAAAAGATCTTACCTCATCGTGTGATCTATGGAGCCTTAAAATCGTCGGATTTTTCAGCTGGTGTACCTTGTGTGCGAAAAAAGGAGATGGCGCCAGGTACTGAAGGCAAAATAAGTTTCAGACTCAAACATAATTAGATAACCTGAAGTGTCCTTTACAAAACTACGCATATCAGAGGGCGCTAGCTGTCATAGTTCAGGAGCTACAGGACTTTTGCTGGAACCGATAGATCTCAGACCAGTTAGATCCAATGACCTTAGAATCAACTCCAAACATAGGTTATCGACCATGCTGAATCTTGTGGCAATGTTTATTATGCTCTACTATAACGTTTTATGATCGAATTTTCTCAAAACATCGCTCCCTTGTGATGTTTTCTATATTGATCTGTTCTGTTGTGCGCATGTATACCACGTATATCTGTACGTATATATGTTACAGGGGATGTATAGATACCCTAGCGGAATATATTCTCTGGGAAAGCTGATAGTAGTGCAATCATATCTCCTCTACAAAATGGTGAAAACCGCAGGTCTCTATCAGTTTCCGTTCTCGAGTTATTCAAAAACTCAGACAACAAAGCAACTAGTGACACCAAGTTGAGCATTTGCTTATTAGATCACGCCTTTAGTTGTTCGAAAGTGTAATTGATCCCAGAAGCGTCCCCATCCTGTTGTTTGCATTTTTTTATCTCGTCTAACAAAATGTTTTTTAGAAATATGAAACAGACCCTTTACTGGATAAAATTCTGATACAAACTAATGAAACATATGGATAATTTTTTATCTTCATCCTGCTCTGAAAGCGGTTATAACCCTGACTGATGCATCGTAATTATTAGCCTGTTCCTCCAATCTGTTTTTCTAATTTTCATAAGCGCAATTAATCACACACATTGATATGATTTTAGTGTGACATCAGACAGCAACACACGAACAATAACATTGAAACCAAGAGAGACTTTATCGATCACCATCGTTTCTCAAACAGTTTCATCTGATAAACAACTTCCACCCACCGCTAATGCACAAACGAGCACAATAGTAAATCCAAGCCCGTCGTTAACCATTAAATCATCAACTGTTAAGTCAGATACAAAAGGAGAATCAAGTACAACTGCGACTCAAGCTGTGTCCAAATCAACAGAATTGTAAACAACTCGTGTTATTTACTGTTTTGCCTTCATTATTCCATTTCATATTCTTTTAGATCGAATGTCTTTCTATCACTCACACATTTTTATCTTTTTTTGGTTTTTTAATGTCCATATTGGACAATAGATGAGTAAAAGAGGACAGGACGATGCATTTTTCTAGTTTTTTGTTATTTGTTAGTGTTTGTATGTTTTTTAAGTAATAAAGCACGCGAGAAAGAAAAAGATATCGATGATGCATGTATAATGTAGTTATTTTTTGGTGATTTGTCTTTTAAAGTGATGAGTAAGTCGAGACAAACAAGCATCTATAAAGAATTACATTGATACCGTATTCGAATCCATTAACTTGTTTAAGCTTTAACACTTGAATCAAATCAGTTGATCACTACCAATACCCGATATAGATCCTGAGCGTATTTTCTATTGAAAATTGCTTTTTATTGCATAAAATCCTAAACTTACGAAAAAAATGTACCACTGATCAGCAAATGAGAAAAATTATACATACTATTGCAGAAAACAATTAAGCAAACCAACACATGCGTAGTATTGTGCAGTTGCACTTTTTTTATATTATAAAATTCAAAACGATCATTAGTTCGGAAGGAATACGACATCAATATGTATAAAAAACAAAACATAACAAAATACGATATGAGAATAGTGCAATAATTTATTACAATAATAGATGAGTAAAAGCGCTTCTGAAACTTGGTCTCAACAGTATATAAACAACAACTGTCTCCGAGGACATCAACATCGGCAACTTTAATGGTATAATAAAGTTAGATGGTTGATTCAATTCGATCATCTTCTTGTTTTTGGCATGACTCGACTTATTTTAAAACAAACTCATTGATGTACAATACAGAGACGCAAAAACTGTCATTAAAGAGAAATCATTTATCGCAACACTGTTGACGTCATCATTTTGACAACAAGTCGCGCTCATTAAACAATTCTTATCAGTTTATAATTTTTCCGTTTTGTAATGTTTTTAGATTGCTTTCAGTCAGTTCTTTAACAATTAAATAACTGAACTATGGCGTCACTCTTTCACAGTCTCCCAGGTTAAAACCGATCGTTCGGATCCCGTATATTTACAAATTCGTGCTGGATCCTCCTATCGGAGTGCAGTATTACCATTAAACATCCATAGAATCTGACCGTATCCTAAGACCGACTCCGCGAGAACTCGACAATCGAAAGTCGAATTGAACCAGAAGAAGAAGAACGTACTCATACCAATATTGGTGTAGGATGAAGATCAAAAAGGAAAAAAGGAAGCTAAAGTCGAAACTCTGGAACATTCATGAGACTGCAAAATATTGACCTGTAGCTATTGTTGTATTTGGAGCTTCTGTTATTATTTTCTTATCACAAGTTCCTTGATAAATTTCCACATCTCGTTCATTTTTACATACTTTACGGCACCTGGAACAGATATTTTTCACACTTATAGATGGCTTTTGAGTAGTTAGTTGCAGGGATCTTGTTAGCTTAACTGCATCGAGCTACTTCGTCTGTTCGTCGTTTTTATAGCGTGCTCCTTATATGAACTATTTTCTTAATATTTCGACATACTGGTTTTATTTGCACATGCTTATTAACGGTTTTATGCCATTTGTCTCTATACATAGTTTCTCTTCTCTAGTTTTTTAATTCCAAATTTAATAACATCATCCATCATTTTATCCTCTCATCGTTTTCTTATACTGGCATTTTGAAGTTCTCGGAACAGCAAAATAAAAAAACATTACTTTTACAGAAATTTCATCTTTCGCTCACGAGGGAACCGTTCGAAGTGCCGCGATCCGATTTTTTCCGTTCATATGCCGTTCGATAGAGTATAACTAGGTAGTAAAAAGCCTAAGAGGATATCGGCCCATGGTGCATCCTTCAAAACTTAGAGTGGTTTTTCAGCTGAAAAAGCGAAATTTGAAAAATTTGATCAAAGAAAACTTATTTCAAGTTGATAATGTGGTTTTGACATGTTCTAAATCCGAAAAATTGACTACAAGTTTAGCTGAGCACCGGGTACAAAATGTTTTGCAACCAACTATTCAAGGTAGACAGTTTGTTAATCAGTGATTATTGAAGCGGCCAGCGAGAACTAAAACTTTACGAAAGTGTTAAGAATTTACAACTTCTTGAAATTCCAAAGAGTACAACCGCTATGATTCAGCCACTCGATGTCGGATGGAATAGACAGTATAAACACTTGGTTAGGCAGATGTATGATCATACTCATTTATATGATATTGATATTAATCTCGCTCAAAGAAACGATGTCATCAAATTAAACTCTCCGGCTTACAATCAGATCTGTTCACCGAAGTTTCTTCCTATGGCACGCTATAGCTGGTACCAGTCTGGATATAGCAAATCAAATCCAGGCCTTTTTAAAAACGTGGATCAAATTTGTTTTAGTTTCGATTCATACCGCTGTGAACAGTCTGGCTGTACAAATCCTCCTTGTATTAAGTGCGCCTACTGTGAAAAGGTCTTGTGCTTTGCACATTTTTTTGACAACTATCGCTTTCACTGACTAGCTTAATTTCTTTCAGTTTTTTGTTTAAATTTGAAACTTAATCAACAGTCAAACGATTAGTATGTATATAGGCATTTGATCAATAAACAGTTTTTCTTCATGAGTTATAGCGTTAAAGAACGGCTTTATAAGGTAATTTCAATGGAAAGGAAAAATCGTACAGCTCCGACAGTAGATGGCGAAGCCGTCTATAAATTTCAGGGTGTAGAGCTGGACCATAGATCTACATAGTATGAAAGTTCCATTCGAATTTGACGTGTTTTGAAAAAGTTGTAAATTTTTCAAATTTTGCTTTTTTCAGCCAGAAAACCGCTAAGTTTTGAAGGATGCACCATGGGCCGATATCCTCTTAGGTTTTTTACTACCTAGTTATACTCTATCGAACGGCATATGAACGGAAAAGATCGGATCGCGGCACTTCGAACGGTTTCCTCGTCAGTGTCTTTCATTCGATTTATGTGCTCAAACTATCTGAGAGATTTTCTTCTCATAATGTTCTCCAGCTCTGGTTGACCAGATTATTACCTTTTCATTTGACATTCTGTCATCCAAAGTTATACCAATTGATGTTATAAGAAAAAGTCATAGAGAATGTATTTAACCGTCATTGTTGAGTCATAGTCAGAGATGACACTTCCATACGACAACACCGATAAACTACATGCACGAAAAATACGTATTATAGAGTCGATGAATATTGTTTTACGATACTAGATCGCGTTTCGAAGCATCTTTTGTAGCTTTTGTTTCAATTTCCTTATGCTGTGATTGATCTTTAGTTTCTAAACAACTCAGATACGTAAAATATTCGACTATGTTAGTCATTTGAGTCTAACAGCAATGTTGAATTTAACATCATTTACTTCTTTATTTTCATGATTCATCACGATGCGTCTTCATTCAATTGCTTTAAAGGTAAGGCGCTGCTAATTCAAAGATCGAGCAAGTTCTCAGATTTTTAATTTTTGCTACATATTCTGATAAAGGAGAGCACAGTGGGCATTTAGGCGGCATTTTGGTGAAAAATCGCAGGTTCGAATTTTTATATTTTGAATGATGACATATATACTATAAATAATGCCCTATTTAACGGTGAAAAGTTTTTTGTTCTAGCTTCTTCCAAAGTTGAGAAAATTAAATTACAAAATTATCAGTAGAATTAGTATGCTGGCGCGTAAAATTGCATTTTCTCCGTCAAATTATAAGTTTTTTTCAAAAACAATGACATATATAGAATCGCCATCTGTTGGGCTATCTAGCCGTAAGAAAATTTTCGTCGGACAAAGTTAAATTTCGGGAACGCGCGAAGATCTTTCCACGAAACTCATCTAAAAGACAGACGTCCTCATAAAAATGCAATCGCTAAACTCCGCTGAGCAGCTATTGATATGAAAAATAGCTCAAAATGTTTGTCTCAACCTCCTCTACATATACTGATCTCACAAAGTCTCCCAACTCTAGGGTGCTGAGTTACAGGCCTTCCAAAAACCCTGGGGATTTTCGAGTATTTCGCAGTTTTCTCCCTCAAAAAAGCCCTTTCTTGAAAGTAGGTCATATTTGGAATCAGCGTGAAAAACTGCGTCCAATGAAATACTTTTTAACTGCCCTGGTCAAACAGAGAAGTGGACTTTCGCGCACTTTTTGAGCCTCTGTAAGCGTTTTTCTTTCAAAAACCTGGCTTATAACAGATAAAAAAACAATACCCTCGATGGGGGATCATTATATTCGGAATCAGCATGTTCGATTACCTAGAAAACCTCTTTTGGTTCAGTTTGAACGAAAATTTTGAGGTGAGTTTTTCAGGGTTTTTTCGGAAAACCGACAGGATCTGTTGCATTTCTGACATCGCCATTAGATTTAGCATAGCCGAAAACCTATAAAAAAGTGTTTTTGGATTCAAAAAACTTTGGCGGCGACAAAATGCCGCCTGCTCTATGAGGAAATGCACACTGTGGAGAGGGAGCTGAATCCTTTAAAAACCTTTCACGATCTTTCCTTCCCGGTGGAAAAAATTTTACAACTTTCTCCACCAGAACTCACTTTTTATAATAACGCAACAGGAAAGGAAAAAATCACAAGTCTGGAACCGTAACTTTGTTCTCCGCTTCACGGCGCTTCGAATGGCATAAAATTCAAGGCTTTATCTCTTAAAGAAAAAGACTTGAAGCTTTTTTGAGCGGAGGGTGTCGTTTTTGAGTCCTTTTAGGAAAGAATTTTCCAGAAACACTAAAAGAGATGTGCTCAACTTCGGAAATAGTTTGCTATATGCAGTTTCTAACGCTGAATCCGAAAAACTTTGTTTCAGAGCTGCCAAATGAAATGGCAGCAAAAAATTTTCAAGATCATCCGCTGTAACACACATTGGAACAACATCATTCGTGTAAATTAAGTCGAATAGTTGAATATCTTCATATGCACCGGGAGCAGTATGATAAAAATCTCCACTT